ACATTGGCACAGCTGCCCAGGGAGGGGGTGCAGTCACTGTCCCTGGAGATGCTCAAGAGCTGTGGAGATGTGGCACCGAGGGATGCGGTTAGTGGGCATGGTGGGGTGAGTTGGTGTCGGACCTGATGCTCTTACAAGTCTTTTCTAACCTTAATGATCCTGTGGTTCTATGAAAAGTTGAGTCAGGCGGCAAGCAGCCATCCTGGCACTGCTGAGTGCCACTGCATGAGCTGCAGCAGTCCTTGCTCTGGGAGAAATAGGTGCAGTCAAGTCTAGATGCATCCTAGATTTGAGCATGTGGGCATGCAAACACAGAGCACAGACAGCACTACCTGCTGAAATCAGGCACGAGCACGAGATGGTGCTTGGCATTAGGAGAGGAAAGAAGCTCTGTGCTCATCCTGCAGACAGCTGTCATCTCCTCGGCCCTCCATCCATGCCTCAGCCTGGCCTGGCTGCAATCTGCCATCATGTCAAACCTCCCATTTCCCCAGGTCGGCAGAGCTCTGAGGAAAGAGGATCCAGACAGGACTTCATCTTGGTGACAACTTTCTGTGGAAGCTGAAATCCATTTGGCAGTCAGGAACAGCATGTTCAGCTCTTGCCAAAAAGATCACCAACTGCCATTGGCACATTGGTTATGTGGTTTCCTGAGTGGTAGAAGGGATGACAGGTTCGTATTAATTCCAGTCAGCAAATGGATTATAAATACTCCCCCAGCCAGTTGCCACTTGATAGGACTGTCCTTGAGTTCTGCAATTGTGGAAGGGAGTTGTCAACTCTAAATTTACCCACCAGCACGCGCTGTATAAACCATGCTGCTCTGAGATCCTCAGTAGAAACTTGTGCTGTAGCCCAGTATGGATTAGACCAGAAATCGCTGGTCCCAGACAGACATCTCACTGCTGCTTATCTCAGGGTTTCGATGACAGTGAGGAGAGCAGGACGGGTTTGACAGGACGCGTCGCTGTATTGGCCATGCAATTGCCACAGCAGTCAAATCAAGTCTGAGCTAACAAAGTGATCAAAAGCCGGATCCACCTAACATCTTCCTGATGAGGTAACAGCTCCTGCTCCTAAGGATAGCCTTTCCCATCATAAAAACGCACGCCACAACTGATAGAAGGAAAGCCACGCCGAGGATGGGGTGTCCAAAACCAGATAGAAGTGAGACAAAGCAGACAGAGATAGCGTTCCCTGCAGTGGGCAGGATGCTAATGTTCCTCCAGACGGACTGTTCACTCAAAGAAGTGTGGCTGGATAGATGCAACTTTTACAGAACAGAAAGCGAACAAGAAGAAAGCAAGCAGGGAGCTCAATATTTCTAGCTTCAGAACAGCGCCAGTGTCAACGCACTGGGCAAATGCACAACCCAGCTGTGCTGTGTCACACTCTGCTCTGCTTTGGGCTTCTGATTTTGTGTCCCAGTTATTCTCTTGCTGTGCACTGCCAAGGAAGCCCAGTGCCTGCTCCCCAACTGCACCCACAGTACAGGTGCCCATTGCTCCCAGACCTCTCAGCGCAGCAGCTCCCAGGAGGGCTGTGGGTCCCACCAGGTGGCACCTGTCAGCAGAGTGAGGGACAGCAGTGTGACAACCCAGTGGCCACTTCTGGACAGAGCCCCAAATGGGCTCGTCCTGTATTTCCATTATTTCCACATGCAGAGTGATTTCTATCAGTTGAGACTGAGCACCAGGAAACCTCAGTGGAGGTAAATTGCAGTTCTTCTGTGCTTTTATGTATTTTAAAGATCCTAGCATCTTTTAGCATCCCAAATAGTCAAAGTCTCACTGCATCTACCTTGTACTGCCCCAAATGAACGCGTGCTTTTAACTTCGAACTCTGCATATCACACTCTCTGAGCAATAGGGGTAATGCTCCTGCATGACTCCCTCCCACACATGGGATGGGAATGCAGAACACCTGGAACCAAAGCCCTCACACAGTCCTGCTGTGAAAGATGCAATGAAAAGCTCTGTCTCCACAGCCTAACAGCTCACTGTGGAGCAAGGCCTGGGGCCACATGCTCAACAGGAAGCATAAAACTAAATATTGAATGGCAGCTTGCTGCACCAGCGCTGCTCATCCTGCACACTTCAGGAGGTGGAGGCCATAGGGGGGAAAAAAAGAGAAAAAAAAACAAAGCTAAAATAAAGCCCCATTCCAGACTGTGGATGTACGCAGCAGGGGGTCCCATCCTGTGTGCTGAGCACCTGACTTTGCAGCTTGCACAACAACTGCTTTTCTTCATTTTTCCTCGTGCATTATTTGTATAAAATCTGGTTCAGAGTGAGCCCAGCAACCAGCCAAGTAAAGGGCTCACTTCAAAATGCAGATTTACTCCAGAGCTTCTGGAACTTATCACAAAATTAGTACATAGAGCCAACGTTGTTTACTCACATCAGGCTGTAGAACAGAAGTCTGTACAGCAAGACACCTTACCCTAAAGGAACCTTAATCCAGCTAATGCTGACAAGTCCTTAAGAATAAACGTGGTGGGGACAAGAAAAGGAAAGATTGGGTTCAGTGGACGAATCTTCACTGCTTCCATTGGATCTCCTCCACAGAGCGACACCCACAATGCCTCCTTCTGCTCAACCCCTACAGCTCAGCACTGGCACGGCCAAGGTTCAGCACAGCTTTCCCATCCATGCCGAAATCTGAGGTTCCCAGGATGGGAGATATGTGGTGATTTTCCGCTCCGCCATCTGCAGCAGCTTCCATCACCTTAAGTGCAAAGCTCTGCCTGAATGTGAACTACTGGATCAGGTTCATATTTTGTAAATATTATTGTTATTTTATGGACTTTGGCATCAATGAGAGCAAAGATAGAGAGGCTGGAATAAGACACAATGGTTCTGAGTGTGACTGTTATTTGTCCATTTTTTAAAACGCGGGGACGGAGAAGGAAAAGGATAGTTTAGAAATGCGGTTAAACACATTTTTTTCTCTAGAGGCATTTAGGTTTTTGCCTTTGCTTTGTTTATTCTTCTTTGGGACTAAGTAAAGCCATGTTTTTAAACATAGGACATCCCCCCTTTCCATTTTAAATACTGAAATCTAAGAGTCACTCTAGATAGGGCTCAGGCTGCTCTGCCCGCTTGGAGACGAATGCATCTCTCAGAGTGTTTTCTTGTGGCCTAAGAAAGTATTTATTTTTTCAGCCATTCCACTTGGATGCACCTTTGTTCGTTTTCCAGGGCCAGTTTGGTTCCACAACCGAAATTACAACGTGCAGCAGAATCCAGCATTTGGGCCTCTGGTCTGTTATGATACTCCAAGCACATGCATGATCCTCATAATCCTCATATTTAAGCACTTACTATTTCCTTATTTCTCTTCTTAGGATTTACCGCCACGCATGTATCTCTTCTTCTCATGCATTCTCTTCTTAGGATTTACACGCCACAGCGGTGGAAACAACTTCTGGACACCACGAAGGGAAAATGCTCAGAAAACACTCAGGGATAGAATTTTTTTTCCCCTGGTTTGAATGGGGGAGGGAGAACTGCATTTCCATCCGCATTTCCAAACCCAAAAAGCCACTGGAGAGAACTGCAGAGGTTTGGGTCCCCCTGTGCAGTGTCGGGTGTCCCCGGGCTGCAGTGGGAGGTCGGAGTGCAGGGCCCACACGGGTGCCCAGGGCACAGTGGGGCTGCGCTGGGGCAGGCGGCATCTGGGAAGCAGCAATTCAGAGCCTGACAGCTCGGGGACAGCCAGATGTTTTCATCATTATGGAAAAAATCTGCTGGTGCCTCTTTGCCCAGAGAAACGCTGGAGGAGGAAATATCCTCTTGAGCTCTGATCGGAGCTGCATATTAAAAATGCGATGGGTCAGGGACTAAAAAGAAAAAAGAAACCGAAGGAAGAGAGGAAGGGATGTTTTCTGCCTCTGGCTCTAGCGTTTAGCGCAACAACACCCCAAAAGGCTGCATTGCCAGCCCTGGGATATTTCCCAAGCTTGCTGCCCCAGAGGGCTGAGCTCCCACAGAGGGCTGAGGACTCGGCCTGCATGGGGGTTCCGCTGCCGTCCCCCCTGCCTCCACCTACGGAGCTCCCCGTCACTCTGCCCGCAGCAGGTGCTGCCCCGGGGCTGCACGGGGCCGGAGCACGGCTCTAACCCGGCACGGCAGCAGCGGGCGCCGCGGGCCCGGCTTACAACATTGGCACTCAGGGGGTCACCCCCCGGGATTCGCTCTTCCCATCGGGTCTCCGTTCCCAAAAGCAGCGCGGCCAAATCCCCTCCTCCCCCCCCCCCCCCACTGCCTCGAAACCGTGAGGAAAGCGTGCAGAACCGTGAGAAAAACCAAGAGCCAAAAACGATGCTCTCCAATTTGTTTAAGAAATCAACTCCGTCCAGAAAATAAATTCATATTTCACTGAGTTTTGATTTTTTTTTTTTTTTTTTCCGCTTCATTCTGTAATTGCCCAACAGAACACGGGAGGTGTCCGGGCTGAAGCATCACTCTCTTCCCCCCCCTCCCCGAGCTCCTCTCCACCCTTCTGTCACGGTGTTCCTGCAGGGAAGGGCTGAGCTCAGCGGGGCACCAAAACGGGCCGGTAAGGAACGCGGGGACCGCATCAAAACTGCGGGTCTGTTTTTGCGGATGCGGCTTTCATTTGAAATTTAAAAATAAACTTTTCGAGATGCGACAAACCCGGTAACGTTACCCAGGGGAAACAAACTAAAAATCTAAAGAATTTGCACAACATTTTCGTTTCTTTCTCTCACGTGAATATACCGTATTTACGGTGAACTGCACGCTCATCGGGCGGGTAGAAACTCTTCTCCGTGTGTTTATTTCTCACTTTCCCTCTCCCGTATGGCAGTTTTTTCTCCAGCCACTTCTCAGCCGTTCTCCCCCCTCCGGAGGACACAGAGCAGCAGCCGCAGAGCCCGGGAGGGATGGGGGGGGGGGGGAGGTAGCTGGCAGAGCCGGGACGCTCCGCTGTGGAGTCCCCGAGTCCGGAGCCGCAGCCGCGGCCGGGGCTCCCCACTGGGCTGCGCTCAGCAGGTGCGGCCCTCCGGCAGAGCGCGTTTGCCCGCAGCCTCCGTTCTTTCTCCAATTCAACAGTGGAAAAAGGGAGAAACGCAAACCGAAATGAAAACAGCAATAAGAACGCGAGATGAACGGACAGCAAAAAGTGAAAGCGGGTCAGACGACGGCAAGTTAGAGGGGTTTCCATTCGTTTTCGTTATTATTTTTAAATTGATTATGAGCTACCCGTGAGCCTCGAGGGCGGGTGGGGGATTTCGCCAGACAGCGGCAGCCCCGGCCCTCCCGTGCCTCCCCCGGGCTGCCCCGCTGCGGTGCGGTGAGGGGGGAAGCGCAGGGAGAGCTGAGCCCCCGACCGCCCGTCCCTGCACTCTCGGCAGCCGATTTCATGCCTCTCCGGTTGTGGGTCATCAGCCGGGCCTCGGCAGGAGCCGAGGTGACATCGTCGGGAGACGCTGGAGCGGAGGTAGGGGTCAGGGCTCTGTAACTCGACCGGTTTCATCCTCCCCCCTCCCCGGCTCGGCGCTGGAAGGGGCTCTCCCGGGGGTGCGGGCTGCTGGGAGCCCCTGGGATTTGGGACAGCGAGAGGGAGGTGGGAATGCATTTTAGGACAAATAATGTCCCAATACCATCTCACGTTCAAGTGCCCCCAACCCCGAACCGCACACCCCGCCTGCAGGGCCACGGGCAGTACCGACCAGAGAAGGGATGGGAGGGGGGTCCCGCTGCTCGAAGCAGACCCACGGCGTGACATCGCATAATGGATCGGATTTGCGCTGGCAGGAGGAAGCTGCGAATGCCTTGAAATCCCCGCGGCGGCTCCTACCCGGGTACCGGCGGTCGGGGCTGTGCCCGGGCAGCCGCCGCCGTTACAGCTTTGTCCTTCGAACCAACCCACAGCTCGCTGAGTCCGGAAAGAAAAAAAAAAAAAAAAGAAAAAAAGAAAAAAACTCCTTTTAAAAACGATTTTGTCCATCTACTGACACCGCTGCTGCACCGTGGCTACGGGATTCCCATGTCGAGCCGTTGTTGCGTTTACTAAACGTGAAATTCCCCTCATTTAGTTTTTCTGTCCCTAAAAGAGTTGTACCGCGTCGTGTTCCCCTTGGAAACTTAACGAACGAGCGCTTTGGTAATTAACTCACACCATTAAAAAGGTTTAACTTGAGCTCGTGTAAACGGTGCGTACCGGAGGCGGCACCGAAGAGCGATCGCTGCGACAGACCTCGGGCTCTGAGACGGGAGCAAAGTCCCGAATTCCTCTCCCATCAGGGAGCCCAGCACAGTCAGCAAAGGTACAGGGAAGGTAAAATTCAAACATTTCGTTTTTCTGAGTAGCTCGCAGCCGAGGGGGAGGAAGCCCACCTCCAGCGGCGCGGAGCAGCAGCCAACCTAATTGCCGGATTCCAGGCACGGAGCCCAACGAGGGCAGCAGGGAAAGCCCACAAGTGCTGCCCGAGTCACCGTGCCCCGGTCACCGTCCCGAGACACCGACCGAGATGGGAGAGCAGCTATCAGCCGTTTCCTAGGCACTTCTCCCTAAAAAGCAAACTGGGCTTTAAGACCGAAACATCACGCAGCGGTTTTATACTGGGTTTGGCAGAAATCGGCCCGAAATAACAGAGAAGACCAAAGCGGGTGCTTCCCGGCCGCGCACTGCTCTGCTCGGAGGGGCAGAAATCTCTTTTCCCGGCGCAATCCCCGAGGTGAGGCGCTGGGGGTTGGAAGATGCTCTCCCCGCAGGAAATGGGCTCTGGGAACCCGCTCGGTTCCAGCAAGAAAGGCCCAAAAGAACCACAGCAAGGGAAGGAAGGGATTGTGGCTGCGGCAGGGAGAAGCGCCTGGACAGCTCCAAAGGCGTTTTCCTCCGCAGGAACGCGGAGGGGTGAAAGCAGAGCTCCGGAGAGCTGCGGGAATGCCGAGGTCCCGCCATGGGAACGGGGAGATTGGCACCAGCTCGCTCAAGGAAACCCTAATAGGCTATTTCTGGACTACTGGCTCTTAACAAATCTATAGCACCTGAAGTGTTAGCACTCAATTAGTGACAAGGTTTTAAAACCCAGCGTTTACCGGCGAGGTATAAACAGAGTCCTCGGGAGATAGCCGGGAATTAGGGCGGGAGGGGGCCCTGGACACCTTACCCGGCTGGCAGTTAGAGGAAAACTTTTCCAAAAGGCCCCTTTTCTCTCTCTCTAAACAGTCCGAGGTGTCGAAAGCTCGGGGGGAGGAGGTGCTCTGCGGAGCGTCTTGAGGCTTTTTTTGGTTTGTTTGTTTGCTTGTTTGTTCTCAGCTCTCTAAACATATACGTTAAACGAATTTCATTTAGCAGTCCTGGAGAGAAGCGATGGAACGGTGTGGAAGTCAGCCCCAATCTGAAAGGGGTTCGTGGGCACTGGGGTCAGATCGGGGCTGTGCGGGCATTGAGCCGCGGCACGTCGGGCTGAACCGCCTGCATTGGTGCTCGGAGCCCGGAGTGAACAGGAGAAGGAGGCGGGGTGCCGAGCCCCGACCCGGAAAGTCCGTGAGTTGCAGCGTGTCAGTGACTTATTCATCAATCAGCCGGACACAGAGCAGACCTGGCCTCTCTTTGCTCAGTGTTTGCTTTTTCACCAATTATTGCGGCCCTGCAGCTCTTTTTGTTGATACAGTAGTTCTAAAAAGTGCTAATGTTCATTTATCAGGGGACCGAGCCCGGGACTCCCACTAGTTGTGATTCTTCCAAAAATATAAACACGCGGAGAAGGGCTAAGGCTAAAGCCCCCATTTGTTTCTAAACTGCAGTATTAAAAGTGATGCATTGTTAAAGATAAAGCGGAGATAACGCTGTCTGTCTCCAATGAATGTCTCCCCGACGCATTAATGACATTCCAAATGATAGCTCCGGCTTATCGTTCAATTAATCACTTCCACCCTCTGCAGCCGGGCCCACATCGATCGGGATCGGCCGTGTGACCGTGGGCTGCGGGAAGCCCTTCAGTGCTCCAGCAGCAGCCGTTTGCCGGCCGCTCTCCTGCCTGCGTCCCCGGGGCCGCCCCGACGGGATGCGCTGCGGGCCGGGACCGCTCCTCTGCAGGCTCTCCGGCTGGGCAGCGCCTTTCTCCCCGCCCTGAGAGCTCCGCCGTGCAGCGCTGTGTCTCCCCGTAGCCCCGTGCACCCGGATTTCTCCCGTCCCGAAGGAGCTGCCCTTGAAAGCGGGTGGGCCTACTGCCGTCGGGCATGGTTTAGGGGGAGATCCCGTTCACTTCGTTGTTTTAGCATTTCCCTAAGCTATCTCGATTAGCTTGCAGAGAAATGAAAGGTAGGCAACGAGGTCTGAAAGGCCGCCGGGCGGTGCCCCGCTGACCCGGCACACGGGAGGCTCTGGGAAGCTGCCTCCGCCCCCCCTCCGGGCTTCTCACCCCTTTTCCTACAGCCGAGAAAAGACCCTCCGAGCCGCCGGCCCCCTCGGGCCCTGTATGCCAGGGACATCCTCGGGCAGCGCAGCCTCACGGAGCGGGATGGCCGCTGCCGTCCCACATTAAATAGCCGTATTTCAGGGCTCCCCGCACGTTAATCGCTCCGACTGTGAGCGCGAGATCAGGATCTGCTTCACAAAGAACCGCTCCCGGGAAGGCAGCGGGAAACTGCACGGAGATCGCGAGCGCTGCTGCAACCCCGGCCCCCAAAGCCACAGCTTCGCCCGCAAAAGAGCCCTTAACTCAGTGCCACGAGCGGGACTCGAAAGTGGAAAGGCACAAAATCTCTCCGGAGAAGAGGGGAAAAGCAGCAGCTCGGGGCACAGCTGCGGACAGGTGCTCGGCTTTTCCTCGCCTCGAAGCATCCATCCTCATCTACGGGAGGAGGAAGGGCCCGGCTGCAGCCCGGGGACAAACCCTGCGAACCGCCCCTCGTCTACAGACCTGCCCCCGTGTCCCGCAGCTCCAGGCAGTGCCCGCCTGGGACGCCCCAACTCACCGCAATCGCGGGGTCTCTCCGCTCGCTGCCCGGCCCCATCTCCCACCGCCTCACTGTGTCGCACCGAACAAATCGCTCAAAGAGATTTTTTTTTTTTTTTCCCCTCTCACCCCTAAGCCAGAAAGCTCCGTACCGCCCCTCCTCAGCCTGACGGTTTGCCGCTACGGCTCCCTTCAGCGACTCCGAGTACGTGAAGTCACCGAGCCCGCTGCTGCCCGGGGTGTGCGGGGCTCTGCGGGCGGACACAGAAACGAGAGCACCCAGACCGGGCGGGGAGCGGCGCTGCCCCCGGGGCTGTATTGTCCCCAAGACCCCTCGGTGCTTCGAGCGCCGTCGGGTAGCGGCGGAGCAGCCCTCGCAGGGTTTGGTTTGGTTTGAAAATTTCACAAACAAGGGCGGAAAAAACAACCCCATTCCTCCCCCCTCTGTCTGCCCCCTCCCCCCCCCGGTGCTGCTCAGGGTCGTTGTGTCGCGGGGCTTTGCAGTTGCGCTGCACCGCGGTGTCTGTGCAACCCTTAAGCACGGATTTCCCCTCGAACGCGCTCGCAGCGCGGCGATCTCCCGTTTTGTAGCTCCTGCGATCGGATATCGCAGGACGCTAAAAACGAAAACTCCGTTCCTTCTTTAAGAAAAAATGAAATCAGCACATATTTGGTTGATGGTTTCCTCCCGGCCTGTTTATTTAATCTGACTGTATGATAGATGGCATCAGATAGGGGCTCTGTACACATCAGGCCACTCGGGAGTGTTTTTCTTTTTTTCTTTTTTTTTTTTTTTTAATGGATCAACAAACTGAGCGGGGAAAGCTGGATAAATACAGTGCCGCCCCTTTAAATGAGCGGAGATGTTTTTGCGATGTATTACTATATTAGGTGACATGGAACTTTGCATCTCTCATACCATCACGGCAATGTTGGCCAATAGAAAGCTAAAGTCACCCAAAAACTGCCTAGTCCCTCCTTCCCGTCCCTTATGGTCCGCTCCTACCTGCGCGCAGCACACAGGGCCGCCTCCCGCGGGATGCTATGTGCCCCCCCCCGGCAGCCCACGCTGCAGCAGCGCTCCGGGCCGCCCGCTCCTCTCTTCCCCTTCCATGACCCCGGGCTGCGGCCGCTGCCCCGGTCTCCTCCGCAATGTTTCCTAGCCCTGTGACGACGACTCCCTTCTCGGTCAAGGATATTTTGAACCTGGAGCAGCAGCAGCAGGGTGGCCTGGCGCCTATGGAGCTCTCTTCGCCCTCCTGCATGCTGGCCACCTTCAAACAGGAGGCGTTCGGTTCCGAGCCGCCCGCCCTGCCCGAGCTCCCCGAGCCGCACCCGGCCAAACCGCCCGCCGCCTTTCCCGGCCCCTACTACGTGAAAAGCTACGGAGAGATGGACGCGGCCAAGGATTCCAAGGCGGACAAGAAAGGTAACACTGCAGCCCGGGGCTGCGGCATTGCGCTCGGCCCTCTGCAGCCCGGCCCAGGGGCCCGAGGCGAACGGGAGCTCGCGAGGAGCGTCCGAAGGCCTTCCGAGGTGCCACGATGGGGAGAGAGCCCCGGTACCACCGGGAGCGGGGCTGGTGCTGTGGCACGGGGCAGAGGAGGCGCGGGGCGACGCGAGGCCTCAGCGGAAAGCAATGCGGCGGTGAATCTTTTTCTAACGAGCACAGCGAGTATATCTCTGTGGGGTGGGATTCAATACAAAGGGATGTAAATATGAGCTAAATCCAAAGACGAGACTAATCCAAATATGAGACAAATCCAAGCCCAAATTGTGGCAGAACCAAAAGGGATGAACTGAGCCTTATTTACAACAAACAAAAGCAAGCAAACAAATCCTAAAAACAAAAAAAAACAAAAACGAAAACAAAAGCAAAAACCCTAAGCAAACATAACAATAACAGTAATAATAATAATGACCACAAATTCTTCACAAGATGCTCGGAAGCCCCAGATGGAGCTGCTGCCCTGCAGACCCCACACGGATGGGACTGAGCAGGGTTCCCTGGCGGTGCACACGGGTCAGTAACACCGCTTTGCCTTTTGTTACGTTTTGCTCTCCCTGTTTTTCCTTTGTCCGTGTGTTTTGCTGCAGAACTGTGTTCCCTACACAAGAGCCTGGAGCAGGAGAAGAGAGAGCTGGAGGATCCCGAGCGGCCCAGACAGAGGAAGAGGAGGAAACCCCGCGTCCTCTTTTCTCAAGCCCAAGTCTATGAACTGGAGAGAAGGTTCAAGCAGCAGAAATACCTCTCGGCTCCCGAGAGAGACCATCTAGCGAACGTCCTAAAGCTCACCTCTACTCAGGTGAAAATTTGGTTCCAGAATAGAAGGTACAAATGCAAAAGGCAGAGACAGGACCAGACCCTGGAGATGGTGGGGATCCCACCCCCCCGGCGGATAGCGGTGCCGGTGCTGGTGCGGGACGGGAAGCCCTGCCTGGGGGAGTCTTCTCCCTACAGCTCGCCCTACAATGTCAGCATTAACCCCTATAGCTACAACGCCTACCCCGCGTACCCCAACTACAACAGCCCCGCCTGCAATGCCAACTACAACTGCAGCTACCCGGCCGTGCAGCCCGTGCAGCCCTCGGCGGCAGGCAACAACTTCATGAACTTCAGCGTGGGGGACTTGAATTCGGTGCAGCCGCCCATCCCGCAGGGGAACGCGGGCATCTCCACGTTGCACGGGATCCGAGCGTGGTAGGGCGGCCCGGGCCCGGAGCTGCGCGGGGGGGTCGGGATATCGCCGGGCTGCGGGGCGAGGGCAGCTCGGTGCGGGACAGCGGGGAGCTCCCCGAGGCTCTGGGACACGGTGTTCGTTCCGCTCATTCCCCTCTCCCCATCTTCCTACAGAACGGTCGGTCATTTCGCTTGACTTGTTCCTTAACAACGGAAAGCCAAGCCCTACAACTCATTATTATTATTTCCTTTTTTTCTTTCTTTCATTTTTTTTTTTTAAACTCTTATTCTAATTATTATTGAGAACCACATTTAATTTTGCACTTCCCGCCCGGTTCCCCCCCCCCTCTCCCATCCAGCCCGGTCCGCCCGCCTCTCCCCGCGGTCGCTGTCCCAGCGCAGGACGGGGACGGCCCCTCCGAGCTCCGGGCGCTCCGACTCGCCCCGTCCGCTCCCCGTAGGGTTATGCACTAAAACGTGAGTTAGGATTCAGATGCACTGCCCGCTCCTCGCCCCGCTGCCCGTTCGGACGTGTTTCCCTTTGCTGTACGAGCTGACGGAGATCAGCGAGTTGTCATTAAAGAGAGTGGCTTCACCTTGCGCGTCCCTGGCCTTCATTGGGCAGCCGAGGGCCCCCGGGGCTCCCAGCGCCGCCCCCGATCACCTTTTTATATTACTTTTCCCCTCCTCTCCGTTTCTGTACCCCTTCAGTAACTGCGGCGATTCCCATTTTGGTGCGTGCGTTAATGTACTTTCAAAAGCGATTTAAAAGCTGCTCTAAACTCCCCACCTCCCCCCCCCCCCAACCCAGGCAGGACCGCCGTGCCTTGTCCCCTTCAGTTCCACCGCGGGAAGGGCCGGGAAAGTTGTTGGGGAGCTCTGGGAGGTGCGGAGCCCCACTCGCTGCCCCTGGACACTTTGGGGCCAGGGGTGAAGGGACGGATTTCTTCCTGACACGGAAAGGCAACACGAGGGCGGCAAAGCTCCGAGCCCTAAAGCACCGGGTCGGCTCCTGCCCGCGCTCCCACTGCATTGCATTCCCATAGGGACAAGGGACAGAACACCCCCGGCCCCAAAATGCTCAGGGGCAGGGAATGGTGCTCCCCATTTCGGCTCCCACCTCTCCTCTGGCTCAGCCCCGGCCCCTCGTCCGCTTTTACAGTAGTCGCTATTAAATGTCAATTATTGGGAGTGAGAAACAACAAACATTGTAATTCAGCGCAGTCAAAACATCCTCTGAGTGTCTGAGATTGTCCGGCCCGGCGATAAGGCGATTAGGAGAACCTGCAACCTCTCCTGTCTTGGCCGTATCGGTCCCATCAGTAAACAGGGATGGAGACAGGGTGGCTGTGGCCCTGGGACAGGGATGAGAGGCTGCGGGTGAATGGAGCCTTCTGCAGTCCCTGCCCCTTCTTCCCAAAGGGACCGACCGCACACACGCCCGGATAGGATCGCACAGATAAGGGGCTCCCATCTCCTTTCTATCTCTGTTAATGGAAGGAGAGATCTGGGTGTTGCTCCCAGAGCCCCTAACGCTGCTTGGAGTGCAGACGCTGATAGCTGGGGGTTTGGGGGGAGGGGAGGGGGGGAGGCATTGGTCACCCCGCAGGAACCTGCCTCTGGGCACTCACCTGGCAGAGGATGCCACCTTTGTGATGCCAGAAATGAGAACCAGAGCACGGACTCACGGCTGCCCACCTCTAAATGTGGAGACAGCAAAGGCTGCTTCTTCACGAAATCTCTCCTGCCCCAAGACTACCGGCTGTTTGCTAACTACTGCCTTCCTCACACACACTTTGTGGTAGAAAGACTCGCAGAACCCAGCAGGTGGTAGAGAGAGAGAGAGCAGGTTAGACAGGAAACTTCCTGCTCTATTTGAGCAGAGGGTGCCTATCTTCCTGAGAGCCCCGGGGAAAGAGCAAGGTCTGAGCTTTGCCACTGCCAGGTGCCAATTCTGTGCCTCAGTTTGCCTTATCTGCAAAGTGTGCACAGTGCTATTGCCCTGCTGGCACCATTCACAGTCAGACCATGCTGCTGCTACTGAGCTTGGCCAGGAATACAGCTGACAGCAAGACCCCAGGAGATGAGGACAAGTCCTGAGTTAACATGAAGAAAAACATTAAAATAGCCTAAAATACAGATTCCTGCTTTCAGAGCATGGCCCTAGACCTTTATTAAGGGATCTACCAGGACGGACTGCAGGAAGAATCCAGAACAAAAGTAACTCTACACATCAACACAGCATCCATCTCACTTCCACATACTCCAAACATCCTTCCTCACATGTTCATTTCTACACATTTATTTCCTCCAGGAATATCTCAGAGCTCCAGCTATCAGGGACTCCAGCTGTCAGTGGAGCAGGGCCCAATGTTCTCTGTTCTGGGCACTGACTTTGGGTCCAATTGCCAGAACTGTGCTACACTCATTCCTAAGTGGAATGGACATAACCCCAGCTCTGGGCTGCTCACACGCTCCCCTCCTCCTCATAATTCCCCATCCATGCAGGGATTGCATCACGAGCAGATGCACAGCGGGCAAAGCCAGGGCTTGGAGCAGCAGCCAAAGAGCTGGAGGCTGCGATTCAGACAGAGGACACAGGCACAGCTGGCTGAAGCCAAGAGCAGTGCTCAGCCCTGCTCCAACAACCACAGCAAGAAGCATGGATAGAGAGACCTTCCATTAGCTGGGCTTGGGAGAATCACGATCAAATTAACCTCCATTAGGAATGAATGTCCAGGACGTGGGGGCTCGCTGGCCTCACATGCTGCTACTGGCTCTGCCTCAGCCCAGCAGCCCCAGAGTCAGTGGGGTCAAGATGTGAGAGGTTTCCCCAGGACTTTGGTGGCACTGAGGCTGCCACACACACACACACACACACACACACACGCACCATGACATGCTCTCCTGAGTCCAGCTCTCGCTGATGCATAGAAAAACTGAATGCATCCAACCTGACACGGGGCTGTGAGCCTCAAGGGCTTCAGGTCTATAACGAAATATGGAAAAGACTGTGCTTAGAAAGCATCATTCCAGGGAAAAGCACAAGGTAGCAGTTCCTCCCCAGGGAGCCTGAAATTGGAGATCCTCTCAGTGTTTGGGAGCAAGCTTAGGGAAGAAGGAAAGAGGTTTTAGTAAGGTTTGCACTTGGATCTGATCTCAGTGCCCTTTCCTCAGCTTTTTTGGATGGCGCAGTCAGGCACCAGCATTTCCCTCCCCCCAACACCAGCTTCATTTGGAAGAATTCAGTGCTCCCACTCCATCTGAAGGTAAGAGCAGCAAGTACAGCACTGTATCACTTCATTTCCAGACAAACGGCGCACGGTGGGTTTATACAAACTCACACCACTGGTAAGGGAACAAGGTAAATAACGAATAAAGGTGCCAGCCATAAGGGACTGAGAGCAAATCCCTGCTCTTCAGCAATTTTGTGGAAATGGAGGTAATTGCTAAATAACATCCACATAGTCCCTAGGGCACAGCTGTGGCCAGAACTTTATTCCTTATATTTGGGGAATTTTGCATTGCATGCTTTGTGGAGCTGGAAAACACAAGGTTTGGTCCAGGCAAGAATCAGCCCAAGTGTTCTGGAGGAGCTCAGCAGGAAAACAACAGAAAAACAACTCCCTCCCTGCTCCTAACTCATCTCACTGACAACAGTTTAGATCAGTATCGGCAGTAAGTGATTTCTCGTTAACGGGGATTATTAAGAAGAATCAACACCTTTAAGATGTGATTCCTTGTTGTGACCAGAAGGGAGGTGGAGCTCAGTCTGGTTCTGCCTCTGGCCGGGGGTTACTGAGTGCGGTGCGGGCTGCGCGCTGCCTTTTGCAGCAGAGAGAGAAGGAACTGGAGATTTCTCCTAACAAAAGGACGAGCACAAGGCAGTACACGTGTGGAAGTTAATCAGCCAAGGCTTAGCAAAGCGGTGTGGAACGGGTTGGGTGCGAATCTCTGCCTGCCTCCTCCAGAGCGTCGCTGGGCAGAAAGCTCCACTTAGAGAGCAAGTCTTCCCAGAGCAGGCCATCAGCCTCTAACCTCTTCCTGCTCCCACACTAAAGGGAAACATCAGCCTTTTTTCCCCTCTCTCAGAACACCCTGACTTATTATTTTAACACAAGCTTTACCCCAGCCCACATAGAGACCTCACCATTACTGCTCCTTTCACGCCATGCACTGGCCCACACTGATCTTTTCTTTCTGGTACCAGCACGGACTCTTAAGGTTCCCAACCTCCTCTCTTCTCTCACACTGCTGCTCATCTTCAGAAAATGCTGTGCTCAGAGCAGCTAACAAGCCAGCTCTGAAGTATTTCACACTGCTGCGTGTGTTCAGCCCAGACTGTAGCCTGAAATGCAGACTAGCATCTATGGGGTGGCTGAAACCGGTAGAAAATGGGTGAGTTCCTTGGTCTTTGCTGAAAGGAGTTGCTGGAACTGCAGATCACATACAAGCTGTGTAAATGGTGTCTGGATGAATACACTAAGCAGCAAAATGAGACAAAAAATAAACTGTGTTCTGAATACGAGCAAGAGGAAAAGATGACAGAAACCCAGGAAGAGAGCTGAGAATTCAGAAGAGCAAAGCAGGACATTCTTAATGCAGCTCTGTGCGCTCAGCAACTGATGCGCTGACTCCACCAAGCCTATAAAACATTTGTTAAGTCACCCCTGCTTAAAATAACATTTGCTTGGTGTCAAACAGGCGGCAGGGGCTAATGGCTAAAACATGGCTCTGCAAGGCAGGAGATGAGCAGCTTTCCGAGCTCTGTTACAGAGGGGAGCATTGCATTCACAGTGGGTCAGTGCAGACCCTGCACCTACACAGACACGAGCAGGGGCTGCACAAACACGGCATCCACCCACGGGATCTGCAGAGGTTGCTCAATGCTCGCGTGATGTGCTGCAAAAAGTTGTTGTCCAAACTTGTGAAGGGGCAGAAGCTTACAGTGGCCAAAGTTTGGGTTTGGATTGCATTTATTGGTCTTGGGGAGACATTCTGGAGCTGACCTGCTATTTGTGGAGATGGCAAGGCAGCAGGAGAAACAAACATGAATGATGCTACTGTAGAGTGGGTAAGGTTAGGAGTAAGCAAACGCAAGCAGGCAAAGAAAGGCAAGTTTGTCAAGCATTTCATATTCCATGAACCACTCTGTTGTTTCTTAAGAAACAAACAGTTTTAAAAGGGTATTTTAGAGCTCTTTCCTAGAACCAACAAACCTGGTTGTTTCACAGTTGAAAAGTTTGATCTCAGAAATATTTTCTGTGTTCTGCAGATTGGGAATAAGATTCAGCACACTGTTGCTGCAGGAATATACCACCATTTGTTTTAGCATAGCAGATGTTTCCTAAATAGATTGCATTGTCCTCCAGCATAAGCTTTGAGGAAGTTGCAGCGCTGGATCCCAGAAACTGCCCCCAAATCCCATCTTCCTGGCCAGGACTGCTGTCCTCTTGACTATGTGAGGAATAAAAGCTGCTTTCAGAGCAGCCCCTGCAGCAGTGGAGGTGCGGCACACAAACATGCGCGCAGTGCTGGCTGGCTGTTATCAAGAGGAGCCACTAAGAAACAGGCCACCAAAAGGGGTGGAAAAAAAGGAAAAGGAAATAAAAAAAAGACTTGCAGTCAAATAACCAAGTTTTTCTTACTTTCAAGAGCCAAAAAATCAGAGCAAATTTGTACCACTTGGCTTTAGCAAGTCAGTTCTAATGATATCAGCGGGATGATTTATGCTATTTCTGGGAAGGAAAATATAAATCTCGGTTGACTTGAGGTTTCATGTACTACTTTGTGCATTGTGCAGTGTCAGCTGCTGCTTCCTCCCCGCCACATATCCAGAGAGACACGTCCAGAACCGCCCCACAGTTACACACACTTCACTTTACGGACACGGCTAATCCTGCTGAAGGTTCCCATACTGGTGTGGACAGCGTGAGGGCTCACAGGAGGAGCAGACAGACACACTGACACCCAGCAGCACTGCTGGCACCCTCCCATGCTGAGGCTCTTGTATCCTGCTATTTATTTCTAGTTGGAGGCTCAGAGGGGTTATACTTGCCTTGGGGTATGGCGTATATCTGAGTTTCTCTTTTCAATTGCGTGCCCAGAGAGCAATCCATACCCTGCACTCCAGCAGATGCTGTGAGAGCCCCATGCTATCGCCACCACAGACACAAAGAGCTCAGGTTCTCCACTGACATCTTTACAGACAACCCTTTTAAAGCAACGCCAAAAATCCACGTTACTCAACCATAGTTCTTAAAGCACCAAAGCAGAATTGCTGCTATTAAAAGAGATGCTCTGCAGTATCTCTCAGCCGCTGCTCACACGCCTGTCTGGAGCTAATTCCTCCTCTGAGATGATGCACAAACAACTCACGAGAGCATCAGGACGCCAACCCAGAGCCCATTGGTATTTCTCCTTGAGAATTTACATCTAAATAACTTTTTATATAATGAGGCATCGGAACTGGAAACCAAATTTCCCCATCGAGCCCTTGGCACCAACATGGCCACTACTCATTTTTGGACACACAAAAGCTATTCCCCAGGTAAGATGGAAATGAACAACTGATGTTTTTCTCACAAAATGAAGTGGTAGCACAGGAGATATATCCAGCAGAAACAGGAATAGCTGTGGGTTCATTTCCAAACACCTGGCTTGCTTTTCTTTCTCAACCACATTTCTCATCCTATTAGTCTCAATATTCCAGTTGTGAAAACACCACGCTCTGTCCCTTTGATCAGCCCGTGAAAAGTCCTTTCATGTCTCGCTGTCTTCATTACCTTACATTTTAATTGCTGGCCTTGCATGGGACGGACAGGTGGTACAAGGTCACCACAGGAGATGACAGATGCCTGTTGGCCATGCACACCCAGATCATGCGTGCTGAAATCAACCTGTGCAGCAGCAGCCACCTGTTGTGCACTGGGGCACCCACGGAACTGGGCAGTTCCAGCCTCCAAGCACTTATTTCAGAACCCATTAGAAATAAACATCCATACCTCTTCAGTTCTTTTAACGTAGCATTTTAAACGAGCACAAACTCCAGTGTTACTCATCTGAGCATCACCCTCCACACAAACTGAGACCCCCATTTCACACATTGCTGAAACAATGCATCCACACAGGGGGATTTGACCCAAATTATGGACAAAAAAATCCCAAATTTTCACACCCCAATCCTGAACCAGCAGCTGAGTGAACATTTCTGAACAAAGAGAACCCACTTCAGATGCTCACCACATTCTATATGCAGCCACATGGACTGCTGGGAAAGTAGGAGTGGTTTTTATTTTGTTTTTTTTTCTCTCTCTTTTTTTTTTTTAATACACACCTTGAGTTCTCCTCATTGGTTGAAACCCTGTTCTACAGGAATTTCCATTTTCCCCTAACTCTATTTACACTTCATGATCCAGAATGTTCCTCCTCCGAGGCATTAGACTTAGTGACTTCTTTGTCATGGCATGAGTGAGGTGGTGTCTGATGCAAGGACAGCTGTACTGGATAGTAGGTGTCATATCATTTTATTTATTTAAACAGGGAAAGGATGAGAAATCATAAGGAGGAAAATACCACTCTAAACCATCATAGTTTTCGGCCTTAAATTCAAAGAGTACACAAGCTGCCAAAGCATAGGCTGCATACAACATGCTTCTAGATGTCATGTAATTCGGATCCAAGCCTAAGTTTGGGGCCCTATTCCAGCTTCACAGTTCAGAGATGCACAATCCCTGTGGTGAGGGTCAATACCATTATGCTTAACTTGTCTCACATTGAAAATGAGGGGTAGATCCACTCAAATCTCAGTGTAAGACTAAAATAGAAGAGAGGTTATTTTGCTGAAGTCAGGCACTTCTTTGCTTCCAGCAGTAACGCACTCCCTCTACAAAAGCAAAAATAATAGATGAGAAGGTTCTTATCCAGGAAAGCCAAGCTGGCCCCCCAAGATTTGTCTCAAAAGGCAGAGAGCCTCATTAACTGCTGGGCAGAAGGAAATGCTTCCTATCTCCTCCTCCCCCTGCCTCCCAGATGGCCATTCCTTTCATTTTCTGGGCAGGTTCCTTCCCTGTGTGCAGCTGTTCCCAACTGCAGCCAAAATCAAACCATTGGCACTCATTAGCTCTACTCAGCCCTTTCATCCAGAAGTCAATGGGACACACTTAGAGAGCATAAATGACAGGAGTCAAGTTCAGACTGAGGTACAGGTGTCTGGCACTGGAGAAGCCATTCAAGCAATTAGTTCCCACTTACACCATCTCGTTACTTCAGCTTAAAAAACAAAACAAAAAGCAACACAAAATCTAGATGAAACAACAGATTTTGCAGATTTTTGTGCGTCAATTGAAGAGCATCACTCTCTTCAGATGTCTCAAGAACATTCCCATTGTCCCAAGCAGGGCATCAGCAGGCCATCCACCTTCAAAATTAGTTGAGAAAAACAGTATGGGCCACAGGAATTGATTTCATACTCTCAGACTAACTGTGATAGCAGGAAGCTCCTCATTTATGCTATGTTGCAGTATGTATTTCTTATGGTTTTGTATTTTTCTCTAAGCTCAGAGTTGGTGAGATCTCAAATATGGGAAGGCCCTATTTTCATTTCAGCCCTGGCACCCACTTGATGCAGAACTTTGAGGTGGTCAGGAGAGTTCACGTGTGGCACTGCAAGCAGTGGCAGAAGGTTCAGGTGGGAACAAGGCCCTCCTAAGCCCTCTGAGTGTGGTCAGGCTGCAAGGACACGGGCAGAAGCTCATGGAGCAGGGATTAGCTTGCATGCTAAATGGATGGAAAAATAGATGGGATGGGGTGAGAGCAGGGAAGAGGAACAGACTTCTCAAAGGAGAAAACACTTTCTGGTTGAACTGAGCTAAAGATAGGATGAGCGCCACGAGCAGCTTTTTAAAGCAGCACAGCTCATCTTATCAGTGAGCCCCCTGGAAGGGGAGCAAAGCTTTCACCCAACACGGTGCTTTACAGCCAGGCTATGGGATGCCTGTGGGGAACCTCACTGGGGAGCTGACTGCACCCCACAGCAGCCCTCCCCCAAACATTACGTCCCACACCCTGTATTGCTTTGACTCCTGACCTTGGGTTGGGTGCAGGGCTGCCAGGCCACCACCAGCGCTTCTGCTCAGCTCTGGCCCCTCTGCTCGCAGCCATGGGGATGCTTTAAATAAAGGGCATCGTGGTGATAGATTCGTCAAGACCAAGGGTCAAGTTTATGTTGATCTACAGGTGTCAGAAGTGTATTGATCCAATGATTGAGGTCCACAGGAGGTCACCATAAATCCTCGGGGGGATGACAATAACCACATCACTTACTTGCAGCTGTTACAGAGGTAACCAGATAAGGTAGAGCAACAGCCAGCAGGTGCACTTGGAGCCCTGGTGATGCCGTAGTGTTGGTTTCTGTACACCAGGGTGGGCAAATGTATAAGAAGGTGATAACACAGACCTACCGAGGTCCTGGTCAGGGCAGAGGAAGGACATTTATTTCAGCTTGCACCGAGGTGCCTTTGGCTCACACGAAATGGAAGCATCGGGTAGGAACACTTTGTCCTTTTTGGTCAGTGCATTATTTCCCTGACAGCCCCAGGTTGCACCTGGCTCCAAAACTACTTTTGCAAATGCAGTTATTCTGCAGATGGAAAAATTGCTCCAGCAGGCACCGCCAGAGCAGATACAGGGAAAGGAATTTCCCAGCCCTTGTTTCCAGCTCCTCAGCTAATGCCCACACTCAAGTTTTGCGGTGTCTGACCATGACCCAGGTGTGATCCCCCAGTCCCCAAAACAGGAGCAGTGCTGGTGGTTCTGCAGCTGTATGTGCCAAGTGCTCAGCCCGTGATGCTCAACCCTTTCATCGTGCTCCTCTCCCCAGAGCTGTCAGAGTGAGTTCTGACTGTCAAAAGCAGCACTATGGTTCTGATGCAGTCACACATCACAGTTAGCTGCTGGTATGTCAATATACGAAGGGTACATAAGCCATTATACAGTGAAGCTCTGATACAGTTGTGTTGAACAAAGCACAGAAAGTTAACTTGCTAATGTGATGAACCTCAAACATTTTTGCTAATTTAGAATAATTTGGGGGTTAATATAACAGAGAAACACATTTGGGAGTTAATATATCAGAGAAATACACTGGATTAATTAAATCAATCTTAATAAAAAACAAGTCATAATACATAACCCAACAACTTTTATCCAACTCTTACTTTTGGAGAATACCACTTAATTATTAAGATCAAGGTGATACATTCTCCATTGTGGTGTATTCCAAAGGACGTTGGAAATCTTTAGGAATTAATAAATCTCTCCAGGATTGAAGAAACTCAGTTTAACTTAAAATGGCTTTTAGCATCCAGCAGCAAATCATATTAGGCTTTTTTCATAAACTATACATAATTAGAAAATTGTATTCCAAAAGACATTTGATGAGAGCAAAAATGATTATTATGAGAGTAATGTGCCATAAATATGAGTGTAGTACATCTCAGTTAAAACATGCAGCTGTCCCTGCCATAGCACAAGGATTAATAATTTCTGAAGTGTTTGCAGCACCTGTGTTGCAGCTTTTCAGTGCCAGCAGTCACTTAGAAGCACAATAAAGGGCAATGCATTGCTGGAGCTTGCATGGGAATGAACCTCAGCTCTCCTTCACCAACAGATGCATGCTGGAGCGATTGCTGCACAGCGCCCCAAACATCCAAGAGCAAACACAGCAACGTGTGCCACGGCTGGTTTCTCCCAGATGCGATTGCCAACCCAACATGAGAATGATTTAAAACAGCCCTCAACTCTGTTGTATTTAACTCAAATGTCATAGGATTTGGGCTCTCTTTGCTCAGCTGAGGCAGAGCTGGGTAGGTGAGCACTGGAGCAGGGCTGGGCAGAACGTTATTTCACAGTGCTACCTAGTGGTTTCTGCAATAAATGATCACTTGGTCAAAGCCTGGCCTGGTACAGAAGCTCCATATGAAGCAGATACAGATTTACAGTGTAAATCCAAACCTTCACAACTGCCCAAGATGAGCAGAACGGGGTACTGACACTGCAGGGGGAGGGGACAGTAGAGAGAGAAGGAAAAAACGCATCATGAACCCAAGCTCTTCTGACAGGACGTTTATACACACACGCACAGCAGCAAAATAAACTCCAGCAGCTGCACCAGATGCAGACAGCAGCACCTTAGACCAACAGTGAGGGTTCATCCCCCACTGCTATCAGTGGTGATCAGCACAGGAATATGAGCTTTCAGATCCCATCCCTCCCTTTTTCCTCTCTCAGTATCAAGATGCCAACATCATATTCTGATGAGGTTTTATAGACATATCTTGGTGCTTCCCCACATTTTCTCCCAGCACAGGTCACACTGTGGAAGTAACCACACATCCTTCACTTCACCTGAAACTCTCCAGCTCCCCCTTGCTCCCCAAAACAGACCAGCAACTGTTGCCTTTTGCACAGCCCAGCACCAGTTTCTCCCTTCTATTTGGATCCATCCATTTTTTCTGGACAGCAGGTGCCTTGGTACAGGACATGGCACTATACTTAGCACCCGTGAGGCTGCACCTCCTGTACTGTATTCAGTTTTGAGACTCTCACTACAAGAAAGACACTGAGATTCTGGAGTGTGTCCAGTGAAGGGCAATGGAGCTGGGAAGGGTCTGGAGCACAAATCTGATGGGGAACAGCTGAGGTAGCTGGGATTATTCAGTCTGGAGAAGAAGAGGCTCAAGAGAGACATCACTCTCCGTACAACTGCCTGAAAGGAGGTGGTGGCAAGATGGGGGTCAGCTTCTGCTCCCAGGTAACAGCAGTAGGACGAGAGGGAATGGTCTTAAGTTGCACCAATGGAGGTTCAGATCGGATATTAGGGAGAGCTTTGTCTCAGAGTGCATAGTGCTGCACTGGCACAGCTGCCCAGGGAGCTGGTGCAGTCACCATCCCTGGAGGCATTGAAGGACTGTGGAGATGTGGCACTGAGGGATGTGGTCAGTGGGCATGGTGGGGTGGGTTGGTGATCTCAGAGATCTTCTCAACCTTAACAATGCTTTGATTCTAGGACCACACCATTGCCCTGTGTCCACACACAGAGAACCACAGTGCTCAGTGTGACACCAGTACAAACAGGCCAGGCCTTGTTCAAACCTACCAGAATAGATGGAAGCCAGGTCTGGCAGGATCTGGTGGGAGATGTTAAATCCCTTTATGAGAAAATGCCATATTTAGAAAGGGGATCACAGTGCTGGCTTCCCTGGGCAATGCCCTCTGATTGCCAGATGAAAGGACTCATGTAAGTACTAAGTAGTATTAATAGCCACAGGCACAATATATATATACACACACACACACACACACACACGAGATTCATCCAGTCAAACAAAACCTAAGTTATTTCCAATTGCAACATTTGTATAATGCCATTGACACTCAACTGCTGATAAGCTGGACACACTTAAGGAATTTTAATAAGCCTTTGAAAAGGTTTAACTGATGTGAATTAAGCCCCAAGATAATTTAGACACACAGCTATCATTCTTTAGTTGAAAATAATAGATCTTGAATTGAAACACCACATCACATGCCCCAGTGTGCCAAGTAATGTTATTTGTCACCAGCAGCATCTGGGGCGGAAGAGCACGATTCTGGAGCAGGCTGCAGCCAGCTCAAGGTGTGCAGGAGCCCTGTGAGAGTCCACACACCTGGGGGACCTCTCCCACTTCACAAGATTGGGATTGTTAATTGACATCAAGTGTGAGGTTTCTACCAGGCTGCCATTAACTGAAGTGCCTTACTCATCACAGGTCAGCGTGGAAAGGACTGCTAATGTTGGCTACAAGCCACAGAAATAGCTATGCTCTCTTGCAAGGATAGAATTAAAATCTTCAATTAGAGTTTAATTAACACAGAAGGTTGTGTTGTTTTTTTTCCCCTCTCCTTTCCTGGAAAGGAGCACTCTATATTTACTGTTTGTTTCAGTCATTTCGCTTTCCTGGCAATGTCTCTTACAGCCTGTTATCATCTGTGGACTACTCTAGCAGACATCATTTAATGCACATTTGACAAGGTGGTAAGACCAGACACTCTCACTGAGATACGTAAATGAGAACATCCACACATCTTCATAGAAATTAATTAATGCACAGTAATGAGAGGAAGAAAATTCCCACTTGTATTATCTCACTGTCTACACAAAGCTGCTTACAGTTAGGATTGTGGAAGATGAGGAGCTAAGTCTGGGCCCAAGTCTGCTATTGCCCAAGGTCCTGGCACGAAGACAAAGCTATTTTAAATGAACTGGCAGATAGAGACCCCTTCTCCCCCCCCCCCCCCCCCCCCCCCCATCTGCCCTCTTTTTTCTTTTTCGGTTGGTTTTGAATAAGCAGGCAGACCACTGGCACAGACAGCCCCTAAGTGATGGCCAAAGTTGCCCCTCAGCTCTGTGCATTAAGCTACTTGCACTTTTGCTTCAGCTATTTCCAAATATCTTCTCTGACATTTAAACAAACCTGACTAACATTACGATCTTAATAGCATTTGCAATGTTATATCCAAATGAAAAGAAGCAGAAGAATAATGCTTTGAAGAACACAGCTCGGATTGGAATTCTCCATTTGTTTAAACCCAAGTACATAGCACTGTATCAGAGTACAGACAGGGATAAAGGAAGGCTCTTCTCCTGGAAGCATCAAGCATATGCTATTATCAGGCACAGGATGGGAGGCCAACTGGATCAATAGGCTTACTCAATATAGAAAATCTTATCTCCATTTCAGACTAGCTAGCAATAATGTCAGCACCTAGATGCCACTGACAGAGTTATCTCAGATCAGGAGCAGCAATGACTGCTTGGAAGCAGGGTGACACCTACAAAAAGCCAATAACCCAAACAGAAATGTTTTACCCCACTGTCCTTTCTGAAGATAAAGGCAAACCAGTGAGGCTCTCTGCTCCGTGCGTGTTTATCAGGACTACACAACCAGGCTCTGCAGCAGCCTTGGATTTCAGTTTCAGACCTCTGTTCCCATTGGGACAACACAAGCAAAGAACTGTGGGTGCACAGAGCCCAGACCCCTGGAGGGGTCAGGTCCAAAAGCGTCCCTGCTGGCGATACGCGGCCATCACGCTGTTGAAAAGAAGAAAGCAAAAAGCTTTCATGTTGTTCTATATATATGTGGTTCTATCTATAGGGCCGGGTGTGCGCTGATCCCCGAGCAGACGTTCTCCCTGCCTGCCCTTTGGGCGCTTATCACGGCACGCAGGGACGCACGCAGCACTATCTCCAGGCCAGGCTCGCAGAGGCCGGGTGCCATTTTCCTTTCATGCAGAAAGCCACACCAGCACAGGGCAGAGCGCGTTGCAGGAGCGCGGCTCAGCCCCAGCATCGCGGCACCACACCAAGGTCAGCAGCGATAGCATCTGAGCGGTTCCACTGAGCGAGCTTAAAAATAAAAAGAAGCCCTAGCAGATGGATGAGGTCTGAGCGAGCCCTGCAACACGATTCACACAGCTGCAAAAACCTCAGGATTCACTTTGGCATTGGAGGCTCATGATAGACGCACACCCAGCATCGCTGCACCACGCAGTATGGCCACTGATACCACGCTGGAAGCGTGCCCTTTTCCTCGGTGCCACCCAGGCACAGAGGGGTCAGAAAATTCTTGTCACGTGGAATCAATGGGAACAGTCAGTGGCTGAAGATGCAGCCAGGCCAAAAACAGTCAGCAATCCCAAACGCTGCAAGGTTATGATTGAGGCATTCACCATTTACATCGTTGGACTAAAAGTACGATACCCAGAGCAAACCCCAAACCAGAGTCAAGTAAAAGCTGCTTTTTATGAAACATTCCATGGGGATAACATGTGATGCTTTCATTTGCAACTGTGAAAGCCATGCATATGCTTTTGTAGAATTTGCTCTTTTTGTAATGATTGCACAGTGCCCAAAGCTGGGAGCTCGCTCCTAACGCTGCTCATGAGGAGACCAATAGCCCCAGCTCATGGAGTACCCTGGCCTGGGAGGTGGGCACTGCCTTCTCTGCTATTTTGCAGAAGTGTGAGAAAAGGATTTGGATATACATCTTTCCTATGATGACTTGCTCTTTGTCAGAGCTTTGCTGCTGCACAGCACAGGGCCATGGCTGCACGAAACCCATTTATAGGCAGTGCCAGAACTAAAAGGTAAGGAAGGAGCCTAGCAAGAGCTGCAATATCACTAAACTTACAACTGAGATGCAGGAATATGCATCCTCTAAAGAACTCAGTAGGTCACTGACAAGAAGAAAAACAGGAGGGCAGGTCACCTCTTATGAGAAAAAGAGGTAAATAACTTTATTAAAGTAGCAAAAAAAGTGCATAAAGCAAAGAGACTTTTTGCAAATCCCTACATAGTTGCTTGCCTGGCATGTTGGGAATTGTCACCTTGGATATTCAGAGTGTGCTGGGCAACTAGAAAAACAGTATTAAGAAACAAACATGGGAACTCTGCCTTCAGCACCTGTGAACATTTTAAGTTTGATCATCTTTATTTTCCTATAGTCAATAAATCCAGTAGCAATCATGTCTTAGAAAGATAACACTATCACCCACAGATCCCATTACTGCTAAATAAGCATGCCTTGAAACATACTCAAATGAGAAAAATTGAATGACATCGTGTGCTGCTGCGTTAGAGAAGTAAAAGTTATACTTCAACACAAAGTATGAACACAGGCTTTTTCCACCTCTTAAGCTGAACTTGTTTTTCAGCTGTTGCCAAAAATACCATTATTTGTACTACAAATGAGGACTGGATGCAGTTGGATAGAGATTGAGACCGTTCAGCCTTGAGAACAAAAGGGCCAGAGGGATCCCATCAATGCACAGGAACACCCAAAGGAAGGTGCAGGGAGCAGAGCCAGGCTCTTCTCTGTGGCACTCAGCGCTAGGACAAGAGCAACGAGTGTGAGAACATAATGCTCCTCTGAACATCGGTACAGACTCCTTCATTGTGCAGGTGATGGTGCACTGAGAGGCTGCCCAGAGGGCTCACAGATACTCCTTCCTGGAGACCTTTAGAAGCTGCCAGACATGGCTCCAGGTGGCCCTATTGGCACAGGGGCAAGACCTGTAACCTACAGAGGTGGCCCCAACCTCCACCACTCTGAGATCGTGAGACACAGACAACCAGGGAAACTGAGCAGCAGCAACCTTCCAGCCCTATTACAGCTGCTTCTTGAAGATTAGCTCCTTTTCTCAAGGACTGTCCTCAAATACAGAATTGCATCAAACCATCTTCACCCAGAAGAAATCACTGGGGGTACCGAGCCCTTTCCCCCCCGAGCAGAAGGAGCAGCCCATGCTGCAGCTGTCAACGTGTGCCAGCAGAGCAGAGCACCTCTGTGCCCAGCATCTGCTGCTTGCCTGGGGAGCTCTTTCCCCACTTTTGAGGAACAGAGGCACAAGACTCAGGCACCACTCCTGTGTGGAGCTCAGCCCGCCTTACAGCAACATAGAATCACGAAGGCACCACATCTCATTAAAATATTTGCTTTAGATTTCCCTTCCGGTGGGATCACACCATCACAGATACTTTTAGCTGTTTTTCCCCCCTTCAAAAGAAGAGCCCAACATACTTGCAGACAAGCATGCACATGCCCCCTGGATATTCTCAGCCCCCAGAGATTCCAGCCTGGCTCACTCTGGACCACTTGGCATGCGATAGCAGCCACATGCATTTGGCAGAGACATTTTTAGAAACTTCCAAGCTATGAATTCACCCTTCCATTTTGGTAAAGCCAGTTATGTGGAAAGCATTTTGAAAGGGGAAGTTCAAATACACACTTCATTTCACCATAATTCTTAGAAAGGGAAAAAAGATTACGTTCCTCATTCATCTTTGCAGTTATCTTGCAACATTCCTGTATTTGCTGATGCTATAACAAATGTCAAAGGCTTACAAATCAAATAAGTCCTCCCAGCACAGTTCCACTGTGCATTAAAATAATTTCCATTCATTTCCCTCAGGTTCACATTTAACCACTACCACTGTCTGCTTGCAACACGTTTATTAGTACTATTTCACCATGCATGTGCTTAATTCTGTAATTAAACTCACTAACCAGCAAACTTCTAAAAACAAGTTACTTCTCAACCTGCCAAACCATCAGAACTGCCCAATCCTCCATTGCCCCAGCACAACCAATCACTACTGTCCTCCAAATGACTCCAACCCCTGCTGGGCTGGAGGCTGCACCTTTAATGAGGCTCATTAACACAGCTGTCTGATTGCTGCCAGCTGCCTGCCTCAGCCCCCCATACTGCAAGGACATTTCAGTCTCTTTTTAAGCTCATAGCAGTTACATGATCTTTGTTTCAAAGAAGTATTACTCTTGGAAGAAAAAAGTTTTTTTTAGCTGTAACTGTTTGGAAATGAAATCCACCACTGAGCTTACAGTCACCACATCTGGCAGGTTCTACCTGAGGAAAAGCTATGGTCCAGAGAGCACCAGGAGCACTACTGGTGGCATTCACTTATGTTGAACCACTGGCAGCAACTGTCACATCAGTACCTTCACGTATTAACAGCATGCCCAAGCACCAGCTCATCTGACACCAAAATTAATGCCTCTTAAAAGGGACTGAAGGTGAGTTGAGGCGTCCACGTTCACATAGCATCATACAAAGAAACCACAGCTCTGAAACCTTTTCCTTTCTTATTCCAGTGTGTCTCCCCGCCCCCGCCCCCCGACTCCAGTTTCAGCAGCACTCCAACCCATGATCCCCAGGGAAGAAGGAAGCCTGTCCTCACCATCCACAGAGCTTCTGCTATGCTTTGCAGGGTAAGCTTGCAGGGTCAAGTGCCTTGGTTAACACTATGCCTCTCAAATAAATTGCTGTAATGCTAGCTTTCTTTTACTTTCCACAATACAACCAGAGGCAGCAAGGCCCTGAGACGTCATCCTGTGACCATCAAGACCATCCACTGCCCAGAAGGCTGGAGGTACAAACAGAACCCTTCTTCAGACACAGGAGAGCCACACAAGGCTAACTTTCCCCAGTTACTGAACCAATATCACAAATAACAGACAACAAAAGCCTCCTACCACCGCTCCCATTCCATTCCTGAGTAAAAACAAGGCACAAACGCCTACCTTCAGGCCAGAAGAGAGGTCTGTAGCAGGATGCCATACTGCAGACTGGAGGGATGATGTCAGAGCATCCCCAGCTGTGGGCAATATGGGCTGATTGCAGCACCAACCCACTCCGCTCCAGTACCAATCCCAGGTGCACACTGAGGCACCACTGATCCCACGTGCTGCAGATGATGTTTGCCCAAAACACCCCTCTTCCTTCAGAGGAGAAATAACTTTTAACTCACTATCTTCGCTTTCTTTGTTTCCAGGACTGTGGCCCAGCAGGAGGCTGGGTGCCCCTGGCTCCCTACGGAAGGAACAGATCAAGTACCAAATGCTGCTAAATCACCCCAGGGTCCTTGGTGAAGCTTCTTCTCCTTTCCCCCAAAAAGTCGTTGTCTTTGGTTTTTTTTTTTCCCCAATTATTTTGCTTGTCTCTATAGAGTAAATTTAAAGTCAGTTTATGCAGTTAGTTATATTTACAAAAGGACTGGGGTTTTTCTAATGAAATCTGGATGTGACAGAAAATAAATGTCATGGGGGTCCTTAGCAGTTATTTTTTGTTCTCAGTGGGCTCCAGCAAGTCATGTCTGAAAGCTAAAATTTCAGCAATGCAAAAACAGAGAAAAGAACAAGATGCTCACTAACGCACTCAATTCCCCCAAACCACTCCTTTGCAAAGCCTGGTGGTAGCAACCATCCCATCAAAACAGTGCACTCAAACTCAGCACCACGAGAAGGCTGCTTCTTTATTTCTAAGGTCCATCTATATTCTGATGGGAGCACGTAGCCAAGATAAAGCAAGTGAAACTTCCTGCAGGCAGTCACACTGCATTGCTGCTCACAGCACAGCTCTCGCATCTGCTTAGCGTCCCGGTATCTCAGAGATTAGCAATGACCTATTTTTGTATTGCATCCACACCAGGGAGGAAACAGTGAGGCAGCTGGGGACTGACTGCCTGCAGGTACTGCATCTCTGAGAGATCGGGCTGGAAAACACAGAACAGCACTGCTACAGCTGGCCTGCAAGTAGAAAATAGCAGAAAAAAGTTGCATAAAACTGCATTGCTCATCATTACTTGAGATGTATTTATATTCTAAATTATGTTTTAGTATTATTTAAAGACTTTCCAAGGCTGGAGAACAGAGTCCACGCTGCACACAGAGGTTTTTGCACACCTGTGCAGAAGGACAAAGGGGTGAGAAGGTTCCATCCTGATGCTGGAGGCACTATGTACGAATGCGACACTGGATGGAACTGCTCCATTGCAGCCCCAACCCGTGGATGGCAGTGCTTTCCTTGGTTAGCAGTCTATTTGTCAGACTTGTTACAAAGCAAGGCTTTAACGTTACCAAAATACCCACATTTACTTTTTGTAACAGATCTTTCTTTAAACAGAGTAATTTGTCTTACCCAAATTGTAACATGGATATTTTCACTTTATTTCAATCTTTGCATCTCTGCATCTCTGGAGAGGCTATGAGGAAGGCTGCACTGAAATATGATGAACAAACGATAGAGAAAGAGCCACGAGCACCGTGCCTAGCCTGGCTGTCACAGGACGGAGTGCCAGACCCAGAAAACGCTCACGGCTGACACGCAACACTGCCCTCTATGGGATGCACCAGGCCTAGGGCAAAGGTTTCCAAATCCCTTTTACTGCATTAGGAAGAAAGGCTCAGACATTCTAACTCTTCACGCAGAGGCCCTAATTTTGACCTAGATAATAAAATCCAGCTTCTACTGTTCATGCCCATGAACACAACCAATTTTACTGGGTCCAGCACAGTGGTTAGGAATACTACAATCTACCACTCCTCACTTATTTAACTAAGCTTGAAGCAGCTGCTGGTGAAAGGGTGCACTGTACCACTGGTAAGACCTAGAAAAACCAGCACTGCAATGATAAGGCAACCCAGTAGTCACCTATTCTCTCTGAACGTGCTATTGAGAGGTTATTGCCATACTTCTTAATAGCTCTGCCTTTTAAAAGTTTACTTTTAGCAGCTACATTAAAGCAGTATTTAACCATTCCATGAGAACTCTGTAAAGAGAAAACCAATGTTACTGGTCAGCCCTGAAAAAGCAATGATCCCATTTCATTAGAGGAAGGTGACAGTGGTTTTAAGAATGCTGCAGTGCACTTCTGGTACTACAAAGGGTGGTATGTTGGTATTTATGTTATTGCATCAAATCAAACCCCAGCGTGGGAGCACAAGAGATAGGAAAGGCAGTCACTGCAGAAGATTTTACTGAGAAAAATACCAACTTTCAGAAAAATGTTCAAATGCAGAATTTGTCTGTGCTTTGCAAATTGAAACTGTTTCATGGAATCATACATAAAAGGAAAAAAGGCTTTGGATTTCAACAGGTTAACCACATCATTCTCCAACACTGCATGAATTAACAGTTAGAAATTAGGCTTCCATTTTTGTTTTGGTCAGTCCTCCCATCACCAGGGAACAAAGCAAGTGTGCTACACTCCTGGAAAAACCATCCCAGAAGCACCCACTGCTGCAAGCATAACTTCTCCATGGAAGTTATTTTGGCTCTTTCAATCCATTACACTTTGCTCTTAAACAAAACCCAGCTTACACAGATACAATAAATAGTTTATTCATGGAATGTATGTGTGTTTCTCCCTTCCATCCTTCTGCTTGTTTTCAGCACCCTGCACTCGGGTACCAATGCAGCTTCCACTTCAAGCTGAAGACAAAAGTAAATTTCATGGCAAAGTGAAGGAAGGATGAGGTAAGAGCAGCACCTCTGAGTGCACAGCTCCTCCAGTGTCTGTCTGGACACCAAACCCACAGGCAGATTAGAGCTTCTTCTCTCCACACCTCCATCCAACCACTTCTTCCCATCCTGTGATCATTTAAGCTCTTCTTTGGCAGCTTCTTGTGAGCTCCATAGGGACACTGTGAAGTCACTCGAATGCTCTGTCAGCTATTGCAATATCCCTTTTCTAATAAGTCCAACAGTATTACGCTATCCCTTTCTGATCTTTCATAACAGTCCAGTTTAACTTCAGGATTTTACAAGAATGGGAAGAGTCTTTTTTTCAAAATATAAAGCACAGTGGCCAGAAATAAGGCAAGGGCGAGGAAGATGAGCAGCTTGTCAGTCAGCTCCCTGCGGTTGTACTTCGTTATCAGCTTTCGCCCCAGCTGAATCGTCCCAGACATGGACTTAAATTCTTCATTTGCTTCCAGGATGGTTCGTGAAGAATTGGCTGAAATGGACAAAAAAAAAAAAAAAAAAAAGAAAAAGATTGAGCTGGTTGTGTTTCAAATATACCTGTCATAGGATGTAAGCATGCAGCTTCTGGCAATACGGATAGTGCCTGTGAGATCCTGCTGGATCAAATTCATGGCTAACACAAACACACACTGTGCTCTTGCATAAGCATCCACAAATCCACAAATAGTCCTGATCTGACAGGGAAAGATGTAAAGCAAAATACAAGTAATGAACGGCTTACAGGCCCCTGGCCCCACTATTCAATCTTTAATTCTTAGGTTACAGACCAAATCTAGTTTTACAAACCAAGACAGTGCTACCTGAAAGCTCTCTGAAAGCAGAGTGAAATAAGAATGCTGCTAGAACCGTTGATTTAAGAGAAAGGAATCGCCATCACAGCCAGCATCAGCTCTAGCAGCAGCAGCAGCAGACAGTATGTGAACAAACCCAATGGACAAGCAAAACGTTTTGCCCAAGCCAGAGCAGTAAACCAGCATTAATCAACTGGGGTTAAAGAGAGAGAAAAAGCAGCACGGAACAGCAGGAGCTCCTTCGTTATTCTGTTTGAAAATTCTGAACGAATTGATGGTTATCCTTTCTGACAACAGTTCTTTTTGTTTGTTTTTCTTCTCCAAAAGAGAAAATCAACTACAGAAGAAAAGGATATTAATCAGTCTTGATTAAAGACAGAATGTGAGAGTATGCCAAAACAGCAAGATGGAACATTGGTCCTTTCCAGCTTTGTTTTCCCTGAGAAAACAGCCAACTAACCAAGCAAATATCTGAGACACAGCAGCCTTCCTTTCAAATTGCTGAAGGACAGAAAGCGAAAGTCCAGGAGTTCCCTTTCTCTTCCATAACAGACTGCACACAGAGCGAGTGCTGGTGTATCATTCCATGCTGATTATTGAATAGAGAAGGCTCAAACTTCCCCTGTGCTGCCTGCTTCATCAAAACAAGCATAGTGGAAGAACTTCTGCAGCATTTTGCAAACCATTATGTCCGACCTTAAAGAGACATTCTGTCTAAGTGAAAATAGAAAACCTGCTGCTTCCATCACTGATGACAAAGCAAAGCCTCCCAGCAGCATGCACGCACTGTAGGGCTTGCCCAGAAAAAAAGGAAATGGTTACTGCTGATTCAGAACCTGCAGCTGGGTTTTGTAAAGGATCCTTCCCTCAGTAAACTCCAAGCGCTGCTCAGTTAGAAGCAGGGTGACAAAGTGTCTGCCAAACTGTCTTTTTAACGAGAGAAGAAACATGTTACTTCTGTACAAACAAACTGTGCCCAGCTGCCATCCTCAGAAGGGGTCAGAAAACCCCAGAGGAGGGCGAAAGCTGTGGCATTTATCCCAGGCTTTACACTGCTCTCTCTTCTGCTCAACAGCACAGCTAGTTAGAAGCCCAGGCAACAGAGAACCAAAAGGTTCATGAATCACCAATTTTGAGAGGTCACTTGATTTATCTTCTTAGGAGTCTAAGCCAAATAACTGAGAAAAATCTTGGTTTCACAGTTCATGATGCACTGTGGACAGAACAAGGGACCTCGGGGTTCAAGTCACTCAACTGCCTCGTCTCTTAGTCATCCCAGCTGGAGAAGGGGTGAAAACAGCCTTCCTAGCCAGGCTGTTTCTTCTACATCTGAACTTGTACCTATGCTCTTTTCTTCTCTGTTGCCAAATGCATGTCAGGACAGTAGCACAGAGTAACACCATACACACTGTTAGCATTGTGTGAACTCACGCTGCTTTTAAAATTACTTTTATATAAAACTGAGTTCCTCAATGTGCCCCTTCCTCGTTATCCACAAACAAATATTACACAAAAACTCCAGCAAAAAAACCTCATGCAATGTATATTATTATTTTCCATTTCTGTTCAAACGTTAGAGGAGTTCTGCTGGACAATCCTCCAATTACCATCATAGCAAGTTCTCCTACAGCAATGTATATTTCCACTATGCTCTACATCACAACAGTTTGGCTCTCCTCACCCTAACAGAACAGCTGAAAGGTTCCTCAGTCACCCAACCCACACCCCAAACCTCAACCACATCTGTACCCAGGGTCTGCACAGTCTCCTCGCTCTGCTGGACTTGCTGTGACATCATCCTGCTGATGCTCATCAGGCTCTCTGTGATGTTACTTGCACTCTCTGCCAGACTTTCCTTCGTAGTCTTTCTGAAAAAGCGAAAGAAGAAAACACTAAGGGATAAAACAGTGTCTTTGGTACAGCAGGAATGTGCAGCTGTACTTTGTGTACAGAAGATACAACCAGGTTTTTCTGCACGAGAACTGGAGATCATCCTTGCTGAACTGCCAAAGAAAAATCATCAAATGCTGAAGTCATAAGCCTCAACAACTGCAGCTCAGAGTCTCGCAGAGCTCATGCTGTGGCAGTCATTCAGCCATGATGGCACAACTTCATGAGGTGGCACTGATATAAACTGCCACTTCATTATCTCAGCTATCCTCCCTGCTGCTCCACAACACCGAATTTACTAACTTCTCAATTCAGAAGTTATACTTATATCCACTTCTACTAAGGAAAATAACTTGCACAGTGATCCATTACATGTTTACGACCCTGACTGGGATTAACATAAAAGACGATCACAAAAATTATGAAGTCTATCACAACCTCATCTCTGCTTTGACATGCCAACACAAAAAAAATTGGAATTATCACAATTCTTCGCAGTTTAAGCCTCCACAATAGACAACAGCACTCCTCTGAAATAAAAGCTATGTTCTGTGTACAATACAATCATTTCAAGAACATGACATCACTCCCATTTGTACTGCTGAGTATGGCCCACATCATTTCAGTCTCACATCGTTCAGAGGGGACACTTTAATACCTTTGTCTTAAGGAGTCTCTTCCCTGCAGCAGCTGATCTTTCTCAGAGTTGTCGATAGCAATTTTGCAAGCCAGATTTGCCTTTCTCCAAGCTGCCTGATTGCTGAAATCACAAGAGTACAATGTTGTAATGTGATGGCAACACCCTGTAAGCAGCAACCACTTTCACAAAGCGGTCACCATAACTAAGATCCACATATGTACATAAACTTTGTCTGTATTATACCACAGTGACAATACATTGTTTTTTGTTTCTTCTCCTAAGTGTATCATTACAGGCTTAGTCACTCAAATGGACAGACCAGCTCAGAGAGCCAGGAGACAGTAAGGAGATGGGAGCTCTTCTCTTTCTGTTCCTGATCACAGAATCATAAAATCACCTGAGTTGGAAGGGGCTGTTTAAAGGCCATCTGGTCCAACTCCCATCAATGAACAGGGACACCCACAGCTCCATCAGTGCTCAGAGCCCCTCCAGCCTGACCTCGGGTGTCTGCTGGGATGGGGCATCGCCACCTCTGGGCAACCTGTGCCAGGATCTGCTCTTGGCCTTACTGAAAGCAGCAAGATGTCACTGACCGGGTTTGCAAAACAGGATATGAAAGAGTGCCCTGAAAGCAGGTACCCCCAAGGACTGGGCACCTGCAGTGAGGTCTGAGCATGTACAAACAGCACGGCCTACCTGAGCATTTGCTTTTTATGGCTCTCCACTTCCTGCAGCAAGGCCTGTTTCTCCGACTCTTTATCTTGTTCCCTCGCCATCTGTTCCAGCTCCTTGGACAAAAAGCAGTAACGGGAAATCAGACGGACGGCCGCCACCTGCAGCTCCAAGGGAAGGGCGCGAGGCGGCAGCGGCCCCGCGGGCAGCCCTGCTTTGCCGCAGGCAGCGCAACCCCACCTGGATGCGGCCGCGGAGGTGCCGGAATTTCTCCTTCACCGCAGCGTTGAGCTCCGTGAGGGCGCTGAGCGGCCCTGGGCAGTCCCTGATGTCCTGGAATACAACGGCCCGGTCAGCGCGGCACGAGGCCTTACGTGGCGGGCAGGGCAGGGCCGCGGGCGCCTCGCAGCCCCCGCCGAAGGGTTTCGCCGCCTCAGGGGGGTTCCGCGGTCGGCGCTACCTGCACGGCCGCCTTGATCTCCAGGTCGAACTTGACGATCTCCTGGTGGCACACCCGCACCGGCACGGAGCCCGTCGCCGCCGCCGCCGCCGCCATCTTGGAAATGGAGCGCCAGGGCCTCGAGCGCCCCCTGCTGGCACAGCACAGCGCCCCCCAGCCCTCCCTTCGCGGCGGGGTCCTCCAGTCCTCCAGCTCTTCAGTCCTCCAGTGTGGAAAAGGCCCCATGGCTCCCCAGGCCCCCCAGCACACAAACATACGCCACGATTTGAGACAGTGTTTCCTCCACAATTTTTATTTTAAATTACAAAGGATGTTGCGTACATTGATGAAATTTGCGTCCAAATAGAAGTGCGAGGGATCGAGGGGGACAGTAAACAAAGTCAATCGTGGGATTGTGCCTCTTCGAAAAAAAAAAAAGATAATAAAAACTGCACAGCTATTAACCGACATCGAACATTGCAACTCTGAACAGATCATGCTTTTAACAGGAGAATTTATTTGCTAACAGAGACGAGATCTTCATGGGAGTTTCTCTGTGCTCCCATTGGAAGCCAGTGATGGAGGATGCCATGTTCTGCTGGAAACGCTTTTTCCCCCCATGTGCCATCAGCCCTCGGCTTCACCCGAGCACAGACACTGAGCAGTGAGGTTTTACAGACGTGCTGAGGGACAGCTGACTCAAACGAGACCATACCGTGCCAAAGATCAGTACAACAATTAAATGCTACTCCCGGGGTCGCTTCTTAATCGAAAGGTTTTCCTCGGGTGGATTGTGCTTTTGTCAGTACTGAATCCAACACAGAAATTTCTCTTCTGAAGATGGATAACACCCAAATCTGACCCAAACACGTAACTAGCAACTACTCGCAGGAAAACCTTGGAACACTGGTGTTATCCAAAAAGCCTTTCATTTTATGAAAAAACACCGTGGCTTAAGGTACCTCTGGTTCCACTTTTAGCTCCACTGCTCATTAGAAAGCCAAGAGATGCACTGCCAGCATTTACTCTTGTGGAAGTTCACGGATGTCTGAGGGCTGCAATGCAGTGCACACACGCCTTTTCTACATGCGAGAAGCACAGGGGAAAAACATGGCATGTTGTGAAATGTAAATCAGACAAAGATACTTTTGTATATTGCAAAGAAGATAAAGCCTAAAAGTGCCATCTTTCATTAATGACATTTAAGAATCCCAATTTGTATTGGGAGATATTCAAGAGTGGTGTTTTCTCAACATACTAATGCCCTTAATACAGTTACAAAAAGAATCAGTCACCGAAGCAGTAACTGAAATGTACTTCACACAATCCCTGGGGTAAACAAAACAGATTTCAGCTCAGGGCATGGCTGTGTCAATAAGCCAAGACCACATCTAGCAGCACACTTAACTAGTTAATTCCAACTGGAGCCTCCAACTTCAAAACAGTGATTAGATGCATTCTTGAAATTCAGGTCTCAAGGCCCAATGCAGACCCTAACATTCATGGTACACCTCTGGTTACGCCTCAACAGAACTTCAGGAAGACTAGCAAGCAAGTTAGAGGAACAGAACTGCATTTGCTACTTCTGTTAAAGGCAACTTATATACAACCCTTTAAAATTTTCCTGATAAAGCCTCTTGCTTTAAAAAATAGCTATATTTAAACCATTTATGAAAAAAAAAAAAAAAAAGCACATCCATTCTTTGTATTTTATGAATAAGCTGTTTTATTAACGAAGGCAAATACTGGATAAATGTTGGGCGGGGGGGGGGGGGGGGGGAACCTTGCGGGATAGAAGGAAAAACGACACCAGGTGTCTGGTTGTTTTTAGGTCAGCTAACAGACCCTTCATCCCTTCAGATTTTAGATTTTTCTGGTTTCAACTTTTTTCCCAGCTTCATTTAACAGAGGCAAAGGGTCTGCTGTGTAGAAAGGATCAGGGACCGAACACAGCTGAGCCCAACTCTCACATCAACTCTGCAGCAATGCAAGCTTCATGAAATGGCGCTTCAGCTGGCATGGTAAGAAAATCCAGCCCACCCACACCTAATAGTTTTATTAATAAGTCTCTCTCATCCAAGAAAAGAACTCACCAAATATCAGTAAGTGTGTTCAACAAACCATAAAAGAAGTGTTAGCAAAAAGGGGTTTAGGGCTCAAAAATGCCCTTTGAGAGCACCCCCACATTCTGCAAGGCCATTCAAAAACTGGTCATCCATATAAATAGAAAACAACTGCTATTGAGAGAAACAAAAATAGATCTATCCAAACTCTCTTCAGGATGCTTTTACCAGTTCAGATTTGCTTTTGGAGGGGTTAGGCTTGAAGAGTTCAAGGGTAATGAAGAACATTTAGTTCTAGATGTACAAGTAAGGCACAATATAAAGCCACATCATAATCTCTCATGAAGAAAGTAGGAAAGGACAAGAATCATACATGGTACAGTAGAACAAGCAGTCCATCGAGTCAGAAAGTGTGGCACCTAAGTTCAGACTGACGAGATTTTAACAAGAGCAGTTTTAACAGCATGCTTTTAATATGGAAACAAATCCTAGAGAATCCAGTGTATCAGAAAAAGGAAGAACTTCTGTTTGTGTTAAATCAAAGATGTATAATTGTTTTTGGATATAGGATTAAAAGTGAATATTCACAATGCCTACACTCAAAAACAAACAAACAAAAAATAATCCAGGACTTCATTAAGATCCACATACCATGTATGAACACTGAAAATCTTTAGAAAATGGTCTTCTCTAAAGATCACCCAAAAACGCATGCCACAATTGCCAAAAAACAGAACATGTACGTTGTTGGTTTCTATACCCTTAAAAGATTTTGTCTGTGATAAGTATACACTAAATGTATATATTGTAATGACACTAGAGGAAGCAGATTGTTACTGGCATTAAAGTACAACCATTTCTAGACGGTTTAAATGCCACAGAGTCCCCTGGTTAAAATGTAAAGCTGCACAGCTTGCCTATGTCACCTTTATGATAAAGTTAAACCAGCAAAAGGTCTTATCTGTACTCTACATTTTACTGCCAGGTTTTATTTATATCAAGTATCGCTGCAGCATTCTGACCAGCCCAGAGTTAGCAGCAAGTGGCAGGAATCATATAAAACGCAGTTTCTTTTTTTTTTTTTTTTTCCTTTTTAAACAAAGTGCTTTTCTAAGATATACATACATATAAATAGGTACAAAATAAAGTGTCAACATTAAAAAGCTCAACTATTCAAAAGCTTTAACTTAAAATAATACATAGAAAACACTGAAATGCAAGGGTATGGAATTCACTAAAGATTCAAAGTCTACTTTGAAATGCTAGACCAAAATCATATTCTGGTTTGCAGATAAAAATAAAGAGCTATAAAGTTCTATTTGCCCAGCACTTCTGAGCAGCAGGGGCTTTCTGATACCTTGTCAGTTCAATTTGTCACAAAAGTTTTTACCTGATTGCAAAACTGCTCGTAACGTTCAGAAACGCCGCCTCGCCGACGTGGTTCTGATAGAGCAGAAGGAGCTCTGCTGCCGCAGCAGCGCGTCACAAGGGAACGACTCTGTTCGGATCTTTGCACACACGTGGCCTTATCTTCATTAGAAACATTCTTTGTCGGGGTTTTATGGGCAGTATGCATCTCTGGAATAAGTGTAACATTGGCAATGCTTACGATAGGAATACATCTCACCCACTGTGTAAAGCAGCAGCCGACTCTCACCTCACCGCGAGAGCAAGAAGAACACCCAAAGTCCACGCTGATTTTGCAAATCTTAAGTGGATTTACAAAGTTTTGCCTAAATTGCTCTGGGTGTTTGTTCAGTCTCGTGAAGGAAAAACTTTCTGTACAGCTCAGTAGTGGTATTTTGGCCTCCTCCTCCCTTCTGAGTCTTCCAAAATATTTAGATACAAAGTAAGCTGTGTGCACACTCACCAGCATGTGGCAGGAGCGCCACCTTCATCTGCAACTCTCACTGCACTATTACAGACTTTTTTATAGTACAAGCTTACAAGCTTGGATATAAAAATAACCTACATATAAACAAAAAGGAATCACAGTACAAACACAGACAAAGTAGATACGAAGTGGAGAGATTCCCCAAAGGGAGTGGGGAGAAAGCCTTCATGGACTTTGCATTTTTTTCAGCAGCTACATTTGAAAATATTTGGTATTTCTATTTTCAGTAAACAGTGTTCTGTCATTTTAAATAGGGAGAGAAAGAACGGGGAGGAAAAGGGGGTCCATGAAACCAGAGAATGATCTTGCCTTGAGATAAAGGACTTTCATCAAGGGCTAAAGCTTTTTATCTGTACGTTAACACTGACTACAAAGCCAACTCTTATTAGCACAAGAGCAAATAAGAACTGTGTTAATATTTCCCAATCATAGAAACTACGGAATTAACAAGAATAAGTCACATATAAGTTTGAAGAAGCTAGTTTTGAAATACCTGTACAAAAATATAAAAGTCTATAAACTTTTTTTTTTTTTTTTTTTTTGTCTTGTTTTGTTTGAAGCCTGTGTTGATCCTTGGAAACATCACATGCATAATAATACATCAACTGGAAAAGTGGCAACTAAGGAATTAGGTATCTGTAGCTCTTTTATCTCTTTACATATATACACATTACAATAAAAATAATTTTATTTTGGTTGTTTGTTGGAAGTATACTACAACAAGCTAAATATTTCTTTAAATTCTCAAAGTTGAAAACTATTTTACCAATAGCTTACTAAAATCCAAATATATTAAAATCTCCTACAGTAAGTGCAGAGAAAAAAGATTTAAAGACTCCGAGACGGCCACCAACTTATCTACCATGGAAGCGAACTACGAGAACAGCAAAATAAGATCGTTATGTATGGATGCTCCTTCTGTAGATAATTGGACCCAAACGAAAAAATTCACAGTTCAGTAAGATCCCTAACCCTGACCTTGTAGTTTTTTTTTTCTTTTTTTTTTTTTTTTTCTTTTGTTTTTACATTCAGTACAGTATCATATAAGCTGTGCAAAACTTTACTTAGACTGGCAGTTCGCCATATCAGTTGCATTTGTCTTTGGTACAAAAATAAACAATCGCATTAATGTGCAAGTATAGGTTTTCTTCCGGCCAAAGTACCGAAATTGAGTTTTCTAGAGCCATCTTTTATACAATACATAGACTCTGTGGCATATATCTACATTTTCAACATATTCCTATATACATTCAAAAATTTTAAGAGCTGGAACAAATACATTAAAACCTATAATCTCACCATCTGTACATCTTGGTTTTTTTCCCCTCAGGGTTTTCTTCATACAAAACTTTACCAGCTTACACTGATAGCTCTCCCCTCAAAATACAAGGCACAAAGAATATACTTTTTTTTTTCTCCTGCTTGCACAGACATTTAAATACTATATTAAGCTCAGAAAAATTAAAGTTTACATGGCACACCAGCTCTGAAGCCACGTGTGCTATGTACAAGTTAATGGTTGCAAAGAAAGCTTACTGTTTTTAAGAACAAAGGAAATCCAATTATTTCAAAACAGCAAACGAGAACAAATACAAAAACAACAACAACAAAAGAACTGAATTGTCACCTTTATAAAAAAAATGCTTCCTCTTGTTTTGCTAGGAGCATAAACCTGCCACTACGTCTGGCATAGGCTAAAAAAATTTTACTAGCAAAAATATGGTTTTGCTTCTAAAACAAAAGTGGTAAGTCTGGTCCTAGAACGTAATTTTAAAAAGAACCCTCCTCTCTGAATGCAATCTCAAAGCAGCTTTAGAACTACCTAATTTATGCTCCAAAAATGCTACTAGGCATTTTATTCCATGCTTTGATTTTTGTTTTCTACACTGTTGTTTAAAAATAATGGAACCTAATTGTAAGTGTTTACATAATGCTAAACTGACATGCAGACCAGAATGCAATTTACAGTGAAGTACTTGACGACACAGGAAGAATGTGAGCAATGAGAACAGGTGAAGTCATGTCTTAAACTTTTGACATTGGTATTCGTAATCCTACAAGGCCACCTGTGGGGTCTCCTTCTGCAGTCTTCTCCAACACTTGATTCACAAATTCTGATGTCTGTCCAGCCACAGGAAGTCCTGAAAACAGAGGGTAAGAAAATGCACTGTAAGTTTACTATTAATTATATGCATTTTACATTCCTAGAAGTGACACAAAGCCAATGAATGAACGTTCTGGCCAGTAACCAAAGAGAAGGTTTGGTTACAGCTGTAATGAGGAAGCGCTTCCTTTCTCTATTCCAGGAGTTGTTTGTGATCCATCATACCACAGACGACGCCTCTTCACATACAGGTGGATACATCAGATATTCTGCTTACCAAGAGTATCTTTAATAAGTATGTTCAACCTTTGTTCCATGTGGACTCCTCTATCATCTTTAGGCATCTGCACTCGATTAACAATTTCTTGTTTAATGGAGTTGATCACAAACAGCAAATTATCTGCAAAGAAAAGCCTGGGTTAGACATACACTGCATTTGCCCAGGAACAAAAGGGATGCTTAGTTGTCCACACACTGATAACACAGACTTGCCTTAAGAACATAAGAAAAACTAACATGTGAAGAGTTGTATTTACCATATTCTGTGTTGAGACCCCAGAGTTTTACTTTATTGGCTTCATACTGGGCTTTCTTCTTTAGTCTACAAGCCCTATAGCAAGAAGAGTGGAAGAATTAGAACATTTTAACAAATGTTCCAGAATACTAAGAGCATCTGTTTCAGTTAGCCACACCAACTTAGCAACCAATGCTCCCAGACATGTATCTACTCACTCATCTTCACTTCAAGCGTGCTGCTACTTGTATTTGCTTACATTTGTGGATTTTACTACTGTAACAATAATTTGCCCTGCAGCTAAGTAAGACAGCTTCCAGTGAAGATATATTATTACCTGCTAAGGAACAGGTAAACTACATCTCCACAGTGCCAGTTGCCCTGCTTGTTGATAAACGGGTAAAAAACCCATCAATAGGGACTGCCACAGTAAAGCAGGATCTCAAGACAAAATTTAGCCTTACTCGCACGGCTGCAGTAATGCAAATTTACCCCTCCAATGAGTGTTAACTAATATGTTACCTGGAAGCCAGCTTGTTCTTTTCTTTTCTTGACCTTGGTCTGGCAGTTAAGGGAAGTTCGCTGACTGGCGTCAGGTCACTGATCACCTTATTCAGCTTCCGCAGCTCATTACCAATCTGTAGAAGTTTTTTGGGGTTGGGAGTCAGGTCTTCTACATCAGTCCTCCGTGACTTCTTTGCTGCGTATTTACCTGTGTCGAATATGCAGAAGATTGGGTGGCAAGTGACACAACATGCATGCAAACCTACGAAAAAATGTTCTCAGATATGTATTGTTTTTGGTGCAATTTAAGTTCCATTGCTTGTCACAAGAGAATGGTCGAGCATAATGTGATCTCTGTGGCCTTTCACAATAGAAAGAGCATTTCCAGACAAACTGCTTTGTACAATTCGTATTACATCCAGATCAGATAAGAGCAAATACTGCTGGCCGGGCAAGAAATATATTCAATGTGATGGACAGGATGCAAACAACTGTGCTGAAAAATGTACATCACAAGTTCAAAGCCAGGCACTTTGCCCCATCTTACTATTTCATATGTTCAGCCAACATATTCTCTTGGACAGTAAACTTGATTAAAATCCTGAATAATCTTATTCTGAAAGTTCTGCATTAAGAGAGGCTCTAGAGACTTGGTACTGATGGCCCACATAAAGGCTAGGCAACCCTCTTTAGATCTATTTGAAGCTATTTAAGAGCTGGTTTCATGGAGAAAATTTGCATTCAAGACAAAATCCTTATTAAGATCTTTTGCTACTGCTGCGGTTTTTTTCTAGATTTCTATTAAAAATGCCAGTGGTTGCAGAAATTTGCATGCAAGTGGTAATAAACTGACAAAACCTGCTCCAGAATTCTTCATTAGAGAGCTGATAATTCAGCACCATTAAAGGGCACTTGCTCCTACAAGTGTCTAGTGAGACTGAGTCCTTCAGCCCTGTTTATCTGTTGTTCTATAACAAATACAGATATAAGCCTTCATAACAATGAGTAGTGATAGAGGCTTTAAGCACTGTTATTTGACTACAAGATAAGCATGTAAAAATCAAGCACATGAAAAAGAAAGAAGTTTCCTTCCCAGAAAAAAAATTCTATAAAATAAATACAAAAATCTGTTCATTTATCTGAAGTTAAACTGCAATGTTAAAGATAATTTTCAGTTGTAAGGGAATATAACATTACAATCACAGAAGCTGGCTTAATTTTGTTCCTTCAGAGCCACAATCAAATGGAACAAGCCTACAAAAGATGTCCTGTGACAAGAAAACAAATATTATTCCTATGAGTGACTTGTTCTCAATAATGTTAGCTGTGTTTCAAGTAGAGCAAGTCGGTGATCAGAAAGTCATGGGAATAAAACAGCCATTAGACCGACTGGGCTAAGTTCCTGGGAGGGTATCTTAAATAAATAGCTTATTCACTGAAAAGCAAAGTAACTGCTCCGCTGTGTCGCACTGACACGGGTGGGAGGAACAGGGAGGGAAGAACAGTAGGAGAGAGCTTCAGGTTTTGCCTGCCTGTCCTTTAGTTCACACTGCAGTTAACCTGAACTTTGCACCTCAGGCCACTTGCAGCTTACTTTAACAAAAGCAAGACTGAGTCTGTGTAACAGCCAGGGACAAGTATCAGTCATGAGACCTATCCCTGATGTTTACAGTACCACACTGAGAAAATTCTGAACTCCTGGGGTTTCCACTGGAGGCTTCTGGAAATTACAAGTCTCAATTCATCCACCTCCTCTGGAAGAAACCACACTGAATGTTATTACTGTACGTTCACTGTGCCTTCCTTGGACACAGCATAGAACTCAGCTCATCGAGCAACAGACCTGCAGTGTTTTAGTGATTTATTTTCACGGTCAAATCTGGTGAGCAGAATCACAATTTCAGGTGGGAAGCTTGGCTACTGAAGGTGCCAGTGTGACAGACTGTGACTTGTAACTAGGGTTCTGTTCTTACCATGGTGCAGACCGTTCTTCTGGTACATGTTACTTGGTAATGTATCTCGGTCCCACTCCGATGGCCGCAGCATCCTTTCCTGCTGGGATGGCGTCAGCTGCTCGCTGTACTCCCAGAAGTATCTTCGCTTGCCTCTTTTTCGAGAGGTTATTGCACTCATTTCTTTTAAGTCCTCCACAGAATCATTTTCATACCCTAAAAGAATGCATTGCATCGTTCACGTAATGTTTATAAGACGGTTCCTAGCCTTTTAACCATGGACCAAGCGTTAAACTCAAACAAGAAAAGATGGCCTGTATCACATCATCTCCTCTACTTGGTTTTCAGCCTCAGCTACCGCTGGGTATTTGCTTGAAAACCAGGGACAGACACCGAGGCAGTGATGGTGCTTCATCAGTTGAATGGAGACAAATGATTCACGCACAGGAGCCCCGTCTGGTTCTTGACCCCTTGAGCTCTGCTGCTCTTCTCCCAGCCATCTCACTGCTGTACAGACAACAGCTGTTGCAAAGTACTCCTCCACTTTTAGTGTTCTCCATTAATTAGCAGAAACATGATCCTAACTCTCCTCCACATTTTAATTAATCTTCAATCAAAAGCATTGAAATAGAAGTGGATTAAAAAAATAAAGACGGATTAGCAAAAGGCCAATAAGTAAAGCAAAACTCTTGCTTTACCTTAAGCTCTACCTTGAACTTATATACCCCTGAGAAATAAATCACACTATCCGTCTCTATTAGAATGAAGGAATGGAGAATGGACCCAATTCCACAAGAAAAGAATATCTAAAATGGAAGGGATTAAAGACAACCTGCTCAATTTCTTCATGTCTTCAGTGGGATGAAGACAAATGATCCATGATAAAGCTATACAAGATTTTAGAGATGTATTACAGTGCACTTGGTACCACAGACTGTTCTTAAAGTATACGGAAGCAGTAATGACACTATCATGACACTGCATAAATGCTTAGACCCTACCTGTATAAACACAGAATATAGTTTTTAAAATCCTACCTATGCTTTAGGAAACAAATACACCCTGTGCTAAGGTAAGAAAAAATATACAGCATTGCCTTTTGTACTAAAATGCTTTATCACACTTCACAGATAATTAAAAAATAACAGACTTCAAATATCACATACACTGATGAAGCTTCAGGAAAGCACTGAACGGACTCTACATGCAATCTGCATTGGGCCTATATCTTCAGCTCTGCACCATCTCTGAGCAGCAGCTTTCTTTATTTTAAAAGCTTTCCTTATTTTACAACAGTCCATGCAGTTAGACTGTTTGCACTTGAGAAAGCAGCTGAAAGAAAACAAACAAACAGTCTTGCTTTGGTCTGACTGTCTTTCAGCTCATAACCCAACCATGAATGGCACACAGAAGGATGCAACCACTTCTAAACTTGCTTGATTCTCTGGTTTATTGACAGGAAAGTGTTTTAAAGGAAAAATCAATCAGCAAAATGTGTTTTATAAAAGACTTTTTTTTTCTTGTAGAGTCAAAGTGATCGTGGTGATCTACATTAAATACAGTTTCAAGTACCGCGGATGTTTTTAATTGTCATTTTCTTTGACCCAAATGCTGTTTGACGTAAATATCCAAATGCTCTTCCTTACCTTCCACCTACAAAACATGTCAAGCAATGTAACTCATTATATAGGCAGGTATAAATTCAGCCCAACTTTGTGATACCGCAGAACTAAACCAATCAATGAAAACAAATCTCTTTAAGAGCTGATGTGTACAAATGTAAAATGAGGTTAAAATCAAGACTTCCTGTTTGCTTATTCAAGCCATAATTAAGTTGGCTATTTGAATTACGTTGACTTAATGCATCCTGCCTTGCAAGTCTAACACTCACCTGCTACCATTTTACAGTTACATGGAGCAGCCCCTGCACAACGTCCTGCCCTACTCTGCAAACACAGCAGTGCAACAGATCCATTTAGCTCTTCTGCACTGCATCCATCCTCCCTGAAATCTCCTCCTAGCAAATATCGTACAGCATTCTTGGACGAGCTTCTGTGAAATCTGAAACAATTCCTGTATTTACTCCTCAAGCCCTTAGCAAGCTACTCCTAAAAATCTCTGCTCACAACCCAAGGTTTCAGATTAAAATTTGCCAGGGTTGAAAGAAAGACAGAGAACAGGACCGACTCTGCTCTGTACCAGAGTAAATGCAACAAGAACTCCGCCAAAGCAGACCCCAAAAAACCTCTTCTTGTTACTGTTTAACCATTGTGACTTCCACCAAATCCCTCCCAGAGCCCCAGCTGGCAGCACAGCACCCAAACACAGAGCAGAACTTCACATGATGCCATCTTCTTGTCTCTATAGGCCATCTCCCTTTAATTCTCTTCCCCAGAGCTTCTGACAACTGGATTAACTGTTGCATCTCTCATTTCTGGAGTCACTGGACTACTTGTTAGCAAAAGCAGTCACTTACATATATTACAACTAAATTAGATAGGGAAAATACCAGTAATGGCAAGCAAAGTTTAAGTGCTGAAACAGGCCCTGGCTTATCACTGCCATAACAAATTAGCTGGACCAAAACTGCTAAATCTGTATCCCAAAAATAACACAAGCATTGTTACCACCCACTAACACTTTTAGTTATTTTTCCCACGTCCCTGAAGTTCAATGTACCTATGTATTTCCTCAGAAAACACTCACTCCAGTGCTTTAGGAAAGTGTGTCATGCATTCCCAAAACAAAAAGAATAAACCAAAGCTATCTGTGTATAAAATACACATATCAGAAGGTCAGCAAACACAGAGTTTTTGCCCTATCTTCACTCTAAATATAGTAACTGACTTTGGTTTCAGTGAAAGCATGAAAGGTGAAGTATTCCAGAGCCATGCCCTTTTTTAGAAGCTCACTCCACAGTATTTACCTCTATTGCAAAGGTAAAACATAGGAGTGCGAGTGACATAATTAAATGTGTCCATGACCTGGAGAATTACCTCCTAACGCATCAAAAACATCAGCTGATGCTTTCTTATAATACCACTGTACTCGAGATGAAAGGCTTCATAGACTTGTGCAAGCCAAGCTCTTTGGTTACTGCAGAGCAGCACGTGGCTCTGTTTAGAAGGCGAGAGCTTGTCATCAGGATTTGAACAAGCAGCAAGCAGTTAATGTAACTCCACCCTGAAAGCCCAGCATTTTCATACATCTCTTTCTCAAGATTACCAGCTGCTCTGTGCAACAAACCTCCGTGGGCTGCAAAGCGCAGTGTGGCACAGCAATCAGCACGGAGCTTTAATAGCTACTCAGACCTCAGACAGTACAGAGTTCAATTCAGAAGAAGGGAGGAGAGATTTTAAAATGCTAACATATATGCCTGGTGTACATGAAAAAGTAGCATAAAGAGCCCAGTACTTAACAAGTTTAACGCCAGCTCAGGAAATCTACTTAGAAAATAATTTAATCGGAGAGTGCTTTGTGACAAACAACAGCATGCTTCAGGGAAGCTGCTGCTTTTAAAAAGGGAGTCGTTCAGCTGTTTTTCTTTCCCCTCAGTGTTGCACATTGCCAAATGCCTCAATATCTTAATTCTCACGCTCTACTAAAGAGCATTTAGAAAATGTGAATATAATAATACTTTCTACAATTAAGCTAATACTTGGTTACAGTCCTGTCCCTGTGGATTTTCTTTTCATAAAACACTGCCACTTTGCTACCTTCTAGATAAAGGTTAGCTTTCATTTTCGGTGTTAATGCTCCATTTCTCCTCACAGAAGAGAAGAATTCCATATTCTTTGAAGGCTCACCAGATATCACCATTGAAAACCACCGAGAAATGGTTCTATAACCACAGAAGCACTTAAATAATTAGGAAACACTTTCACTCAGGCTATGATTTTGTGCCAGCTATCAAGAGATACAACCTTAGCACAGCCCACTGAAGCACTAGAAAGCTCTGCACATCCTCTCATCAAACCACAAAAAGGGAGAAAACAATTGCAGGTAATTGCTCCATGACCTTTGGCTACAAACTCAATCTTCTGTATTGTCTATTGTGACTTCTGCTGTATGACTACCATTTATGCTTTTTTTTTTCTTTTTTCCAAAACAGGGAAAACAAAGGCCTTGTGTAGTTTTCATTAATTACATTGTGAAAAGCACTTATAAATTCTGAACATTCATCAGATTGTAAGTGTTCATCTCTAACTACAAAGCATTCAAAAGCATTCTTTCCCTCTTGGCAGATGAATTCATTGACCTCAGTATTAACAAACCCCAACATTGCTGGTACCTGGTTCTGAGAAAGTATCGCTGATGTCATCATCTTTATCATCCTCATAATCTTCTTCCTCATCATCGTTTTCAGACAGCTCATGCTCACTGCCAAATCCTTCATCATGATCCTCATCTTCAATATCTTCCTCATCCTCCTCGTCTTCTTCAGGGTCTCCTTTGGCCGACTGCTCACCCACACTGTCTGTTACAAAAAGAGAATAGTTGTGCTCTTCTTTTTTCTGTGATGAATCTGACACCGATGTGCTGGCAGAAAGGCTGCTCTCCCCCACAACAAGTCCTGGAGTTTCCTGGGGTGCTCTGAGGAGCAGTTCTTGAGTCTCTTTAAAAGGCAAAATAGGAGGCGTACAGTGACTGTGCGAGGACTCTTTTATTTCTTGTCTCTTTGCTACAGCACCACAGTAACAGGTATTTTCCTTTGCTGCGTCTGCATGTGTCTGGCTCAGCACTGGTCTGCTCTGTGGTACAGGATTGATTTTTACTTTTGCCTTTTTAACATAGTCTTTACATTCAACATGAATGTTCACCTTCTCATTATTGTACACACCGGTCTTCACCATGATTTGTGTACTGGAAGCAGGCTGTGTCGCGGGTTTGCTAGCCTTCTGAACATAGTCCGACAAAGGAGCCTCAGCCTGAACATTCTTGGAGGAACAGACTGGGGCCGCTGCTCTACTAGCAATTTTTTTTCCAGGTAACAGAGAATTTAAAGGGTTTTGTTTTACACTAAAGAGTGAATCAGGATAATAGAGTGAATCTGAAACAGGTTGGGAGTCCTCACTGTTAAGCTGAGCCAGAGTCGGTGTTTTGCTTATCACCTCTTCATCTTGGTATGGGCTTGAAAAGTCATCAAGGCCCAAATAATCCACCTCTTTTGTTCCCCAAATGTCACAGCTGGTTAGTTTAGTGTATTTAGTTAAGTCTTCACAGTACGTGTCCCACTGCTCCCACTTTGAGGTGAAAGCAGCTTCTTTGTCCAGGATGTCTGTAAAAGACTCTAAGTTCTCAAGGTCTTTGCAGTCCTCCATTGAAAGTAAGTTGTCCCTGGAGCTTTGCTGGTAATCCATTTCTCTGTCCTGTGCAACATAGGACAAGTTAAAATTAAGATAGAAAAGTAGTATCAAATCATCTCTGTCCTCTATTTAAACTTATGTGGTAAGCCTAATTCAAGTGAAGAGTAAGACAGTGATATGAAGATACCTCAACTTCCAACTAACAACTTCCTCTGAAGTTCAGGTCAGACTGGGGCCCAGTTTCCCTGGTTCAGCAGCAGATCCTTGGGGAAAGGTTGCTACAGATACAACTCAAATACCCCTCCATTATTTTTCTGCTATTATACTGGTTATTAGAAACTATAATAGGACCAATACCCACGTACTTAAAACATGAAAAACATCACAGGCAACACGTTCTCGTTTCCATAAACCTAGGTCAAACTTTGTTACGTGAATAATAGAAATTGCTCAAGTTTACCTAGAGGTAAAGCTAAACTGGAAAAATTCATTCTAAGTTCATCATCAACAACAAACAAACAACAGTGAGCTACCTTTCACTTTCCATACAGGAAAAAACAAGTGCTATTGTGAACAGCTCATGAGTCAACTTTTATTTTGCTTCCTCCGCATGCACAACTTGAGTGAAGTAGCACGTAAGTACTCTTGAAGAAAAGGTGGTTTGTAAGGAAGAGTCTCCATCACCACCACATAACAACACAGCTACATTTGATACTTGTGTACCAAGCTCCTCCTGAGGGCCAGCTTTAACAAGCAGTTAGGCTCTTCCCCAGTCATAGCAAGCAGTAATGAATAACCACCCAGCGTTCCTGAGCAAATACCCCCTTATTACTACATGAACTCAGAGTGTTGTTCAAGGAGAAGGAGGTATGTGCACACAGAAAGTGGGCCTACCAGTTCATACATGAAGTCTGGATCTGAACTGCTTGCCAAGAGATCTGTGCTCATCAGAGTCTGTTCTGAAAACACATGGCTCCGAAAGGCATCTCCAAAAGGAGGGTCCATTCCACTCACACTGGGCTACAACAAAATTGATAGGGAATGTTGAAGCATATCATAAAAAAGCATATTCTTTACTTCAATGAAACATGAGTATTGATATTTTATCCAAGTGTCTGAACTTGTGCTATACTTGCATCTGGAAGGTATTTACCTTACAGATTAGCATTCTGTTTTGTCAGTTTGAAAATCGTAGGTGTTTGCCAAGATTAGGGATACATCAGCATTTGCAGAAGAGGAGAGCTGGCAAGACCTGGGAGCACCAAGAGGCACTGCCTGCTTGCAAGGCCTCCACCCCAGCACCAGTCACTATGTACTAGAGCAGCATTGGCTGGTTTGAGAACCATCAGAACTTGTAAAGCTTCTACCTGAGATGGTAACAATAGCAAAGTGTAATTAAATCAAGAGTGTTGTCTCTCCTAAAAACAAAGCAGAACTTTGCAAACAAACACTACGCAGGATGACTAGGCAAACGGGTGATACAAAGCAAGACTCTGCTACATTCAATTCCAGACCTCTATTTCTCTTCTAGACAAACTGGCCCTGAGGGCTGGAAATGAGAAACACTGTACTGCCGGAAGTCCTTCAGTTGCTGCTGTGAGAAGGGGCGCTTCTCCAGGCAGCTCCCCCCATCCAGAAGACAGCTTGGCTGATTCTTGCTGCGTGAACAAATGCAGCACCAAGAGCAGCCCCACAGCTTCCACCACAGACACCACCAGGACGCTAAAAACTACACACTGTTTAGTCTCTCCTAATTTCTCCCCGCTGATGCCAGTCAAATTTGCTTGTTTGCTTTTTCCATTTTTTTAATATGAAAGCAATGGTATTTACAATCGTAAGATTCCAGACTTACCTGAGGCATTTCCAAGCCCAGATTCCCCAAATCCAATTCCAAACTTCTTGTTTTATTCACTTGTAGTTTTCTTTCCAGCTTTACCTCAGTCTCAGTGAGTTTACACAATCCATGTAATGAAATTTTTCCTTGTGGTAACTTTGATTCACTTTTATGGAGCTCTTCTATTTGTAGTTTTCTGCGTAGAATGAACAGAGCAAACCCCAATGAGATAAGTGTCCATCATCAGCAAGACAGGGCTTAAAAAAACTGCCTAAGTGAACTAAAGACAAAAATTCTCTCCAAACAGTGATTATTCCTCATGCCTGAATGTACAATGGTTTGCCTCCCCACCACTGTTCTCCCAATGAAAGGGCACAGGTGTGATAGAAGAGAAATTCTGCAAAAACCTTTTTGACTGAGTTACATTCCAATGCCTTTTTTCCTCACTACCAGCACCACAAACTCTATAGACATATGAAAAGAAAAGCCTGCCTAATTGGAAGTAATGACTAGCATACTGCTGGGGACACGAGGTTAACAACCTTTCTGACTAATACAAGTGAGCCAATAAAGTCTAAAACTGTCTCAGACAGACATCTCAAAATATTAGTGTCAGAACAGGCAGCAATACTGCTCCAGTAACAAGACTCCTCCCTTTCTTAAAAGTTTAAATCCATTCAGCTTCAGATAAGATTCTATCAATCACTCACACAGCAGCATCTAGCAGCAGAGGGATTGCAGCAAGCAAGCACATTGTCCAGAAGTTAGGAAAGGAAGAGACAACTGCCCAACAGAACAAGTAACAGGAAGTAGAAAAATGTGTTAAGGAAGGAAGGACAGGAAGGAAGAGAGAATCCTTGGTATCAAATTAATATCTAATGTAACTACACTGGCTTCATGGAGTCTGTTTTCCTATTGCCTTGCGTTCCTGTGATATGCCGGCCTCTGTGTAAAGTGTCTTTAAGAAAAAACTGTCAGAGGACCACAATCCCAAAGCAGCACCACCACGTGTGCATGGTTTAACAGTGTTAGCAGTGAAAATACATTTGTTTCTCTGAATAGAATTCCTCGCCAGACATTGCTCCTAGGCCAGTGCAGTGCAATCTGCTCAGGCTATGTTTATCTGCTCACCGTGAAAAGCAAACAGCAAAATAAAAGTGTTCTACACCGCTGAGCCACCTCCTCCCACCAGCACATGGCGGAGGTTATTCCTGCTCTCTGATAGTATCTCAGCTATTTTGTTCAATTCAGCATATATTCTAACAGATACTGTGACAAAAACCATCTTTACTCATCAAAACATATCGCTTTTCAAATATCAGAGCACAAAGAAGAAAACAAAAGCTGCATGTCCAGTCATGCACAAATTACAGCTCTCAATAAAACCGAGATCCTGCTGCCAAGGCACGCTGCTCCTGTGTAGGGTCCTGTGTCCATTAAGAGCCAGCTCCCTCTGACCAAATCTTCCTTTTGCTCTAAGGCTTCCAGGGAACTCCTTTTACTTATCTTAAAGTGACATTTAAAAGCTAGGCTTGCATCCCAGGGCAACGTGCCTGAACAACCCTGTCTTCCTCTGCAAAGCCAAGGCTACACAGACACAAACCCAGTCCTTCCTCTGCTGTAAATGTGGCATGAATGACAAATGCGCTTTGCATTTGCCGGCCTAATGCTGGAGAAAGGAGCTGCTTTTTAAAACAAACGGACTATTTTCCCATATGCAAGGAAAGATGTGTGAAAGATCTCAGATTTAATGCATTAGCAGCACCCTCCTTTCTTTCCATAGAGAGCTGCAGATCAACGACTTTTCAGCAGCACATCAGATGGATGCTGTCTGGTGCCAGCATCAGGTCACAGCCACAACATCTGCATTCAGATGCAGACCATCCATCCATTCTGCCACTGCGTGATACACAGGGGAACGAAAGGAGAAGTCTGCTTCGTCATTACCACCTACTGCTGTGCCTTGGTCAGAACACATCCCTCCAGAAATTCCACTGTCCTTTATACACAGCTACAAAAAGGGAATTAAATTTAACTGTTACTGGCGCTGATCTCACCAACCAACAAATGCTGCCAGGAGTCAGCACAAGGGAGATCTGGGGGTGTTTCCAAGCCCTGAAAACAAACATTAAATGTTCAAAATACCTTTCACTCTCCCTGAACTGATCTGGCTACAACCTTACAGCACTGCGAGTTCTCCCAGGTCAAACGAGAGTATAAGATAGGGAACACAGCTGCAAACTCTGAACAGCCTGCGATGGAAACTCTGCAGGTTATTGTATCACCTATGAGATTTGAATGAAGTACACGATCTGCAGCAGAGCTCAACAGCAATACTACCAAAGACAAATACAGCAGGAATTTCTACTCTAGGACAACTTTCATTAATGCCTTCTGTTGGCCTCTCCCATACGCAGGGCAATGTGGGTGAAGTCCTGTGGCTGCCCCATGGCCATGCAGTGGGTGGAGGTGGTGCAGCCCAGTGCTGGCTCGTGGACCTGAGAATGGGGAAGGGCAGGATGCCTTGGGAATGTCTGCTTCCACTGAACATTTAGGAACCAAGGGCGGTGATGGAGGCACGCATATATATATAATGCTCACACTTGGATAAAACTTCCAGAAGTAGTCAAAAAGTAACTCAAAATTGCTCTATTGAGTTAATAATTCTTTAATCAAAGGCCAAATCCTAGCAAAAAATCCTCTGTATTTTTATTTACTGTTTGGAAATGCACTTTCACAACAGCCTAACAGAGGTCCCACAATGCCTGGGAAGCCTCAATTTCAAAGCTCTGACGTTAGGCTCATTACAGGCCATTACTGATGAAGCTGTCTTTAAATTGGCAAACATCAGGACCTAAACTCGAAACATGCAGCATTAAGGAGACAGATGGCACTCACCATGCATGTGCCATTTGCCCAGATGAGCAAGACACCCCCAGCAACTACACACTATCTCCAGAGAAGCCCCTATAAGAGAAAAACCCAAAATGCCACCTTACAGCTTGATGAGTCCGAACGTCCTCCCCAGCCACCTGTATGAATCATTTGTACCACCGATGTAACCCAAGTTCCTATTTCTGTCTCAATTCAGATGCACGCTCTGAAAAGCAGGCAGAGCGCAGCCATACCATTTATTGACTGCACGGTGCCTATTATCACAGCAGCTAAATGCCTGCTGCAAGCACGTTACGCCAACAATTACACTTTCCATGGCAGTAGCTGTGCATCACACAGCGCCGTTTGTCACAGTTACATTTTTCATGCAAGTAATAACAACAATAAAAAGCACGTCATGAGAGCCTGTCAGTGCCGGGCTACAGCGTGCAGAGCCAAACTCAGCTTCAGAGAAGGCACACAGCCTCTGCCACGTATATCAGAGGAACGATTACGTACCAGGCAGCTTTTGTTGTACGGAGATGCTTCAGAAAGAGGAGCACCAGGTTCTCCGCTTCTCTCCGAACTTTTTTCCTGCCACACTTTGTGCCAGTCTGTTTCCTATTACAGACCATACTCTGCTCAGCCTTCAAGCGCAGAACATATTTTTCTCAGTTTTGTTTCCATCTAACATTCTTGGGTTGTTTTTTTTCCCCCCTTATTTCTACATTAATCTTCAGTTGTTAACCGGACTTAAAAGAAAACACAAAACTCAACACATTTCCTTTTCTCCCTACCACAAAGCTGCTCAGAAGGCCACTTTGGGTTTGTTTTTGTTGGTTTTTTTTGGAGCTTTTTATGGTAGCAGTTGAGTAAAGACTGTCTGTAGGTCCTGAGCTTCTGCCCTTCCCAGCATCGTTCCCCGCTCACCCAGCAAAGCGCCGCAACCTCCACAGTCATGTTTTTGCATTAAAACGCAGTGCTAGCACCTCAGACATTATACTTTTTGCCTTTTGTATCCCCGGGGATAAACTACAGCTGCCCAAGACGTGCAGATCCTAAGTCTGATAGTGTTGCCTTTTAAAAGAAGTGAAGATACAAAGACTGTTTCACTTCTGTTAAAGCCTCTTCCTTTCAGGGCTGGAAACTGCTGCTTCCCTGTCTTCATTCCCTTTCCTCTACTGATCTTCCCCTCCCGTTATGCTTCAGCTCCACATGCCCAGAGCAGACAGACTTCAGGACCTCGAAGCAATACAGCTACACAGAACCTCCTGGCTCCAACCGCGCATGCAGCACTGCAGGTCAAAGAGCTGAATTACCAAAAAGAACAGCACTGCATTGCTGGGATCACTGCGCCCTCCCACACCCCGGGCACCTCACTGCAGAGGGGTATTCCAGACCAGCATGACTGCACAAGCAAATAAGCAACGCCAATAACTGATCACAGTGCAAGAGGCACAAAAGTGATTTAAAAACAAAACATGTATGCAACTGTGTTGAACCTATGTATTTTATAGCAGCTGTGCCCAGAATAATATGTTCTATTAGAAGCAGTGGCCTTTCTGTACATTCTGGAACAAAGACTGAGATTTTATTATTACTTTGGGTCCAAGAGTGGGAAATGCAGCATGTTACACTTGACAGAATTATACTGACGTACTTCAATCCATTTAAAAAACCTTTTATAGCTAAAAGACGAAACAAGAAGGGCAAGTCAGATATCAGACAGCAACACCATCAGCCAACACAGTCACACACCAATGGAAAGGTTCTAAAACAGGAGGAGGGTTCTTTTCTTACCATAACATAATGAGGGAAGGTATTACTGCAGGGTCTGAATCCTAAAAGCTAAGATTTCCAGAAACTTTCCAGCTTAATTTTCAAGGCAACACCAACTTTCAAGCACTTCTTTTTAAAACTTTTATTTTAAATGATCCTTTAGTTAGATTTCACAAACCACTTAATACGGACATGCAAGTCAGAACCCAAACCAGTGGATTCACTTGTTCATACCATGCTACCAGTCAGACACAAGCTTCTATTTATTCCCAATTAATTCCTGTTAATTCTGAAGGGACTTCCAATCCCTGTGCTTCAAAAAGGGTTTTTTTTTTTTTCAGCTCTCAGTATTTAGAAAACCACAGTGAGATGTTCAGCATCTAAATGCCTCTGCAGCAGATTTCTCTCCTCGGCAGGTAACACTCCTACCAAATGCAGAGCAACTCTTTTGCTCAAGTGAGCTAATTGCCACAAAGCAGCATATGAGCTTTCCGAGAGAGCTCTGAAAAGAACTATTGCTGAGCATTGGTTTCGACATGCAATCTTTCCTGCTAAACCAATGGTGGTGGTGGTTTGATGGTTGGACTTCATGATCTTAGAGGTCTTAAGCATATGAGGGGCAGCTGAGGTCCCTGCATTTGCTCAGCCCAGAGCAGAGGAGCTGAGGGGAGGCTCATGGTGGCTGCAGCTCCTTACAGGGAGCAGTGCTGAGCTCTGCTCTCTGTGACAGAGCCCGAGGGAACAGCATGGAGCAGTGCCAGGGGAGGGCATGTAGGGCAGAGGGAAAGTTCCGCACCAGAATACAGTGGGCATGGAAGGGGCTGCACAGGGCAGCGCGCATGGCCCTGAGTTGCTGGAGATCAGGCAGTGCTTGGACAATGCCCTCAGACACGGGGTTTGGATGTAAGGTAATGCTGTGTAGAGCCAGGGGTTGCACTCAGTGATCCTTATGGGTCTCTTCCAATCCAGGACATTCTATGACTCTGTGGTCTCTTCCAGCATTAAAGATTCTATGATTCTATTCTATGATTCCAACCTATTTCCTCCATAGAAGTCCAGTTCCTCATTTAAGGTGCCAAAAGTAAAATCCAAAGTTTCTAAGTGCCTGCTCACGACTGTCACTACAGGAACATACACTGAATGATAACTGACGCAGAGATGCTAAGCAGCCACTTGGGTAAAGAACTCTAGGCCAAATCTTAACCCTCCTAATTTAAAACACTTTAAGACGTTAGAAAGCTAACTCTACCAGAAGCTGGTTCTGTTTTCTTGCTTGATTTCAACAAACTGCTCTCAACTGCCAATATTTCAGCTGCTGCTGCTGACAGACTGGCACTGCTCAGCACGATGTATGGGGAAGCCTGAAAATGAAGACGTGTTTATACTGGAGCGTGACAGATTGAACTGGAGCCACTAAATTATCTTCCATGTCTGAGCAGCTCTGCAAGGTGCTGCCCTGAGCAATGCCACAGATGTGGCTACGGAGGGTCACCAGGCACAGCAGCTGGTGATGGAAGCACGAAGTCCCGGGTCGGTAACGAGCCCGGCCCGATTCGCTTGGGGGAACCCTGCGCTGGAGAGGTGGGCCGCGGCTCTGGGGAGCTCATAAACGGATCGCGGGAGCCCGCAGGAACAGGCTTTATAGGGGCAGGCGCCAGACCGACACCGAGCTCCGGGCCGCCACTGCCCGCGCAGAGCCCACAGAAGCGGGGAACTCCCGGAGGCGGAGCGCAGCGCACCTCACCCCGCTCGGCTGCCCGCTCAGGGCGGCCCCAGCCCCGCCGCGCACCCGCCCCTGACCCACTAACACACCTCCCCGCCAACATGGCCGCCCCGCCAGCCGGAGCCGAGCGCAGCCTAACCCGGCCGCCGTCCCGCCCCGCCCTCTCCACCCGCTCATTGGCTGGCGCCTCCGGGAGTCTCTTTCCCATTGGCCGCCGCTCACGCCACTCGCTCGCCCAGCGGCCCTTTCAAGCTAGGTTGAGGCAACATGTAAACAAACCCCCTTCCGCCGCTCCTGAGGGGACCGCGGCGGCCCCGCGCCTCCAGGCCGCGCCAGTTCCGCACCGCCTCCCCGCAGGGCGCCGCCGATCCTTCCTACCCGTGGCGGGAGGAGCGCGGAGCTCTCCCTTTGCCTGACGCGGGGGCTGCCTCCGCCCCGCTGCTCTCCAAGGGGCTGGGGCTGCCCTCCTCGGGGCTCGCGGCCCTCAGCCCGAGGGGCAGAGCCCCGTCCCGGGGGGCCGCAGCCAGGTCGGGCCGCTCCGCGGTGAACCTCCGCGACACCCCGGCAGTTACATAAAGCCTGCGGCCGAGCAGGGGTTTCCCGCCCCGCCTTCCCCCGCAGCCGGACACCGCCGGCCCGAAGGCGCGGAGAGCCGCGGCCCGCTCCGGGCACTCCAACAGGTGAAGGCGTAAGGGATGGCGGCCGCGAGCCCGAAGGGGCAGCCGGGTCCTGCAGCAACAGCCGCTCGGCGCCGGGCGGTGAAAGCCGAGCCGTCCCGCAGCTCACGGCCGGAGCCGCTCCGAGGAGCGAGGAAGGCACCTCCGCCCCCCGGCACTCCTTCCACCGCGCTGCCGCCGACAGCCGCCGCCGAGCTCGCGCCCCGCAGCCCCGCTCGGAGCCCTCCGGGCGCCGCCTCCCGCAGCCGTGCAGAGGGACGCGAGCACCCCCGTCCCGCAGCCACACCCCCCAGCAGCCGGGCTCTGCGGCCGTAAGCTCGCCACCGGCACCGCTCCTCCGCTCCCGGCGCCGGGCAGACACACCCCTTTTCTCGCGTGCCGGAGCCCCCTGCCCGTCGCGCGCCGCCGACCCCCTCTTAACACCGCCTCCCCTCCGCCGAGACGACGCGGCTCCCTTCATCAGAAGGCAGGCCGGGCCGGCCGCGGCCGGCGGACGCGGAGCTCCACGGAGCCCTCTGTGCTGCCCTGCCTCCCCCTCGGGGCGCAGCTGCCGGCCGGGGCCAGGTTCCGCGAAGCCGCCGCCCGCCGCCCCCGCGGCCCACACTCACCGAGCGGTCGGGGCTCAGCAGGGGGCGCCGCCCCGCGCGCTCCGGCCCGGACCCTCCATGCGGCTTTGGGGTTTGTTTTGTTTATGTCCCTTCCTGACGGGTTCCCGGAAATCGCGTGACTCGCCCCCCTCACGTGGGAAGGGAGGGAGGGGGAGGTGAAACCAGCCAATCGCCGCCCGCTTCTGCGTTGTCCAATGGGAAGCCACCGGGCCTGGCCTCCTCAGTCACGTGACGGCAGCGAGGCGCGCGGGGGGGTATTTAAGGCGCGGTGGCGGGCTGCGCCTCAACAATGCGCGTTGTGGGGGGGGGCGCTCGGGCTGTGTGGGGGTGCGGGTGGGGCACCCTGCTTTATCTGGGGGAGAGGGTCTACTCCGCTACCGGCAGTGTAAAAAGCAGCTCCTGCTCTTCCCCTTTGCACATCCAGCTTGGGGGAACGCATCGAGGCAGGAGGATGAGAGGCTCCTGCTCAGAGTTACATACTGTGCATCCTCTCAGCACTGCGTTGAAGCTCTGCTGCTGCCTATAGCCACGGGCACGGCCACAGTCACTTAGACACAAAAGAAGACATTACTAAATAAAGTCCGGTTCTTTCCTTATTACCATTTGTAAATGATATTTTCTTTATTGTGCTAAACACACCCCATTCTCCCACACTGACCCCATCCCCTCCCACCACAGCTCCCGCTGCACAGATGTAGGAGCAGCCAGCAGCTCTGAGCACTTCCAGCCCTCAGCAGGAGTGAAGCATTTCCATCGTTCTCCATGGAGGAAACCAAAATGCCATGGAGTTCTCAGAGCACTTTCCCATGCAGGTGTTTGAACTGCCCAAACAGCGCTGACAGAACAAGCTAAAAGCACGCGATGTGGCACTGACTGGAACACAAAGAGGCCCTCAGTGTTTGTGACCTGAAGCCCCCAAGATGCCTCTACGGAGTGTGCTTCCTTAACCCTCCGTGTTTTATATTTAACTTCTGAAAAACATCAAAACACACCTGGAAGTCAGACTGTTCCCCTGCAGATGCTGACTTTCTATCTGTTCCAAGCTCTAGCTCATGTATATTTTAACATTTTCCATTGTCTTCTGCTGTCACAAAGCAAGAAACTGTCACAGGCTTTGATACCTGCATTGTGTGTTAAACACCAGCGATTGAATCTGTCTGTTCTAATTTCCTGCAGTCATGCAAAATAAAACCTTCTCAGAAGCCGTGTTAATTCCTGGCACACATGCAGCAGAAGATCACAATGCAGACAACAGAACACACAGCGTTCAGCAGAACAGGAATAAAACATTATCTCGTAACTTATTTAATCATGCTACTTGCGCGTATCTGTTCCAGAGGAAATATTAAGCATTAGATAAAGGGAAATTTCTTTATCTGGAAAGCATCTAAATATAAATGCAAGTATGGCTTGTTTGCCCCGGCTTTAATTAGCTCTTAGCATTAGATTCACCAGCAGCAAAACATCAAAACACACCCCAGGACCTAGTTTACTTTCCTGTATCTTCAACAGCGATTGCTTGAAACCTAAAATGGAAAGCTTGTTTTAAAGAAAAAGAAGGTTAAAAAGCCAATGTAACAATACCACTTCTAGTCAATGGGCGTTTTCCTTTTGGGTTAGTCTCACCTGACTTTAAATCCGACAGCAGATCAATGTATTTAAGAACTCCCTAACAATGTCTTGAAGCATTTCTCTTTCCCTCCCTTTATGACATCAACATATCTCATCCCCCTTCCCACACAATTAAAAAACACCTATGTTTCACTAAGCTCCCTCTGATTCCAATTTTCTTTGGAATTCTTTTTCCACAAACTATGGGGCATGGTGGAGCACAACTCCTCGCATGTTAAAATACAGCTTTCAATACTAGCTAACTTGGAAAAAAAATAATCACCATTCCAGTCCCAACAGTCATTGTACTTATTTATACTACCAAGTGTTACGGCTTCTGCAATTCATGCTGCCTGTTTCTGATTACCACGTTACTGCCTTTTGTAAGGATTTCAGAATTTCCTGTACAGTAATGAATACCATCCCACCAAACAAGTTAACAGCATATTCAGAAGGAAAAAAATGCTCCATCCCTGTGCATAACAATATAACAAAGCAAGGCAAAACTGCTAGTTATCTGGACTTGATTTAAAGAAAGTATGCATGTAGACTCCTGCAAATAAAAGCAGGGTTTGTACTTCCGAAGTTATTCCTTGGCAAATGACTGACTCGATTCACTCCCAGAGCTGCAGCAGCCCTCCATGTGGGCTCTGCCCCTCCACCTTCCCCCCATCCCACGTGCATGTGTCACCCATCTAACACCACTGCTGTGACTTCAGCTCACCCCACATTGCTTGTTACTATACATGACCTCCAAGAAGGCCAGGGATTCCATTCACCTCCTATCAAAACCACTATTTACAGTCCATTCAAACCAGTCACATCATCTCTGCTAGTTAGCCCTTCTGGGATCAGACAATGAGAAGCTCACAGAGAGGCTCTCAAGCAAACACTGCTCCCTGCAGAACTCATCAGTCATTTTGCTCTGTTTTGGAGCCATCCAAGAAGTGTGGGTACAGGCAGCAGCGTGCTCCTTCAGCACAGCAGCAGTCCCAGCTGAACGCCAGCTAAGTGCAGCACAATTAAAACAATGGAAGAGTTAAACATGGCACAAGAGCGTTCCTTATAAAGCAGAAGATTACTTTTATTTTCCGGTATGAGAAATTTAAGACCACATTTCCCAAAACCACAACTCCTTTTAAAAAATAAATGCCATCAACATGTGGCAGCATTGCTTCTCTCCTCATACAGTTTCATTTCTTTTAAAGACATTTCTTTTCAAGTGCAGTCAAACAGAACAGGAATGAACAGCTAGAGACAAAGCTCTGAGATACAGCATTCCTACAGAGCAAGTAAAGCGCACAGGGAAGCTGGCAATGTCCCTGCAGAAACTTTAATCATACCTGAAGTTAACAGATAGAAACGTACAGTACTGAAGGAGTTAGATTAGGCACACTGTTAGGTGGTAAAGTAGGAAAAATAGAGGGCTTTCAAGAAGCCATCTGAAGCACAATGTATGTGTTAAGGCATCAATGCAGGAATGGTATCCAACCAGGTATGTTAAGGGCATCTTTGGATCTGTGGAGGTTTTTCATCTGAAGGAAATCTCTTCTTTACCTGTAAAGCAAAAGGCAATTGAATTATTCACTTCAATGGAGGTGATTAACTAGTTGAAGACCCAGTTGTTGAGTTATCCACAACTATTTGCATTCCACAAACGCACTAGAAATTATCGACAACTGTAGGCAATTTATTTTAGGAGATTAATCTCTCCTTTCTTTCTTTATGGCTTAATTTTCTGAAGTTATTACATTTACAGAACTATTATGCCACCAGAGAGGTTTAAATGTCTGCAGTAAGAGCATCCAGTCATCCAGATGATGGACCTTCTTGCACTCGCGTAAAGGCAGTTCCTGGTCTGAGAACACAGACTGCAGTGACAAATTTCAGACTACCAGTGGGCATTACTCCTCACTGATTAAAAGGGAAGAGGCTGTAGCCCATATTTAGTACAGCTGCGTGCTGTTACGTACTGCTCTCAAGCCACAAACATGGGTATATAGACAGTCATCTCAGACATCATCGTCATTTAAATGAGAGGGATAGTGACACAGAAATACCAAGCAAGTCAGCATCTGTAGGCACTCCTCATTAGGATGTGGGCATCCCACAAGTATTTTTCAGCCTGCTCTATTAGCCAAGTGAGACAGGTTTGCTTATACTGATCTTCCTTTTAAAACAGACTCTCTTCCCTGGTAGTTACCACTTCATTCTCTGTAACTGCACCCTGCCCATACTAATCCATCCACAACTCAGCTGAAAGAGAGACTGGAGGCAGACATGAACACAGCGTATGCAACTCGAGCGCTGCAAAAGCACATCTTAAAAGCCAAAAACAACTGGTCAAAACCAGAAACGGTGGATGCACTGATGGAGTGCTGTGCAATGTCAGAGAGATAACGCAGCCCCTTCAGATGTAATCTAACTGACAGCTCCTGCCTAGTGAGAAACTCATCCAGAGCCGTTAAGTGCATCAGCACACAGCAGTGCCAGACGCCGCAGCCCCTCCTTGCAGCCAGGCTCACCCAGCACTGCACGAGTAATTCTAATTCAACCATGGAGCAGCTTATTTCTACCTCAAGGCAGGAAAGAACATGGTATCTAACAGTGGAACATTATCCTATACTATTTTTTTTCCCCTCCTTACTGCAGTCTTTTTCCTAAGGAAATGAACTTTCATTTCATTCCAAAATCAAGTCAACAAAAACAGACATATTTAAGATTTAAAAAACTACTTCATATTGCACAATGAGTGCTACATGCAACTTCAATTCTCCATTAGAAAGTCTAAAAATGTCAGCTCCTCACATCGATGTTCTGTCCACCCCAGACTGCATTGGATCCCTGTCTTCCACAGTGCAAACACACTGCAGCTCTCTGGGAAACACTCCTCTCAAAGGGGTGAAAGCAGAGCAGGGTAAGCCCCGATCTTCTTTGCAGACATTTAGTCTACAGACACTGTAACCCAACTCCCCTTTGTCTTTGCTGGTAGTATGACCACAGTTCATCTATCAGCCAGATAAGCCCACGTTTAAAATCCAAGGCATCTACTTGTTCAGATAATTGCAGCTCAATTTTAGGTCTCAGGGAACCGTGGGATTCAGGAATCTGTGCGCCCAGTACCAGAATACATTGCTCTCTGCTTCTGATTTTGTGTTAACACACGAGCAGTGGAAACACACCTGGGAAATTCAGTCTGACTGATGTACTTAAACACAGCCTCCACCCGAAGCAGGACCAAGTCCACCTTCAGCTTCTGCTTGATGCTTAAAAAAAGATGCAAGCATACACACATCCCACGGTCTGACACTACCACAGCTCAGATGAATCCTACTTTGAATCTGCAGAGCTTTGCTTCAGGGTAGATTTACAGAATGCTCTACAGCCAGCATTTAATTGAATTATAACATCAATTGTTGTTTGTCTGCTGCTGCTGGACTTCTGTGAACAAAAGTTAAAGGTACAAGAGCAAAGGAATAGGCAACTGAACTGTAAGAGTGGGAGAAAACCCACAGGAACCAGACAGGTAAAAAAGGCTAAGCGTGCTGAATTACTTAGTGTTACCAGTGTAAGAACTAAAACCACGGGTACCTCATTCCACAACAAAACCTTCACTTGAACACTTAATTCTAAATGCTGCCCTCACAGAGAAACCTGAAGTCATCATGCTGCTTTTAATAAGGTCACACCAGGAGTGGCCTCAAGAAACGCCACAACAGCATTCGAGCAGCACTGCCAGGTAAAGAGCAGCAGGCTCATCCAGGCTCATCTGCCATTCCAGTGGCTCACACCACCATAAAAACAGAACAGCTGTCTGCAGGTTGGGTGCTAACACTCTGCATGGACAGGAGACTGAGAGCCACTGCTGCAATTCTCACTCAGACTTCCCCAGTGAAAGAACAACACTGTACTCTGCCTTGGGAATCAGTGCTTGGGAGAGGGGCTTCCTCAGTAAAAATGAGGCAATCCATTTATGCTAGCTGTTAATAGAAGAATGCTTCCCTTCCAGCTGTTTTTTGGTAGGGTGAAGAAATGCAGTGTCGTCCCTACAAACACCTGTTACTGAAAACAGTCCCACATGACATGATAGCAGAGCCTGCACAGAAATTCAGCCTGGGCTTTTCACAGTGTCCGGTCACAATTAACAGCCAACATTTGTTTGGTTGCAATCTCTGGAAAGAGAGATTTGTCAGTCCCAAACCCCAGCAATTCTGAACCCCTGCTTACACTGCTGCTGAGCCATTTAACACACCAAATGCGTTAACAGATCTGACCATACTCACCCGGTCAGTGCAGCGCAGCAGGGAACCACCATCCTTAAGGCCAGTGAACTTTAAGGTACCAGATCGTGTCATTGCTCAGCTGCGGCCCAAAGAGGGGGTTGAGCTGAGCCAAGATTGCAATCAGCCAACTGCAAGACAACCAAACAACCCAAGAAAGAGAACATCAGCCAAAGGACACAGCTTACGGTACGGGAGGGCTGGGCCAAAGCACACAACCTATCAGAGGGGATAACACAGTGTTTTGGAAGGTGCTGCATCAGAGCAAAGTCATGCTCCAGCTCACATGCACACTGGATACTATCAATGAAGACCTGATACCACACCTGATACAAGTGGTCCTGATCAGCCTGCAGCAGTACATAACCACCTGACAGCATTTCTCCCACGTACTTCTCCTTTGCCAGGAAATACATGAAACGTATGGGATCAGAATACAGAAACATAAACGAGTTGGCTCTTTTCTTGGTGCCTTTGAAGCATCCTTTAAAGGACAGAAAAAATATACAAGAAAACTCCTCTTTCTCACTGGCCATTATTTTCAGTGTATTGCAGACCCCTCTGGCAAGCCTGGAGCAGGACTGCTCAGAAAACACACAGGAACAAAAAATAATCATCAATCAACGTGACAACAAACCCCTGTGGTCAGAGCCAGGGATTCTGTCAGTGGAGCAGCTCACAAAGCAGCACCGCAGGAGCCACAGCCACCACCCAGAACAAGAGGAATGCAGCCTGTGGAAAACATCCAGGAAAGCTAAACAGAAATAAATACTCCACTGTTACGAGATACATTTGCTCTGTAAATATTACAAGGTTCAGAAAGAGTCGTGAATGCTTCCACGGATTTAAATCTACATTAAATACTAACTGTATAAACACATTTAGTGCACACACACTGGTTCATCTATCTGCTATTTCTAGAACGCTTTGTAAGGAGGAGAAAAAGCAGAGCGGCTTTGTAATGGGAGCTGCCACAAATGTATCAGAGTGCTCAGCAGTCATGGAAAATTCCACACAAACCTTGATGCTCTGAGCAGCGAACGAGGCGCAGGTCAGCTGGGAGGCGGCTGGAACAGCCACAGGGAGGGATGCTGGCCAGGCTTAAAGAAAACGCACCCATCCCCTTACAACTGACAAGTTTTATTTTCTATGCTACTTTTTCTTTTGCACAAATTAGGGCTCCTGTTAAGGAGTGGAGCCTGCAGCACTCTATCGGCCACGCAAGCCTCGCAATACATAGCAGCATTCACAGAGCAGCTAAAACAGCAGCCAGGTACCAATGGGAGCAGCCAACAGCTGTCAGGCTGACATCCTTCAGGTTTGCTATTAAGGTAAAAGCAAATGAGCTCTTGGAAATCAAACAGAATTTATTTTGCAATGGTTAATTAGAGGCAGAAGAAAGGGGTGCCAGAGCACTGTGCCATCTGCCTGCAGCGTTCTGAGCTAACAGCAGTGGGAGGAGGACAGGAACACCAAAAGCCTGTTAAAGCACATTATTCTCCTCCCTGCTGTACCAAAGGAAGGAACTCTGTGCACCAATCTCTCACCTCTCCATGCCTCCAAAGATCAGCTCAGCGTGGCTGTGAATTAAATGAGCTAGAAGCACATTCTGAGTATCGGCACGACCCAGCTGTACAGCCACGCTCCAGGCAAGCACCAGGCACTTTCCAGAAGCCGTTTGTTGGGGCTTTGCTGGATGCCCAAGCTCTAAGCCACAGTGGCATTACAGGTCAATAGCACACACCTCCTACTCACACTGCTGGCACCAAAGGGCTGAAAGCACAGCCAGGCACTGAGCCCTGTGGCTCCCCAGCACTTAAGATAAGCCAGGGAAAAGCTTTCCCTACATACTGCTGAAGTGATGCTGCTCAACAGAGCAATTTATCGTGACAACACAACACAAAATGCAGCGTTCCAAGTAGAACAAAGCGAGCTTTGGCATGCAACAGCTCATGTTCTGAGCTGCTAAAATCAGGTATGGCATTCGAGCCACCCACAGGTCCTCCAGCTCTGCCGGATACCGGTTACAACTGCTACTGTTAATTACCCAGCTCGAACAAGGAAATTAAAGTCCCTTCTGTTCTCCCAGAAAGATTTCTGAAAGGTCTTTCTGACATAACTGCCATCTGTCTGTGCTGCATGTCACAAACTGAGGTCCTGTTATCTCTGTTTAAATGTCACATTGGGCAAGCATCTTCTAATTCTCTACAAATCAGCAGCAAACTGTATCACTTCTCAGACATCCTGTCCTCTGGCAGCAGGATATCAGGGCACCGCTTCAGGCACTGCTTTGTGAACAGCAAAATAGATTCAGACCTTAAGAGCACCTCACAAAACGGTGCAACCCAGGATTTATGCAGCAATAACTCTCCACTTGGATTTTTCTTTTATCAGATTTCCGAGGCTTGTATATTCACCTTCACAAAGTGCTGTGGTACATCATCTGTACACAGATCACACACTTGCACGTGGAAAACCTTTGAACAGAATAAGCAAATGAATACCATGCAATCAAATGGCTATTCAGAACGATCCCTTAAATCTAAACACAGAAATATGTACAAGGTGAACGCGACTGACTTTAAAAATCAGTTAACAGAAGTTGAGTCTGATTCCTGTGAGAGCAGCATGAAGGCTGTTGTTCATTGCTGGTGAGAATGCACAGATAATGGAGGTGATCATGTTGAGAAACAGCGTTTTGTAGTCGAGCATTTGTTCTACCAAAGAGTGTTATTGTGTTATTTGCAGCTGCTGCTGTTTCCATGGAAATAAATATCAGGCATTACTTTTGTAGCAATGTATGTATAACTCCTATTATATTCGGATATAATTATCAACAGCTTAGTAAGGTTTTGCTGCTTCTCTTTTATCATAGCATAACTGGAGAAAGGAAATACAGAACCCAGGTTACAACAGACAAGATGAAGAAGGCAGGCAGAGGAGTCCCCCCCTCACTGACAGGTAGAAGCAGATTATCAATCACACTAATGAGATTTGTAATGGATCTGCTTCAGTGCAGCAACCACTAAACTGAGAAGTGAAATACTTCAGAGCTCTGTGACGAATCCCACACCATCATCCTGAAGGTTCTGAGGCTGCCACAGGGCCTTGACTTCACAGACACTGCCCAGCCTCAAAGAACAAGCACAAAAGAATAAAACAAATCCTGAACTCAGAGGAATTTGGAAGAGTAGGTCACTGTTTCTGTTAAAACAAAGCGTAGGAAAAACCACAGTGAGAAACAGAAGCTTAAGCACCACCAAAAAAAGCACACACCACACACTGCCAGCAGAATCCTACAGCCACCCCAATGCTGCAGCTCTGAGAGGGGGCACCCGGGAGCCCACACTTACATGAGCATTTGGGACCTGGCACAAGGTGAGGCTAAGCAATTGGTACGCAGGGCAGGGAGGCCACCACAGCCTCTACAGAGCCTGGATACCACATAACTAACGTCAATCAAACGTCCATACAGCTGCAGGCAGCCCAGCACCTCTCCTGGAACACAGCAAAAAAAGATCCAGAGAAAGAAGTCTGTGTTCTCCCCCAGACCCCAGGTACAGCTGGCTCAGCTCCTACAAATGCATGCTATGAGGAGTATATCAGTAATGTCAGCCAGTTTGCTCATCTACTCATTTTCATACAGAGAAAGCAGGCAGTAGCAGAACATACTGGTCACGTTTAAAACAGAAATTGTTAATATATCAAAGTATCACAAGCGTGACAAATTATCTGGCATGTACAATTTGGCTAACACAGGTGGCAGAGAACAACCAGAAGAATCTTGGTTTATTTTACTGCAGTCTTCATCACCACAGAAACATTTCCTCCAGCAGGACTGGAGGTCTTTATAACAGAGAATGCTAAGAGGTGTCACAGAACAGCACGTGTCAAAATCTGATTCATTTGCTCAAGTTTCCTCCTAAATTCTGTGCAGTAAAAATGTGGCTTGATTAAGAGGCAAAGTGTTATTTATACTTACAACAGGTAGCAGCAGACAGCACACGTCACCAGCATTGTGTTGATAACACTGCAGAAAGGAAGGAAAGACACAGCTGGTTAGGTCTCATGTTAAGACTGACCACAAGATCTATAGGAATAACCACCAGGAATGAGTTCTGCTTTGATCACACGCAACTGACTCAGCATCAGCACTCTAAGTTCTCCCAGCTGAGCGAGCTGCAGGGGCCATGGCTGGGCACAGCTGACGCAGCCTGGCCAGGCAGAAGAACAGCAGGAGTAAAATCTTACGCAGTGTCCTTGCTCCATCTCACAGCCACTCACACCAGCGAGTTATCAAAGCTGGATTTCCTGATGCCAACAATAAACTGTTTTCTCCATCTGCAAAACTCTGCTTACAGAAGTTTCTAATGTCGTAAGTTTGTTTTGCTTTCTTTTGGTAAACAAAATAACATCTCAAAGGCCCCTTGGATTTGTCTGCAGGCACAGCATTTCCTTTCTTGCTGAAAGAAAACTGAGACAGAAACCATCACTAAGGTGAGAAGGAACAGCCAAGCAGCTCAGCTCCTGAGACTGACAGAGAGGTGAACCTGCAGTTTTACACAGCTTGAAATGGGAGGGAAGGGAATGAGAGTTTCTAACACTGAGAGATCTGTGCAGCCCATAGAACTCAGCAGGAAAATGGAGGGTTGTTTCTTTTTTCTTCCAAAAAGGGATTTCCCGATACACACCTATCCCTGAACTGAGTAGCAACACCTCTTGTTAGGACAGCAAGCTCCAAATCCTTCGTGACATGCATTAAAAGAATTCTCACATGTTATCCATCAACAATCAACTGTTCTGCTCCCACACAGAGCTGCACAGCCTGCATGGGAACTGCAGGAGCAGCCACAGACAGGAGACACTGCCTGGAAATGCTAACCCAGGCAACGAAAGCCACGGGCCAGTTAATATCTAAGTTGACTTTTGCTAGAAAATGGATCAGCCTAACCCAACCCCCAGGGCTCTCTGGGGGCGTTTCTGGTTGGATTTTCTTCTCTAAGATAAGAGCAATCAGTGAATACAGTGTTACTGTAGCATGAGGAGTCAGCAATGCTGCAGTCACGTTTGTTAAATGATCAAATTAGAGACGAACTGGAGGTCATCTGCTGGCACCCCTTCCCTACTTTCCAACGCTTAGGGACGCATCTAGAAGATACTTCAAAGACACCCCTGAGAACAGAAAAGCTTCCGGGCACAAAACCCACTTCGGGTCCAAAAGAGGCAGCAAAGAGCCGAGCCGAAGGGACGGGGCCGAGGATAGTTCCTTCAGGTTAGAGAAAGAGCGGCGAGAGAGCGGCGTTAGTACCTGTTAGTACGTGCGGAGCAGAGGGACGTCAGAGAGGGGAAGCGACAAGAAGCCGTCGCGTCCCAGGGCACAGACGCAGCACGCGGCTCCTCCGCCGGGGCCGCGCCGTCCCCGCCCGGCGCTTCGCTCCGAGGCCCCGCGGCAGCTCCTGCAGCCCCTCCGTGCCGGACAGCTCGGCGCTGCGGGCCGGGAGGCCGAGGTCTGGAGCACGAGGGAAGAGGAAGCCGCGCCCGCAGGGCCGCCCGGGCCCCGCGGCTCCGAACCGCACTGTGCGGCGAGAGGCGGAGAGGCGGCCACGGCGCTGCGGGGAGAACGGGGCGGGAACCACGCGGCACCGAGGGCACGGAGCGGCACGGCCCGCGACCGCGGTTATTTAAGGACACGGAGGAGAAGAGCCGCGCCGCCCGCCGGCCACTCACCCGCGGTTGGGCCCTTTGGGCACGAGCCACGGCAGGACGCCGCCGACCACCCCCCAGAAGACGGTCATAACGATGATGGGCACCGTCAGGCCACCGTACGCCATGGCGGGGCTGCGGCGGAGCGGAGCGCGGCGCCGGGCGGTGCCCGATCGAGGCCTCGCCGAGCAGCGCCCCGCCCCGCCCCGCCGGCCAATCAGCGGCAGCCACGTCACCCGAGCGCGAGGCGGCGCCGTTTGCCGCGCACAGCGCCGTGCGGGAGGCGGGGCGTCGGGAGGAGAGCTGACGGGAAGCGCGCGCCTCGTCAGCGGCGTAAAAGCGAATAAGGTGGAGCTGCGCGCGGATAGAAGCCGCTCAGGCAGCAGCTGGGTCCCTTCTGTCGGCGGTCAGCAAGCACGCGCTGAGCTCACCTGATCGCAGGGCTCGGGGCGCTGCAGCGCAGCTCTCAACGTTAAACACGCAAAGCCCGCTTTCCTCTCCAGGCGCGGCGCCAACAGCAGCGAGCCCTGCAGCCCTTCCCGAAGCACGGCCCTTCAGCCCTCCTTGCGGCACCGATGTAAGGGATTCGGATGCCGTGCAAGTGGTGGGGCACAGCATGCCTGGCCAACTGCTGAAACATCTTCAAATGCAAGGAGAAATGTGAAATACGTGCAGTCTGCAGAACTGCCATGTTCCTTTTAAACTGGGGGCGTTTCTGAGTGTTAGACATCAGATGAAAGACAGACAGACAGACACATCCACTGCTGTATGTCTGCAGGACTGCGCTGCTCCTACACCACTCCAACTTCAGCTAAATCACACCTTTGTGCAGAAGAAGCCTGTTTTCAGAAGAAAGAAAGGCTTACAAAGCATTTTTGAAATAGGCACCTTTAAAACAATTAAAAAATGAGAAAATATTTCACCACTGTCCAAATGCCCTGCACCAAAACTCCCTAAAGGAGAAGACACGCAGCAATACGTTTAGTTTTAGCAGTTCTTTAATGGTGTCAAATAGAAAGCCATCTACTCCTGCATCTTTTCGATCGTTTCTTCCTTGTATTTGCCCTTCTCCTTGCCAACCTGGCGAGACTTCGCTTTACGCTCCAAGATCTTCTTGCGGTCTTTGTCCAGCTTTAGCCTTGTGATCACCACCTAGAGAAAGGAGAAGAACTCAGTGCCTTCAGCATTCCAAGCACAGCACCCTGCCAGCAGCAGTAGCAGCACAGCAGCAGGCTGCCCAACTGCTGGAGTAGAACGGAGGGATTGAACTGCCTACGAGTTTCCCAACTTCTCCTCATCCATTCAGGGAATCAGAACATATGCACAGTGGCTTGCTTGCACAGCCACAACACTCAAGCCAACTGAAGAGCAGCCACTTTTCTACCCAGCTACAAAGTAATTGCATTGGAGCAAGTCTGATTTTATGATTTCATCGGAACATTTCCATGACACCAGGTGCTGCTCAGATATGACGGATAATGCAGCAGCACAGCTGATGCTGTTCCCAGCAGCACACAGGAACACAGTGGACCATCAGGCCTCGAGGAAATGCCCCGAGCTGCTGCAGGGAGGGTGAGATCGGTGATCGGGACTCGCTTCTCCGCACAGAGAATGGTCAGGCATTGCAGCAGGCTGTGCAGTGAGCTGCTGGAGTCACCATTCCTGGGGGTGTTCAAGAGACATGGGGGCACCGTGTTGTTGTGGACTTGATTTTAAGGCTCTTTTCCAACCTAAATGAAGCTAAGTTTATTTAAATTTGTCCATGTTTAAACAGCGCTAAGCTTCAGAATGCTGGAAAACCAAGCTGCACGCTGCTGCTGGTCACTGTCATATCTCTGCTGTGCTGCTTGGAATCACCAATCCATCCAGCTTAGCTACAGGGAGCAGCAGAAGTCCACACAGTCATCACCTTCATGAACAGGACCTGAACAGCTGAACATGGACAGCTGATTATCATCAGTAACACAGAGAGACAGACAGAAGATAATTTGTGCAAACCCTCTGCTACTGGATCCTTAATGAGTTTGTAACAAAACTGCTTTTCAGCCCTGGGTACCCTTCAGTTCCTTCTCTGCCCACAAAATTGGCAAAGAAATATTCTGTATAACTGAAAGCAAGACTTTAAAAAACACACTGAGGTAATCAAATCTTAAAACCTATACAGGCTTTGGTACAGCTGCGTGCTCCTGGTTAGTTCCACAGTACAGCAAGCCCTCAGGAATTAACTGCCATTAATTCCTACCTACCTCGTCCCACTGCAAGCGTGCAGCTGCACACTGCCCTAGGACTAACAACTATAATCTTTATACAAAGCTTTTTCTAAGTCCAATTTCCAGTGCAGGAGAGCATTCACAGCAGTGAAGGAGCAGCACAGACCTTGATTTTATCCACTATTTACCACAGGAGTAATTTCCAATTACGTGTACGTTGGTTCCATCACAATGTCACCTTGTACCTCATATGTTATCACTGCACACAAGTCACTGTTGTTTTGGAATCACTCTGTTCTCCTTTTAAGTAACAACCATTGAGATCAGAAAACCTGCTACAACCAGCACTTCAATGTACACGACAGGTCTGACGCACTCCAATTTCATCTGCTTCAAACCAGGTTTTTGGCTAGGCTTTCTGCTTGCTTTGAAATGATTTGCTATTGTGATCTAAACAGGCTTTGGCAGGTTTTCACTGACTCTAAATACTGCAGGATGGCTGGGCTGAAACCAATGGGATGAAGTTCACCAAGAACAAGTGCTGCGTCCTGCACCACGGCCACAAGAAGCCCAGGCAGCGCTGCAGGCTTGGAGCAGTGGCTGAAAAGCCGTGAGGAAGGAACAGACCTGGGGGTGTTGGTCAGTGCCTGGCTGAGCACGAGCCACCACTGAGCCTAGGTGGCCAGAAGGCCAATGGCATCCTAGCTTGTATGAGAAGCAGTGTTCCAGCAGGAGCAGGGAGGTGCTTGCTCCCCTGTGCACAGCTCTGATGAAGCTGCACCTTGAGCATTCTGTTGTTTTGGGCCCCTCACTACAAGAAACACACTGAGGCCCTGAAGTGTGGAGAAGGGCAGCAAAGCTGTGAGGGGTCTGGAGCACAGCCCTTGTGAGGAGCGGCTGAGGGGGCTGGGATTGTTTAGAGAGACACAGGGGAGACCTTATTGCTCTCTGCAACTGCCTAAAGGAGGTTGTGGCGAGGCGGGTGTCAGCCTCTGCTCCTTTGTGACTAGTGGCAGGATGAGAGGGAATGGCCTCAACATACACCAGGGGAAATTCAGGTTGCATATTATGAATTTTTTTTTTTCTCTGGAAGAGCAGCAAGGTGTTAGAACAGGCTGCCCAAGGAGGTGATCGAGTCACCATCTGTGAGGCATTCAAGAACCATACAGATGTGGCACTGAGGGATGTGGTCAGTGGGGAAATATTGCCCAGAGGTGCACGTTTGGACCAGAGGATCTTAAAGGTCTGTTCAACCTTCGGTGATTCTATGACTATAAAATCATTCCAGGCTGAAACCAGATTCAGACAAGATTAGAGCAGAACAGTCACAAGAACAAGTCACCATTCTGAGCATCTATTTAAACATTTCAACCACTTCCTAAATCAGTGCAAATGCCATATAGAAAAGATAAAGGATTATTCTAAAAGATCCATCCCCTAAACAATCAATTAAAAAAACTACCTGTGCTTTAGGAGCTCAAACCTTTTCCAGAAAGCACTGTTGGAACAGCCCAGTCTGCAACAACTCCACTAAATAAGCATCAGAAAGCCCCTGCTTCCAACCATTACTTCTCTGTTAGCATGACATTTAAAGTCTCCTTGTTTATTATTAATGCACACCCCAAGCAATCTCAGCCCATCATTCCACAGGCAGTAACAAAGTTCTACCCATGCAAACAGCAGTTCCTTCATTTGCCAGCAAGGCCTCCCAGTGCCCTGCAGAGCTCCCCTCACAGCCCATACCTTGCTGGGATGGATCCCCACGTGCACAGTGGTGCCGTTGGCCTTCTCACGCTGCACGCGCTCAATGTAGATGACGTACTTCTTCCTGTACACCTGCACCACTTTGCCGATCTGCTGCCCTTTGTAATGACCCCGGACGACCTAAACAAGGAGATACAAAGGATTCTTTTCCAGGACATCCAAAACATTCCTGAAGTAATTATCAGACCTTAAGGAACACAATATAATTATCCTAACCAAAAACCAGAACTGTAAACTCTTGTTTACTAATTGTGTCAGGAAGAGATAAATTACTGGACAATGTAAGCGATGGAGGAAAATGTAATGGATCAGAACTGCACCTTTTCCTCATTTAGCCTGCAATAAACTCTCATCAACCCACTTCAAACCTTTTCAACTAGAAATAGCCCTCTGCTGCTGCCAGCAATTTGGGTTTCTCATGCCTCCCAGTTCACTGACGTGAGGTCAGGAAACATTCCATAGGACAAATCTCTGACTACATCAATCCTTACTCTTCCCAGAGCTCTGATAACTTTCTACGAACAACTTTGGTCCTAAAAAACAAAACAAGATGAAAACCTAAAACGTGACAGCAGGACTCAAACATCAGCCAGCACAGCTACCTGGACTTCGTCATCCTTGCGGATGGGCATGGAGCGCACGTTGTATTTCTGCCGCAGCTCCTTGGACAGCGGGGAGGACATTATTTTCCTCCGGATGTGGGAAGGGGCATTGAAGTGCCGCTTGCGGTTCTTGCTGCGGTCTGAAGTTACGAATGGGTTGAACTTCATTTTGGCTGCACAAAGAAAAGCAGTTTGAGAGACGTGTAAGTCACGCTTATCAGCTACACACATAACGCAAAGCAAATCTTAAAAGCGCATTTTGACTTCACTTAATGCTTTTACTCTCATTCCCAATTTGTATATCCATATAACTTAGATTTCAAACAAGGTTTAAGCCTTCCACGAGTGACCGTGATTCCGGGGACTGACAGAGGTGCCTGTGTGCATATGAGACAGTATTCTGTAACGCAGAGCTCCCTGTAGTCACAAGTCAGGGCACCTGACGGACTTCTATTCATTTCACACAGTTGCACACCTGCTTTGTTTAAGAGGTGAATGTGTATTGCAGGCTTCCCCTGAAACGACGCTCACAAAGCTTAGAGATCTCTGATAAGATTTAACACCAGACCTTGCAGCACACAAGGCACATCTGATCTCCTCCAACTCTTAATGGCTGCAGCGCTGCCCTGTGACTGCTACACCCAACTGATACATGCAGCACCAGGTGCTTCTGTTCAGCCACACGAGCCAGGCTGCACAGCAGGCTGTGACACACTGCATTCACCGAATCGCCCATTAGCAGAGAACGTGTCAGAGGAACGACATCTATCCGGAGTCTGCAATCCAAACCGGCACCTGAGTGCAGTCAGGCCTGACTTCAAGCCGGGGTCGTGCCGGACCTGCCCACAGCCCCTGCCCGAAAGCCCGCAGCGCCCTCACCCCGCCGGGGCCGCTAAGCGCGGCGCAGCCCGTTCCCCCACCAGCAGCCCCCGGGAAGGCTCGGGCCGCCCGGCGGCAGCGATAAGGCCCGAGGCCACCGAGTCCTCTCCCGTCTCCCTCCCGCTTCCTCGACCGGGCCCCACCGGGGCCGCCGCGGAGCCCCCATCACGCCTCAGGCACCGAGGAACGGCTCGGGGCCGCCCCGTGGAGGATGGCGACGGATTGGAAAGGTCCACCCCGGGCGCGGAAACCTCACCCGCTGCTGCCTCCGCGCCGGTCGCCCGGAAAGAGGAGGACGAGGCACTTCCGCTTCCGCAACCGGCCGCCGGGCCCGCGCCAAAGGCCGTGCGAGGAGCCGGAGCCGGCTGCGCCCCCTCGCGGCCGGAGGTCAACTGCGCAGGGCTGCTGGTACCCGGCCGGCATCTGCTGGGTCCCGGCCGGCATTGCAGCCCCGGCTCCCACCCAGACATCCTTCTGGAAACCGCTCGGATTCGAATTTTTCAGTCCACACCGCCGTTGCTGCAACTTTCCTGTGTGCACTGTCACTCCACCATTCCTTCACACCCAACGTACCTGAACGTGCTGCCTGCGCTCCCAACAAACACTGTGCGATTACTTTGCTGTTGTTCCCCCCGGGCACAAGTTTATTTCCAAGGAAATTATCTCACGGCAGAAGATGCTGACAGAAATGACCCAAAGCACCCTCAGGGAGGAGCAGCACAGCACCTCGGGGAGGTTGGGTTCCCAGAGGCAGGCAGGAGCCATCTCAGGCGGGATGCCCAAATTCACGGTGTGGAACGTTTCAGTATTTAATCTTTGCTATTGCCTCAATGCATTTCCAAACACTCTGTGAAGCAAGGCTAAAAGGAAATTAAAGAGAGGAAGGACAAAAAAGGGTTACTCAAACATCGAGTGAGCGAAGCCAGAACTGAGTGCAAGCACAAATCATTCACACACCTCACACCTCATTCAAAGAAACACATAATAAGAGGTGAGGATACTCGGTGCAGTTCAAGCCCAGCACTGGATGTCCAGACATGACTCAGTGCTGATTACAACAGAGCCTCGTGGCAACTTTCCGCAGTGCGACCTGGCCTGAAGTGATTTCATTGTGTGATAACGCTCAATTCATTGAAATAATAACAAACCAAAAAAAACCTTTTACGTTGATTTTGCAACGGCAGTGCAACAAGAAGCCAATCCAAACACAGGAGAGTTTTATTTTTAATTACAGAACTAAAAAAAAAACACTAATAGTTTATTAACATAAGGTTGCAAATTAAAAGGCAGATGCAAAAAATCCTCAATAAACTGCACTGTAAAAATGCAAGATTTGAGCTTTACATGCTGCCTTGACACGGGGCAGGACAACAAACCCTGCCTGCTGAGAAATACCCCACTGCCACACTGCAGCTGAACCTCCGGACGGCTGTTCTAAAGGTACTGCAGACATTTCCAGCTCCAACAGTTCTGCGTAGCACACAAACAAAAAGCAAACTTAAACGAGAAATATTCAGGAAATTAATTCTAACCATTGCCATCTACACTGCAGATTTTGCTTTTTACAGAGCAGTAGCTGAATGCAAATATTTGATAGATCAAACATTCACAAACACACATTTTTTTTTAATTTTCACCCAATTCCTTTTGTTTTTCCCCCAAAAGCTCCTCAGCAGCCCACACAGTGCCTACACCCTACAAAGCACAGCTCTGCAGCTTCCCCACAGCCACAATCCTAACTCCAGCACTGCAAAGCATCCTATACTGCACTCATTCTCATTGCATGATGCCCCGTAGCTTCAGAGAGGTTTATTTAAACCAGAATAAACACAAGCTGTACACATTTTACTTCCTACAGGGTTGTTTCTGCTAGAAAACCACAAATACTTCTGTCAAAATACTGATTTGAAGGAGCAAATCCAAGCAGATGGATGAACACCTACAAAAAATGGTTTTCCTTCCACTACGGCTTGAGAACATTTTTGCTTGCATTGCTGTTCAAAGCTCATTTTGCCCCTAAAAGGTGTTTGAGACTAGAAGTGAAATGCAGCAGCACGTATACGCACGGGGCAGTCCTGCTACAGCAGTAACCACCTTGCCTTCACATCTGTACAGATTAAAAGTGAATCCTTCTGTAAACAAGTGGTGCAGCAGCATTATGTGATGCAGCAGGCCACATGCGAGGGATAAACGTGCCGCAACGTACAGCAGAGCTCAGAGTCAGCCTTGGCTTGGCAGCACTCAGAGGCTTTGCCCTGGCTCAGAGAACGAAGGTGCAGGCTGTTTCTTTTGCCAGAACTTGAGTACAATTTGATTTCCACGTTTAGCAAAAATAAAAAAGTGATTTATTACATCATTGCAGTGGATGTTTTGGCAGTGAAAGCAAGCACACCGACGTATGCAACTGTTATTTCCAAAAAAAAGCCAAACAATCTCAGTGATCTGGTTTAAAGAACTGGCCTGGGCTGCACAGAAGGCAGCGCTACATCCGGAGAGAGGAGGAGGAGGGCAGAAAAAGCACGCTGAGGGCATGAGACACAGAGACATCTGCAACCAGTTCTGAGCAAATCCTAAAGGGGAAAAAACTTCAGAAAACTAAGAGCACAACCCACTGTGCTGGAGATGCCTCAACAAGACGTTAAAATGGCATCCTTGTAATCCACCAGGTTCACAAGGTACGAGCAAAGAGTCAGCAAATTCAAGAGGGAAAGACGAGGACATTTTTGCTTTAAGCTTCAGTTGGTGGCAGTGGATTGGAGGAAATCCTTCAGGCGGCAGCAGCAAGTATTGCAATGGAAAAACCCCAGGCTGCCAGCAGGCATCGCTGCCACCTCGTGGGAACCGCTGACGGACAGACGGACGCACAGTGAAATGAAGACAAACATCTCATTTTCAAGTTGATTTTTGTAAATGGAAAAAATGTATAAAATCTATCCGTACATTAACAGATACAGGAAGTTACACAATCCAGTTTACACCTAAAGGAACAGCAATCAGTCCATAATAAGAACAGGGAATAATTCCAATGCTGCAACTTGTCAGAAGTCACTACAGGGCAGAGAATGGGTGTATGTGTGTGGGGGGGGAGCTTGTTGGCCTTTTCATTTTTCTTTTTTGGCGTGTGTGTGGATAAAACTGGAGACCTTCCCTGCTTCCAAAGCAATGAGACAATTTCAACAGACGTGTATTAGGAATACTTTTGAAATGCATCTGACTCTAGCATTAACACTGATAATTCAAGGATTCGTATTATTCCAACATGATGTTTGGATACTTTTGCCTCCAGAAAAGGGCAATGGACAGTAGATACTACCCAAGAGAAATCCTGCACCTGTCTTAGAATTTATAGCACTGATTGAGGAACTTTATCCATTCTGGAAGCTTAAAAATCCATGTATCCTCAGCTCAGACACATACAAAGCATGCAGAGACAGTTACTAACCAAGGAACATCTAGGAGGCTATGGAAAATGGACCAGTGGGCATTGGTCTACTTTGTAGTGAACTCACATCAACCATTGCATGCAAGCCACACCTGGCAACTGTTCTCCCCTTGCACCTAAAGTTACTGGAGGGTTCAGAAGACAAAGCCTGAACAAATGGGCATGGAAGTTCAGTATCACTTGAAGGAACAGAACAGAACAACTGCAGGAATGCCTGCCCCGCTACTGCTGTACCTGTGGGCAAACAGCGTCAGTGCAGGGCTCAGAAAAGATGCCTGGCTGAATTGTAAAGAAACAGGTAGGCACCTTAAACCGTGGACAGACTCCTGTGTTGTACAAGTGTATTCAATACACACACACAAAGCAAGACAGTAAGCTGTGCTCGTTCACCCAGAAGGCTGCACCGCTTTTTTTCTGATCACACAGAGTGGAAAACTGCTTTTAAAATAACAACAGTAATAACAATGCAGAAGTGCAGAGTCCAGATTACTGGGTGGTCTGTGTTTAAAATAAAAAACCAAGAAGAAAACCAACAGAAGAAGGAATAAAAGCTAACACTGTAAAGACAACTACTCCCTTTCAAAGCAAAGGCCACATAAAACTGTGTTGCTCAGTTTGGTTTTTACTTCATGCCACCTGTAAACACAAGACTGGATATTCAGTTTCCGGGAAGAAATCAAATCACTTTTACATCCAGAGGAAAAGGCTCTCCTCTGCCTGGACCACAGATTATCCAGGAAAAGGTAGCTGGGGGATGGTCTCCTCCTTTCACTAAAAAGGTCATATCTGAACCAAAGAACTTTCCATAAAAGCACAAGACATTTCTTGATGTAATTTCTGCCCTCTGTCTCTAAAGCCTGCTATGGGAACTAACACTTTCCATTCCTCACCAACAGATACATCACCTTTTTGGCACCAAGGGTGGAATTTCTTCCTAATGTATAATTCTCCTTTATATGTAAGTTGATTGTCTGATCATGCAAATCCAACAAATTCCAAAAAGTGCCACAAGACAGCTTAACTCTTTGCAATCTACTACCTAGCTTGTATGCTGCCATAGGAACACCCCCAAGAAGATGCTACTATCCTTACTTAGATCTGACAGTGTGTTTCATATAGGGCTTTTCAACTTCTCTTTCTGGGGGTACAGAATCGAAATCCAAGACATGACTGCAGTAATTTTTGTTATTTTGCTCTCAGAGCTCTGAAATGCATGGAGATTTCTTCAATTAGTTGAAGAGGTCTTCACTGAACAGCCTGATTAGAGAAAAACACACTGATTCAATCAAATAGAAAATAAAGACAAAAACAGGTAGTGGTAGGTTTCTCAATCTTTGCTCCTGTCCTTGAAGACTAGTTTAGAGTTTCACTGCTACTGCATTTTCCCCAGCTGGATCTTCTTCCAGGCTTCTGATGCTGTGAAAATGCAGGAGTCCAGGATCCCAGCTACAGTAAATGTTCCCCCAATGATGGCACATATCTGAAAAGTACAAAAGAGGAAAGAAATGTCAGTGATGAGGCAAACGTTTACGCAGCTTGAAAATGAGGGGAAAGATATTGCCTACTGTAGGGAGTCTTTTGGAAGCACAGTAAGAATTGGGTAATAGTACTGGGGTTGTAATTACATGATACTCATTCAGGAAAACTCTTCTGTACAGTGGAATAACTTAGTGCTATCTGGAATCACTGTAGCCTGAGCCAATCATAAAACCCAGCTCCTAAGAGTACAGAATGAATCCTGTTCCTTCCTAAACTCCACCTAATAGAGCTTTCTAGAAGTCCAGTGTTGCTCATGTATTCCTACTTCTGTTTTCTATTATAAATATCACGGCCTTGTAGTCTTTTCCCTATTTCACAAGATGCAGCATTTGCAGACAGGCAAAAGACACTTAAATAGTATGTTAAGGATAGTGACTAACAGAAAAGCGTAGCTACCAACGACACCTACAGCTAAGCCTGTCTAACACTTTCCATTACAAGTGCTGCTACTAAAGCACTGCCAACTTAACTGTTTGTGGGCCAAAGTTTTCCATACAAGATGTCTTGGGTAGCATTATAAATATATATATATAAAAATATCAGCAAAAACACAGAATCATTTTCAAGAAGACAGTTAGGGAAAAAACTAGACTCCTGATTTTCATAACAGCTTAAGTCAGTTCTCAAATGCTAGAAAAACACCAAAGTATGACATTTCAAACTAAAGGTACTTCTGCTTGGAGCACCCCAAACCAGAGCGCACCAGTTCCAGACTTCACAACACACTGCTTCCATTCTTTTAGTTATGAAATAAGGACAATGCCAAAGCTGCCTCCCAAGGAAACTGTGAAGGAAAATGCTTTAGAAGTGTTTGACACTATGACGATAGCTGTCCTTGTGGATACACACAGCCTGTGTGCTGGACCAGGTTCACACAAAGCACCTGTCAGTAACAGCCCTGTGTGATGGGAAGAAACGCTGCTTGCAGGGTGCTGCCCCACTGCGTGCACTGAACAGGGCTATGCTCACATGGAAAGTATGATACAGACTAATGTATCCTAATAACATTTAACAGCCAAGTTGTAATTACACAAGGCCTGGCATTTCATAATGCCCACATTTTTGCCTTCATAACTGTGGTGTTCTTTGAATTTGGTCTTTCACATGTAATTCGTTGTGTAGGATTAGGTGGCTCTCAGAGCAAGAGACACTGTGCCAGCGAGGGCAGGGCAAGACACAGAGCTTATCTCCTGAGAAGGGCCTGCCTTAGGAAAGGGGATCTTGCTATGATCCAGGAGTTGAGAGGGAGAGCAAGGAAGCCCAGATTAGTAAGCTAGAGCAGCAGGGGAATTCAATGCAGCTAGCACAGAGGGAAAGTGGAGACACACTGGACCTACTGCGTGTCCCCACAGGCAAAGTGACACGGAAAAGAGTAACAGAAGAGCAAGAGCATTGGGTTCAGCAGGAAGATCGCAGTGGCAACAGAACAAACAGGTCATTAATGCTGAGTGAAGGCTGCAAGAAATGCACCCCTCATTTACACGTCTATCTATAACTGTGATATTTGTGTTCAGTGAGCTCAGCGAGATGCGGAGAAGCAGCAGAGATAGCAAGGCAAGGTAAACATGACTTCTGCAGGAAGGCTGGCATTCCAGAAGATAAAGGCTTCAGAAACCAGAGCACCAGCTGGAGGCAATGCTAGCAACTCTAGGGGACAAGCCCTCCAGGCTCCCCTCTGCCTGCTGTCATCGTCCCCCCCCCCTCCCAGCATGATGCAGGGTGACTTTTGGGGGAAAATGACAGCAATGGAGTTGGGTTATTTCAGTTCTGGGCAGCTCAGCTGATGCAATATTTACCGCAAACAGAAAGACTGTCCAACACTAAGATCATATGGTAGGAAAATCTGATTTCAGTGCAGCACCGTGGGGGGGGGGGAGGAGGAAACAGAAAAAATATATATTCATCTGCACTGTACTGCTGTGTACTGCACAGTGTTTATGAGTCACACACACCTGGCATTTGCTTGGAGCCTCCCAGCACGCACACAGCTCTGCTTTGTTGCGACAAAAGCCGGCAGTGCTGGGGTTGGTCTCCAGGTCAGCACAGAAGCTGCACCATCGCACTTCCGAATCATCACCATGTGAACGCTCACACAGCGCTGCTCCTTCGCAGTGCTGGAGGAAGTCAGGCATCATGCACTTATTCATATTGATTCATATTTTATACTGGGAATGATGGGTGTTTGTCCCCGTGAGTTTGATTCAGGCCTAACCATCAAAAGAAGAAGGAAAAGGAATACAGAAACGTAATAACTGCAGAATGGAGAGATCATGCCATGTGGGATACACAGGAGGCTTTTTAACAGAGCATTATTTCTGTACAGAGGCTGGTGTGCAGGCTGAAGGACACCAGTGGCTGTGCAGGAGGAAATGCAGCAAGACAGATGACAGAAAGGCAAAAGTTGGATATGTGATTGTGGAACTTGTCCCACAAGGTGACAAGTTTAAAACCTGAAGATGATTTTAATGGTCAAAGGAGACCTGTAGGAACATCAGGTAATTCCTGATATGGTAAGCTGGAGAATTCCACCCAGAGATTTCTGGCTGACCTGCAGCACATCTTGTAGAACACCACTATCTTGGCTTTAAAAACTGCATGGACTGAATCTGTGCTACCGGCTGGCAACAAGTCCCACAGTGGAAATAATCCTCCCCACAACCATTTTTTCCAATTATTTCCAGCTTAATTCCTTTCATACCAAGCAGGCTGACCGCTCCTCTCATATCAGGAAAAAATCTTCATTTTTCTTTTGAATTTTGAACGCTTCACCAGAAGTTTGTCTCATTTTCTCCCTGCTGTCCCCTTCCAGCATCTTCCATCATTGACCTCGTGATAAAACCCTTCTTTCAGCCTGGCCACTTATATGAATGCACAAATCTTCAGCAGCAAAACTTTCTCCCTTTCTCCATAACCTCAACCACAAATCCATGGACGACTTCTCTTTACTGGGAAATACCTTAATTTTAAGCAGTATCGTTTAAGAGGCTCAAACTCCTGTGTTTAACACTGCACCAGCTGTGTGTGGTTAACCCTGGGATCCATTGCAAATTCACCATGTGCATCAGTGGTTACACTGACTTACAAGCAATATTCTTACTTAGAACTGAATTTTTTTTCAAGCCTGGCATGTAAAATAAAATAAATCCTAAACCTTTGCCTTTGTTCTACACAGGAAGCACCTCTAGCGAGGTATAGAAAATGAGAATAACTCTCCATACCACAAAAACCATGGAGCTGGCATGAGTCTGAGTGCTGCAACACACAGCACAGTGGTTCAGCTGGGAATACAGAAGACCAGGAACCAACACCAGGCATGGCGCCCTGAGCAGCACTGAACTTTTTGGAAGGCAAATGTAATACTAACAAAGAGCATCAGATAATCTCCCCAGCAACAGAAACTCCTTTGCCTTTTATTGAGCAGTCGATACACCTCTCACCTGACTGCCCCACATGGGACTGTCCCTTCTCAGTGCCCCTCCAATATCAGTGCTTTTGACCTGACAAGCAGCCAGCCACACACTGCACTGCATTTCTAGTGCTGCTAATGCTTCTTTTAAACCCACAGCAGTCTCCCACACTTCAGGACACATTTCAATTTGCTGTGGTTCCCTAGCAAACAATCTGTTCAATGAAAGATGCCACAGCACCCACTCCAAGTCTGTGTGCTTTTTTAAATTAAGCAGCTGCTGCTCAGAAATAGATTATGAGTTCCCACGGCTCCATTGAGCAATGACTCCAGATGCCCCAGCACATCTCTGCCTGGGCCAGGTTGCAGCTTGTGTTGCTGACCATGAGCTGGTCTCCAGAGCAACTGTGATGCAAAAGGCCACAATGGATACACAGGAAGGGGCTAGAGCAGTGGAAAGGACAACAGAGTAGATCGTGTCATCAAAACAGGGCAAGGAAACCTAGGACAAAAGGTGCGTTAATCGCCTGCCTCCCTGCTTCCCTTCAGCCTTGTCTCTACCACCTTCAATACTGTAAGCTTAAAGGGCAGCACACGCACCAGGCCAAGGCTGCCCCAGTGTAAAACATTCCCAGCCTAAATGAGTGCAAGAGCAGATCTTGTGCACCAGGTGAGCCACGCTGATAGCCATGCTACAGCATATCTGTACCAAGGATCTGCCTCCACGTCAGCCACCTCTGAAAGGGGCCTGGCAAAGCTGTGCACAACACTGTGTAACAGCTCTGCAGATATTGTCATCCATACGTCTCCGTAGGAATGATGTTACACTGGAATGGCCTCACGTAAGCTGCTTCAGATTACAGCCATTTAAGACCAAAGTAGATAACAAACAATTCTAAAACTCTTCCTCAGCAGTCAAGGAGGCAGCACACAACTGCCAAACTTTACAGACTGTACAGGGCAAAGCTCTGGCAGGGTGGTACCAAATCCAAAGGTCATTGTGGCAAACAGTCAGAAAAGCCACTCCTGTGGACCCCATATGTGAATTCTGAAGCATAGCACCACATTCAATGAAGATGTCATTTATATGCATTCAATGCAAGCAAGGGACACAACAAATAATGCCAGCTATTTGTGACTTCTAAACACTGTTCCTCTTAAAAACACCTCCACACTTCCACCCCCAACAAGAAGCTCGAGAAAGCTATGAGTGTACACTGTTAGGGAAAGAAGTAGAGGCAGTATGAGATGCCAAATCATAAAATGATGATGTTTGATCTTTTTTAAGATTACATTTTGAAGCCCGGCAGACATGCTAAGATGACAAAGTCTTAATAGGTGACAGGTTTTGCTTTAATACCAAGACCTCTTTGTCTTGGTATTTGTATATCCCAGGGATCACACACATCTCTGATGTTAAGTGAAAGGAGCTTAGTATTCATCAAAAGCTGCAAAATCAAAATCCTTAAGTGCAACACAGCCATACTGTTTATATGTTACTTCCCATTGACACAGTCAAACTGTTTAAAAATCAAAATCCGAGGTCTTATTTCAACCAATTTATTAGCTACTTTACATTCTACCATGCCTCACTAGCACAAGAGACCACAGTTTATATTTTAAGCCAGTATCCTCAGGACACATTTTGCCTGATCTGGAAGATCCTGAAATAACTTTTTGCCCAGTTATCAGTTTGGACAGTACAGCTTTGCTACAGATACCAAGATCAGTATTGCAGGATGTTATCTGGATGGATCAGAACACAGCTACACAGCTGGTAGGAAAACACCTCTGGAATGTTATGATGTAGCTCTTCTCCACTTCTGCCTGAGAGCAGACACCTGGAACTGGCATACCCATATTAAACCAAGCAGCCACACCGAGTTAAACAACTGCCCTGTCTTCTCTGCAAGTTAGGCCTCGTCATTAGTGAGGCAGCTTATTGCAGCCTGCTTTACTGCATACCTCATTAGTTTAGTTCCAAGTTTCTGGCATGTTGCAATCGTGTTCACCATACCTAGACAGAGTTTGGCGCTTCTGGAATAGGATAATTTTCTTTCTTCTTGTGCCTAACTATTAAATCAAATTGCCAGAGTATAGGATTAGCCAGTTACCTCACTTACACTTCACAGCACTGGCGTGGTGATGTACTGTTTTATTTCAATCATGTCACAATGCCCTGAAGCAGAAACTCAGTTCTTCTGGGAAAGTAAGGCTTGGAAGAGAAATGGAAAGCAGGCAGGAGAAAGAAGAACCACAGGCTTTGAGTAACTCACCGATGTGATAAACCTGTACAAAGGCTGTCGCCTCTCTGTATATTTCACCGTGATGGGACTCAAATCATAACGAAACCAGATAGCTGGGATAATGCGGCCTGTGTGACTGTAGGCTACGTACTCCTGGAAAAGAAAGCAGAGAAAAATGACACAGCACGAACAATCCCATTCTGCATACAGTGCCTGGTCCCTAATTTACTGTTCTGTACTAAAGATCAACTGAAGAAGTAAACAATTAACTCTGGTATGACGCTCCTTTCTCTACGCTTATCAGATGGGAAAGCAATTTCTTCATATTCTGACTGTGACACAGCTGGAAACAGAGGCATGGTGCTTAGCAGTAAAGAGCCTGTCACTGATTCCTCTAGTGTAGATCTGCTCTACTTAAATACAAGATTGTAAATGGTTGTAGATGAAGTTTTTGTACTGTCAGTATGTAAATCATACAAAAATTCACCAAACAAACAGAACTCAGTTAGCAACAACCTGAAAATCCCTGCTTGTCTGTGCACTCAGAACAGCAATCAGCAATTCCTGTCTGTGAGACCCTTGCACGCTGAAACAAACGTGAATGCTCTGCCCAGTCAGTATGAATTATGTAGAGCAATTTAAAATGAATCCTCTAAAGACCCATTTTGTACATTTGAAAATCATGCTGAAAACCAGAATGCAACTATATACAGAAAAAAACCTGTCAAAAGGTCCCAAAAATATTGCAAGCTGGCTGAAGACAAACATCTTTAGATTTCCAGTGATAACCTTACTTACTCTATTTCTGCAATAACTGCTACAGTGCAATGTATCAGCAATGGATCAATACCCTGTTAAATCACAGAGTGCAATGCTAATGTAGAACAAACACTAACATCAGCTTAGCATCAATTGGCACAGCTTTCAGAGCTAATATTTTGCCTGTGCTCTCACTTTCAAGGATTAGGGCATTGATTTCAACAGACCAGAAAAAAAAATCTGCTGAGGAGTCAGCACAGAGCCAGCAGCACGTGCACAGCACACCCTGCAACTTTACCCAGTTGTTCTTCCCTTCTTTTATCCCTATGACAGGACTCCCAACTCAGATGACCTTTTCAGTTTCAGTTCTCCTTCCTGCAGAGGCAAAGACAAGCTCATATACTTTGAAAAGATGAAGAAACGATAAGCAATAGAACATCCATGAGCATGATACAAAAAAGACAACTCTACTCTCCACGAGCTCAGAGGGAATCAACAAAACAGCATCAATCTCCTTCGCTGGTCATATATAACTCCCAGATTTCCCTCTAGTCTTTTTTTTCCCCTCAAAGAAAATAAAAGCAGCAAAACTGTGCTGCAATGTCCAGTTTGAGTGTTTCCAGCACTCTTATTGCAGACATTCTGCAGTGCACGTTAAGATAGTGGCTATTTGGGTAAGTGGGGAAGCAGACCTAGAAGGTAAAGGGAGAGAAAAGACAGCCAGCCACACCTCCTTCATCTCATCACACTAGCCAACCTATGGCAGATTGGCTTCCAATTTCTGTCTCCCACTAACAAGTATAGGAGTCAAAGACTAAACACAGTGATATGAGAATTTCTATCTTTAATGAGAAACGGCAGAAGCAGCACTGTTTTTCCATGCTTCCATTTTGACAGAACTGGCTTCATCTTTTTTTCCCTCTCCCCTTTTCCCCACCAACAGTTCTGTGATGAGTCAGTCTTGGCTGAACTTACAACCGTAATCACAGAAGTGTCAAGAGCTCCTGCTGTCTATTCTCCAAATTGCTTTCAGAACTTGTGTCACAAGAGTCTTATCAGAACAGCAATAGTGACATTAAGCAGAAAAAAATATATCGTAAACTGAACAGAGAGAGACATCCAAATCACTGGGACACACTGTACCAGCAAATCCCAAAGCTGCAAGACAGGAACACTAATCTGAGAACTAGTCCATAAGAGCGGGTGCTTGAATCTCAGCTATGACACATCAGTAGTCATAGACACTAGGAAAAGATTCTAGACTTTCACTTAGTACCTGAATAGCAAATTGTTTTTAACTGAATGAGAAATTTTACCTTGATAATTAAATAGGGTCTTTTCCCTCCAGCCTCCCAACACACTTTGTTATGAAATTTACTTATATCTATTTATTGTAAATTTATTCAAGAATCATAAAGTTACAACAACTAACATAATCCACTAATAAAGTAGATGATGTTTACTGCTAAGTGTTACATATTTGATGCTGCAGATACCACAGATAAAAAATCCTTAAGAAAGTTACCCCCTTGGTCAGCTAAACTGGCTGACAGTTCTGTAAGCCAGCTCCAGTGTCACATGTTTTGATAATTTATTTGTCTGACACATCCATCACAATTGAGACTGTTCTGTTAACAAAACTATGTGCAAGTACATTCAGCTGGATTCCAATTTCTGTTCAAACCCCTCTTAAATCACAAGAACTGCAGCACATACAAATCTTCCACATATCTTACAGAAATCTACATTAGCTAAATAGACACGACATATTCAGGAATAACAACACTGTACTCTAAAAGAAGACCAATATCTGCTCTGACTTGTCCTCACAATCCTAATCTCAGTAAGCACCAGCACCAGGAGCAACAGCAAGCCCTGCTCTCAAGAGCTTCAGTTCCTCCTCCTCCCAGCAGAGGCTACTGCTCACCTACAAACAAATGTACATGGCTGTAGAGCAGATGTGTAAGAGGAAGGAAGAATGGTGAATGAAGATCCTCCATGCATCCACTGGGCTGCAATGAGGAGCTTTTCTGAGAACTGCTTCTTTACCTTATTAGCCACCGTGTATTGGTAGGAGTATCGCTGCTTGCCGCTCATGTCCTCGTACACTGTTGGGACTATCTTCAGTATGTAGTCATGAGAGGCCAGTGCTGTGCTCACAGAAGGAAAGTAAAAATCAGCATTCAGAGAAAGGAATCACAGCCTCCATAACATTCCAAAAGTAAACGAAAACATGTAAACTGTCAGAAAAGGTATCCCCTTCCTCCTTATGTTGTACGTTTGGGTCACCTGAAAATTCCTACCTGTTTGTAACTATAAATGATTGGCACCACAAAAAGCTGTCCTGGTGAGATCAAGCACTAGCTCACGTTAGAACTGCAGCTCACTCAGCTGCTTCTGACAGAAAGTGCTGAGGCACCACGCTTGCATGGTCCCAATTCTTCTGAGCAGCCAACTTTACTTCTTTCTCTCCCCTCCTTCTCCCACAGCTGCTTAACAACTGCTCAATCCTTTTTCATTACTTAAATGGCTAGGGCCATTTGCTATTTTATATCTATGAAACAGTTTTGAAACAGAATTTAAATTATTTTTGTGCAGAATCCTTTTGGTTAAGTGTAACACAAAGATGTACAAGAGAAAAAAAAATGCTGTCTAGCTTCAGGAACAGCCATAGAAATTTTGTTCCAATAAATGGACAAGAGTAATATCCTGTAGAAACCTGAGGAGTTGAAGGAGAAAAACTGGAGAGAGTTGTAGCATGCACTTGAAATTTGGTTTTTTTGTTGCTGGTCATAAAGAAGAGCAGTGAAAAAAAAATCTACCCTCCCATTTTCTGAGTAGAACTTAAGCCATGAGCAAACTTACAACTTGAGAACAAGGAAAACTTCTAGTTGTGGTTTCTGGAGCACAGGAGAGCTATAAGAATATACTGTGGATTTAAAAAAATATATCTGTATTCTACAGCAGATGGTTACACTAAAACTGGAGAAAATAACCAGATTGCAAGAGGGCTCCTCCTCTAATACTAGAGAAAATGTAAGTGACAGTCAGCAGTGTCTGGACATTTTAGTTATAGAGGCAAATTAAGGACTTCTGGATACATCAGTGTTGCATGACCAGCTTTGTTTTACCTCCTGAAGAGAGAAGCTAAGATCTGTAATCACCAAGAATACATACGATTTGAGCTGAGTTTGTCTGCTCCCTCCAAGGCGTTGAAGGCGCCATGAACATTCTGGACCTGGAAAGAAGAAAGACACGTGAATAAACCCTGCTCTAACTTGGCAGTGACCTTTGCTTCTCTATCCTATCCTGTTACAAGGAGATCAGCCCGATTCAGCCTTTCCAAAAACAAAGCCTCAGTGCAGTAGAAGATGACTTGAAGCATTTCTCAGTGACTGCCAAGCAGGGGTTGGTTCCAGAGGAAAAAAGTTGATTTCTCAATGTCTTAAAAATGAAACTCCTCAAAGCCACTGCAAAGCTAAAGGAATTGCAGCTGGAAATGGCCAGTTATGAAACTTCCATAGAGATATTACTTAAGAGCTTTGCATAGCTAACTGTGAAATTTACCTATCAGGCTGAAGGGAAATAAATGGGAATCGGATTCAGGATAAACTCTTGAGTCTTCATGCAAAGGTAGCTCGTGTCAGAGCAGTTTGGCTTGCACAGCTTTGCACATCAGCCCTGCCCTCACACCATGCACAACATGCCCTTGGAGAAGAGAAGGTCACATGCCAACACGGCCATCCATTCAGCTTTTCCTGCAGTTGGTCTCAGGCATGCAAGTATCTGTTTGCCCAGAATAACAGGATTTCCACTCCATACCTTCCACATACTCTGATCATCTGGAATCTAACGTCAACCAACAGAATAATCAATTTGTGAACTCTCTTCACAACAGAAACCCCACAGCAAGAGCTGTAGATCAGATGTTGCATCTTTCACAAAAAAATACAGCAAGCTACAGAGAAAGGACATATACATCCACAACCTAAAGATTCCTGTCCTTAAACCAGAAAATAGGGAAGAAACATTCAGAAGAAGTATTTGGTCATGAACGTGTGAGTTGTGATGACGTAAAACTCACCAACAGGGCAATGCACAAGGATTTCCTTCCCAGGTCCTCTTAACAACTAACAACATGTGGATATATTTCTCTGATCCTAATGGCTGTTTTACTGTTCTGAATGCAATGCAGTAGGTGATGGTTTGGAGGAAGCAACTGACCTAGTTTCCCAGACAGAAAACTAAAGACACAAAACTAACAGCAAGTTCAACTTGCAAGGTTGCAAGGTACAGAGAAAAATAATCAGCAGAACCTTCTACAGCACCTCCCGCTCTGCAGGGATTTCCAATATTTTACACAACAGCAACCATCTCCAAACTATAATTGCAGATTCTTTACTTGGTTATTATACATACACAGTGTCAGCAGAAAAGCTTACAAAGAAAGACAAGTCACCAGACTGGGCTACAGTATTAAGTTCCACTCTCAGTGCTGCTGAGAAGTAGCTTACTGCATATCTGAGCTTGAGATGTTAAAGTTCCCTTAAAACACTCTAACAGTAAATATTTGAGCTGCTGCTCAGTGAACAACTTTGTCTGTCCTGTGAGGTATCTGCATATTTGGGCTCATGCTTTAGTTCCTGGCTCCCCAACATCCATACTTCTGTTTACATGTAAGCGCTGTCTGATCTGTTGTCTCTCTGAACAAGTTTGCAAAGCTCCAAGTTACAGGGCAGACACTGCCACCACTGCCATCAGGTCCTTTGCTGCACCTGCCTCCTCTGCCTTTGCAGCACAGATAGCATCTGTAACTCCCAGCCTGACGTATTACCATGATTTTCCTTGTGGAATATTCTGGATTCCCTTTAAAGTACTTGCTGCCATAGATTGCTAATTAATCACTGTGCTACAAAGTGCACAGGTGCATTCCTTGGGGGAACATTAACTTGTTTGCACCTCATTAAGTACCTGGAGGGACTTCAAGAAGCAATAAAACTTTGGCCACAGTAACAAAATTGCTTTGCAAGAGAAAACAATCAAGGGTGTATAGCCAGGCGTTCTCAGGACTGTACAGTATTAGAGGCCAAATCCAGTGCTTTGAGCAGAAGTATTGGAAGCAAAGGAAGTGAATCAGCTGTTCACTAAAGCCAACGCTTGGTCCTCCCTCAAGACAGACCTCCACAAGATACTTGCCAGGCCCTTCAGCACCCTAGGCTTTAGCCTCTACAAAGGCATTCAAAGATATACAACTTGACTGATCAGACTGAGTCCAAGAGCAGGCTAAAAAATCACTTGTACTTATACAACTATAAAGGAAAGACCTCTTGCAAAGGTTAAAAACTACTGTTTTTCATTGCAGAAATCTAGCACTCAAGAGAATTTTACAATTCCACAGAATCACAGGGGTTGGAAGGAACCCTCCTACTTTACACATTTCTTTGCTTGGTTACCTGTCATGCAGTAACCTTCTGGTCTTTGTTTACATTAGGAAAAAATCAACACAAGGCCTGCCACTATTATACATCAGCTATTATGAAGAACTGAAGCTTATTCGATGCCAGACAAGATTTGAATCTTTATTTCAAACTGACTGTTCCTTATGTACCTTAGTGGATATTTCTGGCAAAGCAAGCAACATCCTACAAAGAACGAGGTCTCAGCATTCGACACAAGCAAATGAGAGAAGCTCCTTACTCCCTTTAAGAAATATGAGCATGTATTACATCAAAGCAGGTGGAGACACAGCTCAATATTTAAAGATGTATCTACATAGCTTTAAAGCTCTCCATACTTGCTGGCTCTCTACACTGCTTGCTGAGTCTTGATAGCACCTGTTTAGCGAACACAGCCTTCTTTAATTTGTACTCTTAAACTTATGTTTGCCTACAGGATCAGCAGCACCTACATGCCAGACAACGAGTAGTTATTCTGGGCTTTGAAAAAACTAATCAGAGCTTGTCCAAATCATGAGTCAACCACACATCTGCTGAACAGGTTTCTCACTACCAGCATGGAAGACACTTGCTCCTTTGCCCCCAACAGTCCAAGCTTCTCATCTCAGTGATACTTATTTTCAGCACTGAGAATTGAAGCTATACCATGAGTTGGGCTATGCAGCTCAAGGACTCCATGATAAAACAATGGGAACAGTGCCTTGTAGCTTGATTTCCCACACAAACTGCAGAACTGCCTATTAGCACTTACCTAATATTTCTCATAATCTCAGTGTGCTTTACAGACATTAAGCCAAGCTTATTTATATGCTAATATTTCAGCATTCCCACACAAGATATTTCCTAAAAGAAGCCGGGAGCAGAGTCAGAAGACTACAAAGCAATGCTTAGACTTGTTAGCATGAAAAAGGTTTTGGAAGTGGGTGTACAAGAAGCAGACTAATGAGACGTCTGTGCTGAGGAAAGAAGATTACAGAGAGACTACGGGCAAGCAATGTTTTGGGTGAGTCGCAAACTGGGTGTGCACATACACAACTCCCACCTGTGATGCTAGCTCCTTGGAAGTAGGCTAGAGAAGTGCTGTAATCTGCCCTCATTGAGAAATCAGGAATTATTACATAACTTGCAACACCTGGTGAAACTCTATCCACAGGGCAAGTGCACGCATTCAGCTTCTTCCCAACAGGGAACAGGTGAAACACAAGTCTAGCTTGTGTTTCACAGAACAAATTTGACTAATAGGTGTCTGCTATAGAAGTATGGTGACGTACATTAAAAAGAACTTGACTGGTGCTATGGTAAGACAGTAGACAGCACACATCTTCCCTCAGTATACTCCATGCTACTCTGCAAAGGAGGTCAAAATACACTTGCTAAATTAATATTAGAAACAGTACTGCATGGTTTTTTACAGAGTCACTCCTAGCAGGAACATAACCACAGTTTTCCAAAGGCACTTTCAGTTTCAGATGGAGAAAGCAAAGTTACTCTATGATGAACACCTTTCTTCCCTGAAGTAATGGCATGTAAAGTTAGCAAACTCTTCTGGACTGAATGCATACTGCACGAATGCCAGCTTGCCTACCCAGGCAGCTCATTCTTGTCCTCCCACACTGTACGTGGCCCTTCCATAAAACCAAGCAATCCAATATCAAAGTTACTGTAGTTGCATTCAATCCCCTAGAGACAGGGAATTTTCAGGGAAGCAAACTCACCTGTAACTTGTCCCCAAATGAGAGCTTGTGGATGATGTGAGTCATGTCAGGATTCTGAGGCTGTGCAGTGGCACTGTGTGTTGACACGTGAAAGTTACCAGGGACCTAAAATTAGTCAAGACAAGGAAGACAGGATTTCTCATTTTATCCCTCAAGGCATTGCTAGGCTTTGATATGAAGACAAAATGCCTGGATCCATCCAGCCTAGCAAATGGTATCACTTAATAGTAGACAACTTCTGGTACGCTGCAGAGAGGCTCTGAAATGTCTTCTTTCACTTGACCAACACCACCATACTGCACACAGAGCAAAGATCTGTTACATCCCAGGAGTCAGGCTCTCATTGCTACAGCTGCTGACTAGGAAGTGACTCCCAGCTCTAGGATTCCTAACACTTAAGGCTATGTCTTTCTTTCCCATTAAAATACAATTCAAGTCACTCAATAAACAATTGCTTAACATTTTACTCCCACATCTCACATTTGTAAATGGGACCACTGTTTCAGAACATCCTAAGAAAGCTATGCATATATTTTTTTTTCCAATCATAAGATACCTCACATTTCAGAAGATTGGTGGTTTTCTTCATATACAAAACCCATTCTTACCCACAAAATTTCGGGGGTATCCTGTACAAACAAAGCCAGATCTTCATCTTCTAGTCCTGACTTGTAGCTGGCTTTTAGCTCCTGGTTCCCCCAGTACAAGATTTTCTATTTGCTTTTGTTTTTTGTTTTTAATTCAGGGAAATACAAAGTTTTGAAAAAGTACAGATTTCACCTAAGGACTCAGTTCCAAGGCAGAAAATGAGCACTGGTGTCATTCTAACTGGATCACTCTAGCACGCGCAAAATTTTCAGGTCACTACCCCTACACTGTGAAGTCTTCCAACAAATTCAACTCAATCACTGTTACAGAGGTGCAAGACTTTTTTCCTAGGGAGAAAGGGGTTGGAAATTAAATGGTCTTGAATTGCAAAGCCTTGAACAGCACTAAGAATCAGTCTCAGACAACAGCAGGAAAACAATTGCACATCAGGTGCTCATTGTTCTCACTGTAGAGACTTCAGTGTCAGGCCCAAGGGAGGCCGCATGCTGATTACATGTGCTTTCAGGAAAGCTAAATTAAATGACTTGATGTGTGGCAGTGCACTCTGGGAACACTTTCAGGCATGGACTGAAGCTGCGTCATCCACAAGCTCAGTAAACAGGGTGGCAGTCTGCAGCAAGTACACAATGTTACCTTGTTCTCCCACTCCAGGTTTGATGCCCTGCCATGTACTACCACATGCCCAGGCTCTAATCAAGCCAAAAGTTACTCCTATAACTAACTTCACATAAGCTCTTTAAAAAGGGGTGTGTCTTTGTTATGTAAGCTTAGAGTCCCACAGCACAGTGTCCAACAGCCATGCACAGTCATGTTTCAAAGCAGGGCCACATCCCACTCGAGATGCTGGCTCACACAGGAGCCTGTAAAATTCCTGCCAAGGGACTGAAGACTTTCTTCCCCCTCAGATGTGAGAGGCTCAGATTTTCAGAGCCAGAAGTCCTGGTGTACGTTCCCTCCTTCTAGTCCCAGCCACTACATGAGACCATGCAATTAGTGGTTTTGCACAAACGAAGTAGAGAAGGGAATTTCTTGTGTTCACATACAGCAGCTATTTTTTTTTGTTTGCTTGTTTGTTTTTGAGCAGAAGTGACCACGTACACCAGAAAAAGCCACAACTGTTTTAGTACTGTGCTTTTGGGATTAGCAGAACAAGACCTACCTACCTTTGTAGAAGCCCTTTCCCAGTTTTGTGGACTATGAGCTGCCAGTAGTTTTGGCGACTTAGAGGTGAGGAAAGAAACATCATCTTTTTAATCCCTAATCTCTTCCATGTCACAGAATCAATAAGAGGTTCTGCCTGTTATTTTTAGATGAGATTTAACATGACCTGGGCGGGGAAGAAGGAAGCAGGATTTTGTAGCCCGTGGTACATGAGGAGGCGTGAATAAAGGGTGCGCCCTTCTGAGGACATCAGTGGGCCCCACCACTGACTCCCCCACCCCACCTAGTCATCTCCAGCATTACATAGCAAGATTATTCAATCCTGAACACACCCATCCCAGAGAGGAGCCTCCTCCAGGCCTGGATTTTCATTCTTTGAGGCAAAGCATCCCTACAAAGCATGCGCACAAGCCTCGTGCATGTGTTCCAAACATCTCAGCATGGAGCTGTTTCTGTTATGCTGGCATCCTCTAGCAGGGAACATTCCTGTCATTCTGCAGCTCTTGGAACTAAAGAGCACTTGGATAGAGACATTGCCAAAGACTTCTGCATAGTGAGTCACATTTTGGAGGTGCAAAAGTCATGATGAGTGAACACAGAAGCCATTCAGCATTCATCAGGCGTTTCTACGTCCCCTATATGTTAGGCTGCTGCATTCATAGAGACATCACTAGCCACAACACAGAGCCACTCTGCTACTAAGGAATGCTATCTGGGTTACCTGCTTTGAAGATTAACAATAAGCCTGATCTAACATGTCCTCTATGGCTCTAACTACACAGCCTCCTCTTCCCATATTGTTCTGCAGCACCAAGGGAATCAACTTCACCCGCTGATTAGGGACTCCCTAAATGTACTCCCTCAAGGGGAGACAGAGACACACAGATTTTCATAGCATTTTACAAATAGATCTTACAAGCATTTCCTGAGCCAGCTCAAGCTCACCATCATTCCTACTCACCTTGTTGATGCTGAAATGTCCCTCGAATCTACAGCCATCCCCATTATTGAGAGGTATTTTCATCGAGTTGTCTATGTGACCCACTTCATGCCTTCCCATTTCATCCTGGATGTCTAGTCCAACTACTGCATGGGAGGGAGGAAAGGAGACAAAAAAAAAAAAATAATGAGATAAAAACAGAAAGGTTGCATAGGAAAAGCATGTGCAGCTTTTACAGGAAAAAAGTCCACATCATTTTCCCTGACACTTGACTAAAGTGCTAATAAAATAACATCATATGTCAAATACCCCTATACCAGAGTGAACTTTGTAACCAAATTTTGTAGACTGTTTATTTGACAGAAACATATATCTTATACCCTGTCAGTTAACTTCAATTTGATCTGCATACACAGAAAAACTTCAGGTAGACAAGGCAGATGATCTGTGAAAAGCCAACAACTGTCTGTTGAACTCAGTTACACATAAAACTTGGGAGGTTTCTTGCTCCCAGACACTATGTGGTCACTGTAAAAAGGGAAAGTACTTAGAATAAGGTAGCAAGGGAGGTAAGTCACTAACACAGGCTGCAGTGAGAGCACAGGGTCCAGGAAAACTAGTGGCCTGGCCTCACCTGGAATATGAAGTGATGGGGTATTGGCATAGGCTGCAGTGATGTGACATCCTGTTACAGAGGGGTCACTGTACAAATTCTGGCCTATTCAAATATGAATTAAAACAGGTAAGAGAAAGAAGGTACTCACATTCACAATGCAGATTTGGTAAACTGATGTTCAGATTCACTTCTATTTTACCTCCACTGTCTTTGTCTGGGTCATCCACGTACAGCTCATTAACTCTAGAGGAAAGAAGACACGAGTGGGTCCACGCATATAGCTACTTTCCACGGGAGAGGGCCAAAAAACAAACTCCAAACAACCAGCCTTGTATGTGAAGTGAAAAAAAAAAAAAAGATAGAAAAGAGAGATTTTGAAGCACAGAGCAGAAGACAGCACGGCAGGCCACAGGGCACAAGACCCCCACGTGTGATTGACCACATCAGGTACAAAAGCTTTTTCTTTGCTTTCAATCATCAGCACTCCATTTTTGGGTGCCAGGGTCTCCTTTCTCTTCTCTCTTACTTGCACCTTCCTCCCTTAGTATTTCATTTCAATCTACGAACTGTAATCAAAAGCAACGACTAAAATTGAGAAGAGGATTCAAATCAGGAAACAGATGGGATGAAACATCCTGGACAGCAGGATCTAACACTGTGCAACAGCCTCCCAAAGAGCAGTGATGTGCCAGCACTGTGGGTGCTACGAAACAGATTTAACAGAAGACAAAATAGAGATATAGAGCAAAAGGAATACAGAACTATAAATATTTATTGTTGGCACATACAATCCATCTGACAGCTAAAATATAAACCAAATGAACCAACGCAAGCACAGCCACATGTCCCAGAGAACACACTCCAGAAAAATGCATCATACTGAAGCAGGAAGATGTGGAGGGTACCCAACAGCTCCATCTCTATTGAAGTCTGAGACTGCTCAGTCTCAAGGAAGAAGATTTGAGAATTTATCTTTCAGCGTGATAGATAATAAAGGTATGGGAACTTATGCTCAAGCAAGCTGCATAAAATAAATTATCTTTGCTATTAAGAGCTCTGTGTTATTTCTGTTTAATGCTCAAAGTGTGTGAAATCCTTTGACAAGCCCTTGCCGAGTATACATGCTAATAGACAGACCAGACCAAGGGCAGCTAACAAGACAGAATCAAAGCGATTCTGTTCTGGTGATACATCTCTGGACCACAGTGAACTGCCTGCCCTGTGGATTCAGAAGAAACAAGTCTTCAGACTGAGAAACACACAGCTGCCAATTTCTTTCCAAGTTAATTACTCACAGGTCAGTGAGGTTTGCAGACACTCATTTAAAACCAGCACAGCATTTGTCTTCAGCTTCACAGCCCTACCTTTCTCTGTTTTTAATTGGCTTGACAAGTTGCTTGCAATCATTACTCAACGTATTTTTCAAGTGATTAACAAAAATGACACAGAGGGAGTGGTGAGATTGCTCATCAGCGACCTAGTTAGAAGCTCCTTGGCTGAGCCTTCTCCTTCCAGGTGGAATGTGTTAAATCTTCTATGTATTCATCACTGGCAGACTAGGTAGTGATTGGGATTAAGTCATATGTCCAAATACAGGGGTAAGGAGTACTCCAGGCAGCAGAAGCATTACTCCTCCAAAGCACCACATCTCTCTCCTCCCTCCCAGCCCCCAGCCTGATTTCTCCCCAGCTCCTCATTGCCTCAGGTGTGACCACGAGCAGCACAGCCAACTCCATGCTTCTGATGAAAGGGAGCATCTGTGTCAGGGCTAGCACAGAAAGACTTCAGGTTTGGCACCTCAGCTGATGCAGCCCAGATCTTTGGAGTGAAACTCTAAGAAGTTCACTAGTTGTATTTGCAAATTTCCAGTTCTGAACAGGGCAGACAATGGGCCCCCAGGTGTGGTGCTTGAGCAAATGCCCATAGGCCTTCTGGAGATAAGTAAGCAAGAAGTGGGTGCTGGTAGAAGTCAAAGGATAAACTGTGTACACAGAGCCTCTTGAAGCTTTTACACAGGAAGACAAAGAGGTGAGATCACTCAATCACAGACTGGATCACTGAGGCAAAGAGAAGTAGGCCACTGTGCCCATGTCATGTGGCCCATTAGTTGCAGAGATAAGAGACACTGGCTTCCCGTTTGGAACTCCGGTCATGAAACCACTTGTTCCTAGCCTGCCTCTTGGGCAAGGCTCACGGCCATTTCCTTTTCCTCATCACCCTGCTCTTCTCCTTAACCCCATTCCCAGAAGATTTCTTAGCAGGGGCTCAAAACTGCACTCTGCACTGACCTGCTCTGCTACTGATGTGCCTCCCCTGAAGGGGACCCTAGGGCACAGTGGGAACATATGCAGGCTAAGCTTGCCAGAGCAAACCTTAAAAGAAGATTCATCCTCTTTCAACAAACTGGAAATTTTACTCCCCAAATGCTTTCTGGAAATCTCACAGGTAAAGCAGATATCCAGGGTCAAGGCTGCTACTTCATGGATCTCCGCCTGAACCACTGCTGCCTAAGTCTGGGCTGGTGCTCTTGTCTCAGTTGCTAGCCTTCTCCCCAGGGCCAGGAAACCAAATTGCACACAGCCTTCCTATAATTTTACCAGACAATCCTGGGATGTTGACAAAAGCAGCATTTGGCACCTCTAGCAACACCCCCTGAAAGGATAACGTCTCCAGCAGAAAAAAAGAAGCTGGTTTTAACTTATTGCTGTCTATTCTGGAACGTAAAGTATCCCAGAATTAAGCAACAGTACCTAACAGTGAATATGAGATGGTCATAAGGGAAATAAAATCTGAGGTCAGGCAGAAGGACACTGTAAACACAGCTGCTTCTACAGTTCTTTAGGGAGGCAGCATATAGGGTCATATTGTAAACTAGAGATGGCACACATCTCCTCTTCCAAAGACCCCAAAGAAGTAGGAATTGGTATTTTACTGGTTGTTGTTAAAAGTCCATTTGAACAAAAGAGGTGCAATAAAGCAAAGGTGAAATGCAGAGCTATGAAAGTGTAATAGGGCAATAGGACACTTAAAAGTGCACCTCACCCTGAGCAGGGCCTCCCATCACTGCTTCAAGGAAATGGAGGAAAGTTTCCCTACGCTGCAGGAGCAGTGATCCACACAGAAAGAATCTGCTTCACTTCTAGAAAGAGCCACTTTGAAATACTTCCCATTCCTGAGCGATGCTGCTGGGAGATAGATGCTCATCCCATCTGCTTACAAACTTGTAGCATTACACAGAAGGAGTTGGCTAAGATTGCAGATCTTGCAATGGTATGCAAGACAGAGGGGAGAAGAGTAGCACGAGGGCTTAGCATTTCTTTAAGATTTTATCCAAAGACAGACAAACCCATTCTCCACGCTTAGATTTATGACACAACAGCTTTGTTTCCCCAGAAACAAAACTTCTCACATAACTTATTTCCACCTAGCAACCCTGGCCACTAATGTTAGACGCTTTGCACTTCCAAAGCTAACAGCCCATGGAGTCCAAGAGGGGCCACGAGGCATCAGGCTGCTCAGTGCCTCACGCTCTGCCTGGATGCTGAGTACATCATCCTCATTCTCTGTATTCCATGGCCTAGCCTTTGCTTCAAATTGCAACTTTTTTTCTCCCTCATTTACAGCAAACAGCCAGGCTGCCTCCTCCCAGCCATCAGCCATAAAGCTAGAAAATACAGCCACTCACTCCACAAGCTGCCTTTTACCTCATCCTCCGACTGCCAGGAAGCATTCTGCACTCTTGAGTCCCTAAGCCTGAGGGGAAAAATAATTACTCCTTCTTGAGGGAGTTCAAAGATTCTCTCAAGGGATTTTCTCGGGCAAATTCTACAAGTCCTCTTGACTTCACTTACCATTCCAGCTCTCATCATTCACCTTCCACAGACACAACCATCCTAAATCAAGAGGCCTGCACAACCTCCTCGTTTGTGCCAAACAAGAGAAGGCATAATATAGGAAAAAAACCCACTGTAACATCATTTTCACAATTTGTGCAAAGAAAGAAGCAAGTCAGCAAACTCTCTGCTGTGTAATAAATCGCACGTATCTATTGCTCTGCTGCTTGTAAGCTTCTTCTCTGCCCTGAATGTCATCAATTCACCATTTAGAAGGTCTCTGTCCCACTTTATGTCCTTGCCTTAGCTGTAAAGCACAGAAAACACTGTCCTACAATGAAGGAATTACAGCTCTCCAGGAGGCAGGAAGAAGAAGGCTTCCAAAGACACCAACGTAGATTTGAGTCAGAAATTTCGAATGACATCATGGCACCACCTTCCGCTTCCTGCTAACCTGTACATGGACGTTAGGACAAATGGCACAACAGCACAAATAAATAACACCTTTTATTAGGTAATCTCCAAGTTACAACGCAAACATTAATTAAGCTCCTTAACACCTCTGAGGTAGTTCAGCTGAGCATTATATCCTACAGAAAAGTGTCTGTCTCAAGGTCAGTCCATACTGAGAGCAGGATTACAACTTCCATTCCCCACCGACTACCAGGCCATGCTCTACCCGCTGTTCGAGCTTGCTCCACTATTTCATCTGCTTTAACTGGATGAGCCAGTGGGGCTGGACCCACACCTCCAGCTTAGTGCCTGGAATCCAGATCAGAACATACAAGTTGTAGCAGTGTGCTCCCAGTGCAGACAGCTCATGCTCCGAGGCTACCATCATTTCTCACAGGAGGAATGCTTATTGCACCAGGATCACCCTATGCTGCTCACAACAGCTACAGCCTGACCCTGCAAGTCATTATGAGAAATCACTATGAGACAAAGCCACAAGACACATTTCAAATACCCCAGAGAGCCTAAGGGACAGAAAAGATGACAGGGTATGATAACAATTCTGCTTCACTGCAGGATCAGTCTTGGGCATGCAAACAAACCCTGTGTAATCAAGCAGTATTAGTCTCAGAAGCAGCTAGCTTTCTGCTTCCTCCCATTTTTGGAGTACTTGATAACCTGCACAGACAAGTTGTACGGCATGCAGTGCGGCCCCAGCACCAGAGCTGGGCTGTGTGACACTCACAGATCAGCAAAAATATTTTTGAAAAGATTAAAACAAGACGGGTGTCCTCTGTGAATGATCTGGCCACCTTAAATGAACAGTTGATTTTGACATTGCTGATAAGTTATGCTTATATAGAGAGCCAGTATTTTTATTGTAGATACTGTGCTTGCATAATTACCTTGCAGGAGGACACAGACATTCAAGCAGCAAAGTTGTCACTCGAGCCTGTTCAGTGTCAGCTACTTCATTTCAAACAAACAAACAAGCAAAAAAACAACAGCACAATAACAACACCAGCAGAAATAGTCTGCTGCTTTTACATAGTACGCTGTGCCAGATGAATTGTTGTTTGGCAGACACATTCATACCACAAATAGCACATTCATACCCTCCTACCCCTTCCCCTAGCTGCCAATGCAACACAGACTAGATTACTTAATTACATCTCTCCTACTAATGATGGAATACTTGGAAAACTCTTATTGATCACATAGAACATAATTCATGACCTAATTACAGTCGTAAAACTGCAGGATTATCATCTTGCCAGCTATTAACTTCTGGAATTGATCTGGGTTAATTAGAACAGAGATAGGTGATCTCTGCATTCTTGATTTGCAGCATAACAGCAAGATGAATGAGGAAGGCTGTTAAAGGTAGCACAAGCAATTCCTAGCCCTCACTCTACTCTCAACCAACTGCCCATCCTGCTCAGGAAATATCTGACACATTTAACACTTGAGCTTCATGTCTCCAGCCATTTGAGTCATTTGCTCAGTGGGACAAGCATCTTTGATACTGTAATATTGCAGATGCTCAAATGTGGAGCATGGACCTCCTTTGCTTTATCTGTCTTTTACAGAACTGAGGCATTAGATCTAAGTTCTTGCTCTGTCTGTTCTGAAGTATTCAGTCATTCTCTGGATAGAAAAAAAACAATCATGAACATCCTTGATTTCCAGAGTTCACCCTTCTCTTAACTGCAATGACAGGTTGTGGTTGAGCCGAGGAAGAAAAACCTTTTTTCTCACCAGCACTTCACAGTGCTTTTCCTGGAAAGGATGCAGTCCCATCTAGGAACCAAGCTTCAGCTTCCTTCATGGCTACTCAGAGGACTGCCTGTTAGAGTCATGCAGTGGATCTTTAACATGACAAATTAGAAATTTTCTAGCTTGCTCTGGACTCATCTACACAGGAAGCTAGTAAGCAATAAAATAGGATGTGCATTTATAGTGTGTTACCTATGCCACATTAATTTCCTGCATGCCCACTGTAATGCATCCAGTATCTTAATCCAGCTTCCTAGCTGAAGCAAGCTTCCCTGCCACGGACGCGAGCTGGGTGCTCATTAGACGTGCCCACACACTGAGTTATGACACACCTACTGTTACGCACAGTCTTCCCCACATCGATAATCTGTTTGGGTTTAGTGTTATGACTGCTATCCTCAAGATGAAGGTGTAATTTCTTGGCCTTCTGCCACATGGGCAAGCTGAGATTGCAAGCACTAAGACAACGGGTCAGTCCAGGAAAAAGAGATTTGAAGTTGGGCAAGAGTGACCACACAGATTTCTAGCAATAACAGGACTTCAAATTGCTAGTCATATGAATGCAGAAGGAAGTCCAACAGTGGGAAGAAGCTTAGGGGTTAATGTGGTGCAGAGCAGACCTTATTTTCTCATGTTAGAACACATGAGTTCAGCAAACCATACCAACCACTCTTTTCAAACCTAGATACCAAAAAACCCATTGGTAAGAGTCAGACAGCTAACCCTGTGGGTACCACTGCTGTTGAGGTTGCTGCTGACTTGCCCTGAAGCTGGATGTCAATGCACACACCCACTCCACACACTATTACTGGGCATAACAGGGCTATGAAGTAAGCATGGATTAACAACAGTGAACCTGGTTTGTCTCTGATGTAAGGAACCAGACCAGGTGCTCTTGATTTCAACTTGCCATCAAAAATGTGCAGCTATTCCCATGCAATCTGGCTTTGTAAAGTACATGACTGCTTTAGGGGAAATATTACACAAAGACTGATGAAGTCTTCTAATTCAGCTGGCACTGGCAAAGCAGGAAAGCTCACCCTGTACAAGAGCATACTCTAGTTAATCATTCAAATTCTGGCTGGCACTAGGAAATTTCAAGCTGGGAGGGTATGTTGTGCAAGAGATAGGAAAGATACAAAAGAAATTCGATACAGAAGAAACTTGAAGCTTGCAATAAAAGGTGATGGGTATTGAGCAGTTTGCACAAAAGGAACCTTCTGCATCTTGAGAAGTATTTGGTTCTTGGCAAACAAAGGCTCAAAACATTTTTCTGAGTTAGTATCTCCACTGTTACCCGCCATCACCCAGTTTCTAATGATGGTTAGAACTAACAGAGTTCTCACACTGTTTCAGACCACATACAGCTCTCCACAACTGCACCCATGTTCCGAACCATCAGACTGCGCTGCCTCACAATGTAGCATCAGTAGCACATTTTAAAGGGAGGCAGGAGAGGTCAGCAGCATCTCTGAACACCTCTAAAGTGCTATGGGCTTCCCAGAAAAGAAAGCAATGAGTAAGAAATGGAAAAAGAAGAGTACTCCTACTTCAGAAGTCACTGAACTGGGAAGCACCTCTTAAGAGTCATTCTGAAGTATTTCCGTTGTAACGGAGCAAGCCTATTCACAAATGCAGTGGGTGCACTGTTCCCAACAAGAGGGAATTTGATGACCCACAGCTCATCAAAAAGAGGTGATCACATTCAGTAAGCTATTGTGTTGGACAGTCCGTGACACAGCAGTTTCCTGCATTCACCTCTGATTCTTCCATGACATCCTCCCTAAAATTTTACTGCTTCACTGTTCACAAACACCTCCTCCCTGAGTCCCTGCTGGGAAAGACAGCTTACCAACTCGCTGAGGTTCCAACCAGAATCCTCAGTATGCACAACTCAGAGCACCTCCAGTATCTTCATGGAGAATGCATCGTCTTGTTCAGAAAGTCACCATATGAAACAAGCACAAAGCCTCAGAGAATCACACAGCTTTGCTGTTCAAAAATAAACCCAAAGTCAGGAAATAATCACTACATAAAGAAACATACACTCTGCTAGATCAAAATTAGGTAAATATTTCTAATTCCTCTCGTAAAAAAACTAACAAAAAATCAGGTAAGTAAATGAGATCTAAGAGAAGAGCAACAAAAAGTACTTTTTTACTTGAAGTAATCTGTCTAGAGTTTTCTTAAAACAAAGAAATCAAGAATTTCTCACATTTAGCTCCTGAGAAAAGTAGGTGAATAAGACGAGCCTAGTATTTTACCAAAAAAAAAAGCATGAATTGAATTCAAAGAAATGGCAAGGGGGTAAGAAACATGAGATACCATCTCTGAAAGAAAAGTGCAACAGGCATAAAAATCAGCTAGAGCTAGATTACACTATTGTCTTAAGGTTAAACATTAAGGTTCAAGTTATTCTTTAAGTTAAATTCTTGATCCAAGTCAGAGATGAACAATGAAAAGGTACGAGGTGATCAGAACCAACGCAAAGTGCAGTTGGTCAAAATACAGCATAGAAGTCTTGTGCCTTTCAGAGCTTTTGTGCTCAGCAGTGACATCTGTGGCTGTGAGGACCATCATGCCAGTCCGACTGAAGTTCCGCCCTTCCTAACTCTCCAGGAAAACTGCATCACAGTTGGGTGAGCTCACTGCCACGTCAGTAGGATTACGGAGGCCGTTTCCTAGAACCCCAAACAAAGGTACTTAGGTTAACAGTTACCAAGAAAAGTCGACGTTGAGGCATGAGGAGTGCAAAAACAGAAAAAAAAACACCCAACAATCTGATCAGTGTAAATATTCATGCTATGAGCAATTTTTTAAACCCTGAAGTATTACTGGTTTGCTCATAGTAGGTCCAGAAGAGATCACCCAGGTACAATTCCTCTTCAGGCACAAAGTCTGTCAAGTAAATTTTCAAGTAAGGCTTGAAGGCACAAAGAATGAAGACAAAACTCATGCCACAAGTAAAGCGATCTGCATGTATCAGATATTCAGTTCAATCTGACATCAGAAAAAAAAAAAAGATTATTAATATTAAACTAATAAGCATTCACATTTTATACAACTCATTTTCTCAAAAAGCATCTCCAAAAATATACAGTGAAGACCAGCAGAATGCAACCCTCATTCCACCCACAAAGAAGTCAGGGGAAAATAAAAGGTTTTGTCAGAGATCCCAGGGATCCACAACAATATCCCACACTCCCAGAGCACTGGTAGAGTGGTTTCAACCAGTAGGCACCACACATTTCAACTTAAGGTATCGCTGATGAAAAAGACACTGATTCAAAGTGAATCTGGAAAAATAAACAAGTACAGAGAAAAGAATGTATTCAGGAGGAGAGAGGAAATGAATCTCATAAGAGGAAAATAAATAAAGAACTTAAGGAGGAAAAGGGAACCTGCAGCAGATCGGCACCAATCTTAGCAATCACAGTGCCTTATGCCCATCTATCATCAGAGAACTGAAGAGGAATGGGAGCTTATTCATCTTGTTCAAGAGACAAATCTAGTATGCAACTGATAAAGGATTGGGCAGGCCTGGAACAATTTTCTATAATATAAATATTTTAGAACAAAGTTTGCCTGGCTTATCTCAGTAAAATAAAAAGCTGAATGAATGACTGAGTATTTCAACTCAACCAAAAGGAATCCTAAACCATGAGAGAACTAACTGGGTAGTGAAATTACCGGCACATTTTTCCAAGGTAATGGAGGACATCCATAAAGAATCATGTATAAACATACATTCAAACAAAGGAAAACATGGTTACTACTTACATTTCAGTGGCTATGAATCCGGTGAGCTCAGACAGGAAGAGAAACAGTATGAAGAGACAGCAGCAGACAGAGACTGGAAAAGAAGAAAGTTGAGGAAAAGGTTAGTTTATATCTCCAACAAAGACACAAACTGTTTTCACACGGGCAGATCATTCCCCCTGCAAACATGCCATCCAGACACATCTAACAATCAACAATTTTTCTGTAGAGACAACACCAGGCCATCCAAGCAGTGACTTCAGTGGCATGCCAACACTCGGCGTCCTGCTGGGTATCTTAACTCTTGGCCTACCTTCTCCGCCATGATTTCCATCTCGCCACAGCTCCTGTGTTCTTCACCTCCAACACACTATGCTGGTCAACCAGCTCTCCCTCCCCTTTGACAAAAGTGCTTATCAGCAGTACTTCTTTTGGAGCCCTTGCTCCATGCTGAATTTTATTACACTAAAACCTCCTTAAGAAAAGGGAAGAAAAAAAAAAAAAAAGGCATTTCCTTGCTTCAGAAGCACACAATCAGTTATGTTGTGTTTTGTGGATTAGGAAACATTTTGGTTCTTTGTCAGGTTCTAAGGCTATGCACGTGCTGTCTCACAGCCTGTACTACATGTGAGACAGAGCAGATACTGCAGAGACTGTTGTGATAATGGACTAGTCTAAACAATGCCTCATTCTCCTCTTATTTCTCCATTTGCCAACATACTCTTCAGAGAAGACAAATTTGTAGCCAAGTCATTGCTAAGAACCTGGACAAGTCCTGCGTCAGTTCTAAGAAAGCCAATCTACAGTTAAAAGAGCAGAGCCAAAAGTTGCCAGTGTATTCTTTGTTACTCTTCATCAGAAACTGTTCAAAACATCACACAGTGACATTCATGCAGCAGCGTCAGTTTCCTGTACAGGAGGAGCTTGAAGGAAGGAAGGAATGGCTGTGAGTCTCACTGAGTAGGGATGATTAGACACGGATGTGCCAACTCAAGGAGATGGGGCTGTATTAAATAAAATATCCAAGTTCATCATGAATCATTACACAAAAGAGTAAACCAGGAAATGGCATGGCAGCAGACACAGTCTGGTTCACCCCTCAGTCCCAGCAGAGTAACAGTGACCAAGCACTCTTTGGAAATGACCATTTTACCACAGCCACTAATTAAGATTGAGAAACGTGTAAGAAAAACCCTGTTCCTCAACTTTACTCCACATGACCCATACAGCCTGAATATCCTTTCCTCCAGAAGGCTCAAGCAACAATTGGCTGGAGAGCAATTTTAATCAAACTATTGCGCCTGTCCACTGTCCCTTGGTACGGAGCATGGGAGGCATGGGAACAAAAGGGGAGGTACTTAAAGCAAATACCGACAGACCCTTGAGTGACCTGAAGCCCTGTGCCTCATTCTTCAGATTAGTCAGTCTGTAGTTCTGAGGAAAGAGAAATACACAGCTTCCCCTTCTTCATCAGTCATTTCAAGGGTGGATTCATTTACTGACCCTCTCAGAAGTGAGGAGGATTAAAAGAGATGCCAAAAAGCCATTAAGTAGGATGAAGAAAAAGGGGAAAATGAAGTCAAAAATCAGTAGGAAACGGAAAGCCAGCGAGGATATTCATTGGAAAAGAGAAACCTCAGATGGTCAGACAGTCAATCCCAGGTCCTGGCTGTGAAGATGCAGAACACCACGACACTGCTGCAACCCAGCTAAGCCACCAGCACAGTGTGTCATGGGGGTGGAGAAGGAACTACTTGAAACACAGCAACAAACTCTGATGAGAACATATACGCCCATGTAAGAGCAGAAAGAAAAGCAGTCGGGCACAAGACTAGTTGATCCAGTGTTTCTCACCATTAATCACCGAACAGACACATAAGATCTCTGATCTTGGCAGTATGCAGGGGAGAACGTATGATTGAGACAATTCTTTCAGCTGCTTTCCATACACCCTTTTGCCATGTTCTCATTCTGTAGCAGTTTAACACAGCATCAGACAGACCTCTCTGCTCTCCATCGCTTCTTTGCAAGCTTGGTACTGATGCCAATTCTCACCCAGAGCTTTCCTCCTTTTCCAGCTTTTCACTTTCTTCTCTGTCATTTTCATTATCAAATTACCTCCTCCTTTCCTGGTATACAAACTACTATCTTCCTTAAGTCCCTTTTCCAATCCAGCTCTTCCAGTGAAGACCCATGACAATACATACTAAGTACAATAAAATTACAAAAACCTGCACATAAGAAGTCCTGCAAGAATGTCCTGAAACACCTGGTGGGGACTGACTTCCAAAGGCCTTTGATACTTCTGTCAGTGTTTGAACTGCACAGGCAGTTTTCAACCTACAAAACAGATTACTGAGAGTTTACACAAGGACAGGTCTGGAGAAGATGAATGGGGAAAAACGACTCACTCCCAGTACAAGAATGCAATGGAAGGCTGAGCTTTAAAACAAGAGGAGAGAGTTTTTCTTCTATGGGACACTTGGCATTCTGAAACCCCTCAATGTCAGGGAAAGTCTAAGAGACTTAAAGAAAGAAAAGAATCAGACATGCCTAGAAGAAGAAATCCATTGATGGCCACTAAACACAAAAGAACCACCTCTGTCTCAGCCAAATGAGGGATGTTTGGGCACTGTTTCACCTGTCCTCGTGCTCTCAGCATCTACTGCTGATCACTACCTTGAAAACTACACTTGGCTAAGTGGAGTTTTGCAACAGCCTTGCTAGCATGGCTGCTCTGGTGTTAAAGCATTCCTGTACGTGCACATCTCCAGAGCAAGGGGTGTTGGGTGTCTTTGGCATCACACTTACACAAAAGCTTTATGCTTTGAACCATCTCTCGCTGCCAAAGTGCCCCTCTCCTTAGTGTACACAGCTGTATGCAGGCACATAAACACTCTCAGTGTGACAATGTACACACATAGTTTCAGCTACTTATTGCATAGTGAAGACCTGTACTTGCTTCCATGCAAGTGCATGGTTCCAGCCACTCATATATGATAACTATATTTCATCTGGAAAAGCAGATTAAAGACTAGGATCAGATAGAATAGGAAAAATTAGTGCTTAAAGCTTAAAGCTTAGCTTAACTGCAAGGGCACTGTGATGTTCCCACAGAGCTTAAAGGACAACGTAAGACAGGTTTCTTAAAACTCTGGTAGGACAAAGTGATCAATATATCCCAGATTGCTCATTGTAGACACACTGGAATGTGCTTTTATTGAGAAATTCCAAAATGATGAGAAATTCTACCAAGGACTTTTTTCAGCATTGGCTTCTACATCCTCACCCTTATGCACATATCTCTTTAAATATACACCCCCATCTAGGTACATTCCTAACTCACCCTCCCCACCCTTCAATAAATGAATAAAATGCACACTGTTTAACAACACACAGACTGAAGGAGTGAATCTTTGTCTATATTAAGGCATAAAATTAATAGTATTTATTGTACAATGAAGCAAACTGCTATGAAGTACAAGGATTGGGTCTTGTTACAAATGACACGTGAATCATAACTTTGATATTTCCTGATGTGTATTTAAAACTCCAGCCTCCAAACAGCATAGAGTATTTCTGGATAACGTTACCATGTGTGCATACAAGACATGCATGCAAACTATGCATCCACGCTGACTGTTAAGCAGAAGGATTGCTACAGCAGCTGTTCGAGTCGCAGGCCTCTCTCTCAAGAAGTCAGACTGCTGCTGTCCAGATGCCAGCTGTCAGACAGCCAGGGCATGTGCCACTGCTGCCTACATACCCAAACATGGCCAGTTCAGCACCATGGTAATCAGGGCTGTTAGAAGGGCCGTGTGCTGGCCTCACAGACACACTGCACCAGGGTCAGAAGGCTTGTGAGGACTGGCACAACACCTGGTGGAAGAGGGACAGCAACAGCATGACTGTCTTAGTGGCACATTAACTGATCTGAAAGAAGAGATTTTTACTGAGAACAAGGGATGCCTAACTACTGCCTGCCTTTCGCAGTAGTCTTTGTGTGTGCTGTTCTGTGCAAACCCTACCACTAAACTATGGGGGACTGCTCTTGGTTCCTTTGTTCCTACTAGTTTTTAGTAGCCAGAAGGGTTGCTGCACAGATCCAGAGTATCTTATATGCAATGTGCTTTCGAAATTACAAAAGCCTACAAAAAGAAACCCTCCAGTTGGATTCTGAACTTGCCCACAGACTCTTCTCCATCAAAATACCTTCACACTTATTTGGAGCTGCCTCTTTCCTAGCAGTTGGCCCCTTCACCCCTGTTGGTTGGACACAGCATTGGTACTCACATCTCTTTTCTTTTGTAATTTGATCTATTCCTTCCTCCCTAATAAACCTCAAGCTTCTAAAACAGAACAAAAAAAAAAAACAACAACCCCTCAAACAAGTAAATAAACAACAAAACAAACAAGAAACCCACACACAAAAAGGCCTTCCCTCCCCCCAAATACAAACACAATTGGAAGAATCCTGCTTTAATCTGCTCCCATTCCAGAAAGCACCAGAAAAAACACTCAGCTGAAATCACACAGGAAGGACTACAAAGTCAGATACTACGGGCTATTTTGTATCAACCCTGTAAGAAGAGTAGCACCCTCCCCTACCTCCAAGCCTCTATTATGGTTAACACCTGAATTCCCTGAAGCATTTATCTCAAACTCATGAGACCTTCCCAGGCTTCAAACTGCCATGGCAATGGGCTGGTCTCATTCACGGCCTCCTGCAACACTCAAGATTACTGGCTTTCAAATTACAAGTCACAGGCTTGGTCAGACAGAAAATCCATTAGGAAAGCTGCATCCAGGATCCTCACACGCAAAGCTACCACAGGTTGTTGGCTGTCTGCGTGTGTGGTTCAAAAGCTTCTATCAGCCTCTCTGCAAACACTCTGACAAAAAGAAGGAGAACCAGTTAGAGAAGAAAAATCAAAGCCTGAGAAGCTGCAAATAACAATAGAGAGAAATAAGTCAGCTAATAATTTTAAGTAAGAGTCACAGCCTCCAAGCCTTCCCACAACACACTTATCACTTAAGCTGTTTACTGCAGATCTGAAAGCCTAATGCTGCTGGATGGCCTTTGATGGGTTTTTTGTTTCTAAAACATTTTCTTTTGCAGGTGATTCATAACAAGACAAATTCTCAAAGACAGCCCAGTTATACTGTGGGAACTCCTCGTTTCCAAAACAGAAGAGAAGGTAGAATCAACTAAACAAGTTCAAAGTGTTCTTTCAAAACGCTCAATCTCATATACCTCTAAATTACTGAACAGTTTTACTCAAGCTCTTTGTTTACTGTCTCAGCAAAGCAAAGAGGGAATTGACTTGCAAGAAATTCGGTGGTCAGGATAACAAGAGAGGACAAGGACTCCCTGAAAGTAAATATTTACAACGACAAGCTATATTCACAGAAACACAGAATAGTTGAGGCTGGCAGGGACTTCTGGAGATCATCCCATCCAATGCCCCTGAAAAAAAAGGGTCAGATGAAGCGTGTTGCTCAGGGTCAGGTCTACTGGTTTAGAATATCCCAAAGTTGGAGACTCTACACCACCGGGCAACCAGCTCCAGGGCTCGACCACCCTCAGAGTAAGAAGCAAGGAGTTCCTTTAGCTCACAAAAGGCTCTGCTTCGTGTCCCATTGATTCACTGCTGTTGACTCAGTTCTATTTGGTGCCTGTTGTCACCAAGGGATATGACATCACTCACGTCAGCAATGACATACAAGGCTACTGACCCATCTACAAGAACGGATGAATGGAGCACAACTGTATGATCAAAGGAAGTCACTGTTCAATGGAACAGGAAAGCTGCAATAGGCATCTAATTACAGACTTGGCAGGGCCAACCTGATCAATGTTTACCACTCTACACAGTGCACTCACTGGATATAATTGTGTGAAATTGCATTACTCAGCCCACAGCCTACCTCAGGAGGAGGAAGGAAGGAAAAGAGGCTCGAGGCAAGAGATTTGTATCAGCTGAAGTCTCTGCACTGATACACAGGAGTGAGAGTGGATCACTATCAGTGGTTTCTGACAAACTAATTATTGTCCTTTAAAAGCATGACAAATAACAATAAAATAAGATCTCCGCTCATTAGCCCCATCTACAATGTCAGATGAATCCCCTGAGTACATTGTGACAGAAATAACTGTTTCCCAAACCATCCTCTCTGATGGCCACTGCACATTGCCATCCACTCAGCTCCTCATTCAATCGGAAGCCAAAACCTGGATTCTCTATAGAGTAGCAGTTCGGTTCCTCAACTCTCTTCAGTAAGAAATGCAACTGTGAACACAACAGCTATGAGCTGTTCTTCACCATGAAGAGATGCCCATTAGAGACAGGCAAAAAAATCCAGTCGTTCACTCCCCCAGTGTTTGGATCAGACTCACAGCTTCTATTCCAGGGAAGACTCCAGTAAAAACTCTACAGCTAATTCAGTAGCTAGCAGCGTGGGTATTCCAGCTTTAGCTCTTAGGAGCTCCCTTTCATAAGAAGATATCTTTGCTACTTTTTGATGCCGAGAGTCCAAATCCATGCAAATTCCTCCATCACTCAGTGAAACCTTAGGTACTGGGTAAAAAGAGCTGTCTTAGCAACAAAGGACATAATTCCTAGTCTTTTATATTCCTTTGAAAATATCCTGTAAGACACAGAAGCCAAAATTTCTTTAATTTTAGCTCAGGGGGATGCAAGGACAGCAAAAAGAAGTGCTACTTACTAATAGCCCCTGTGTAGGTTGGCTGTGTAAGGTCTTTTGGCACCTTCCTGTAGATGTCAAACCTGAAAGAGGAAAAGTAACAGCCATAAACCAGGTGGAATATTTTAATACATTTCACGTCCCCACAGGGATGAATGATGCTGAAGTTTTTTCCATCCAGCTTTCCAACAACATTTTTTTGAGTTTGCAGAAGGATATGAGAAGGAAAAACAAAACAAAACAAAAAGTCCTTTTTCTTTTGTACAGTTATGTAACTGCTCTGCTTTTGGGCTCCAGTTTCCAAAGCACTTCCCTCCGCCTCCCTTGGTTTTGCTGCCATGGATCTTTGCAATCCGAGCTGCTGCAGGTGCCAGGGAAGAAGTCATGCTGGACAAGCTTACAGACCACCGTAAAAGGAAAAGGATACTCTACAGACTCCTGAATATAAAGGCCTGGCAAGAAAAAACAAACAGCAAGACACAACCAACATTTCAACTTGTGTTTTGTATTCCATGGTAGCCAAAACTCACCAAAACCAGAGCCAGAAATCATGATGTTAAGGCAAGAAACTGACCCTCGGATATTGGATACACAGGAAAAATTAACCCAAGAAGTTTGCAAAATCCATTTTAATATTAGACGGTTGTTTTGATTCAGTCATATCTTTTAATATCCATATGGCTCAGCTTTGCTATTTTAAACTCTCCATGGTTAAACTCTCACTGCCCTTATGATGTTGCTGTATTATTTCCTACCACGTTATATTGCTGCATGTCCAGACTTAATGCAGCTCTTGACATCAGTTTTTCCACCACTCAATAAAAATTAATTAATGCATTAAAAACAACACGCCCTAAAGAAGGAAGTGACTGGTTCTCCCCCTGAATAGACTTCTTTTTTATATAGCACTAGCAAGTGAGATGTGATGCTTTGTCCAGTCCTGGACAGGCATGAGAAACACCAGCTTCCAAATTCCTCCTCTCTATGGCACCATCATCCCTGCGTTGATTCAGTACTTCCTACTACACCAAATGTTACACTGAGAGCTCAAAAACGGCAGCAGCATTCTTTCCTTTACTCTGCACCTACATAAATCATCAGTACAATCTGGATGCACACTGTGTGCATTTGCAACACACTATATTAGGACACTATTGCTGTTTTATTCAGAATGTGAAACTGGAGGAAGAAAGGACAAGAGAAGGAAAGATGGTATCATGAACATCACCTACGCAGTTCACGTCCTGAACTCACTATGCAATCACTTCACTGTCCTGATGAACCACTGCTTCACCTATGAAATACGAAGAGTACATCTGTTCAGGGTCTCGTGAGGATGAACTCAGCATGTGCAGCATTTCCAAACACAGCTAACAGAGCCACAGCAGCAGGCAGAGTGGCATTTGCTAACCGCACACAGCTCTTGCTCATGTGATACAACTGACAGAGCGCCCTGCACGGGATGCCCACGGAGCTGTATGTTTTCATGACTCTATTCCCTGCCATCGCCTAAACAGATCAGTAATATTCCTGAAGCAAAGAGTCCATTTATGGTTCTCCAGCTGCCCTGAGAACATCTGGAAAGTGCTGTTTACATTCTTTCCACGTACACCAAAGCAACAGCAGCAGCAGATGATAAAGCAGCCCAGAGCAGCTGGTGACATCACGGTCTCACAGGCAGAGGAAGTAGCTGATCTTTCCTGCTCACAGCCCATAAAATGCTGAAAGCTGGCAGTACCTCACTATGGTCACAACAACAGATCAACGTGGCTAAAAGAGCTGAGAGAAAGCGCACGAAAACGCAGGAGCTTTTCAGTGTGAGTGAACAATTAGAGATAGGAAATACCTCCACACTGGAGTCAGTAAAAACAGCAGTCTGGGATACTATAAAAGGAAATTTTTTCTTACGGTCAGAAATATTTACTAGTTTTAAAAAGATGATCCATCACAGGATTAAGAAAATAATCCCATCTTTTAACTCGGTGGAAAGCTGATGTCACAGCATGCTTCTCTCCTCTCTGCCTGCCATTTTAACCATGTAAATAACACCCAAACCCAACAAATTAAGTTTTACACGGTGCAAGTAAGCTAGGAACAGGCAAAGGCAAAACAGAAAGCTGATGATCAATGGTTCCCAGCCAAGCTCATCAGCTGGCTTCAAGTGCTTAAACGGCAGTTCACTCTCTCGATGTGCTGTTCTGCTTCCCACGTCTTCAACATTACATTCTACCTCCTTCCTTGACCACGTCACACAGCTAAGAGATTTAGGCAAGTCTCTGGATCCATTTTGCCTATAGGATGTGGAGTTACATACATGGAAAAGTGAACAGGTTTTACTTGCCCTTAGGTCAGATGTTCCTGCAAGCACTTGCAGGAAAAATTCCAGCAAGCCTCAAAGTTCCTGAAGCATTGGTCACTTGGAAGAGTATTTACATGCTGGGAACAGAGAGGAACCTTGTGCCCTCTCTATTGCAAAAGCTGCCTTACAGATTTCTGATACCAGCACATTCAACACAATGGAAGGTATTACTAATACTGGAGGGAGACTGGATGTTCAGAAGTGTAGCAGCCCAGAACGCAGTGAGACACACTGTACTGTGCTGTAAATATCCCTTCAACACACTTGTACTTCCATACTAAACAATCATAAGAAACCAGGGCACAGATTTCCAGCACATTCATTGCCTCAAGTAACTGGCAGCTGGCAGTACTGTGGAGCAGTTAACCCAGCTTTCACAAAGGCAGACATGACTTTGCACTTACAAAGCATGTAGACACCAGTTTCCACAGGCCAGCCAGCAGGTTATTTAAACCTGGTTTTTGGCAACTTTCTTCCTTTGCTCACAAAGGCAAGACTTGTAAGGTGAAGGAACACCTCTGAGTCCATCAGCTGACACAGCCATATGTATGAAAGCAACAAGAGTTTTTGCTAGGAAAGCTCTTCCTCCAGGTCATCAGATCCTCACAAAGGGAGGGCTGGACCTTGCAGTACCAGAGCACAAGGCTAAAGATAGCACTGGGCTGTCATCAGTGTTACAAAGGAATTTCCTGACACATCCAGTGTATCTATTGTCTTTTGTTTCAATGGGCAGCATGGATGCAAACAAAGAAGTTATTTGGTAATGTCAGAGTTCCATGGAAGCAATGTTCATGACTAGTGTCAGGGAATGCTACAGCTTTTTCCTATCCAGTGCTGAGGACACAACCAGAAACTTTCTCATCTCCCTGACAGGAATGTCAATGAACTGGTCAAACATCTGTGAGCACAATCCTTGTGCAGAGTCCCACTGAGAGGCTCAAACAGAATCCACAGACCCTAAAATGGTGAAAGGAGATGGGAGATAGAGAGAGGGCTGTCTGATGGATGGGTGTGCAAGAGGCCTCTCACCTCGGTCTCATCTGACTGCAGTGACACAAATGGATAGCAGCGTGAAACTGTAGATGGGTGCAGTTCAATGGAGCCAAATGAAAGGATGGCGTATTTGAAGCACCAGCAAAAGTCCCATGGACTTCAGAGTACACTTAGACTAATATGAGATGCTACTATTTAAACATTTCTTCTTTGGATAGAAGCATGTGCTCCTGCTGTTGAGTTTCTATGGCTCTAGGAGACTCTGAACAGCACCCAGTTGTTTCACCAGGCACAACCAGATGCAGCAGCACTCATTTGACTGGAGCAGCCACAAACAATTATGTCCAAGGCCAGCTTGGAGGCCAGCAGAGGCAAAGGTAGGTCAGCCTAAGACAACAATACAGGTTGACATCACCAACCCTGGGGTGACTCCTGGCTTTCCTTTCAAATCTATCTGATTGACAGTGCAAGACGGGTGACAGAGAGGGCAGAAGATGCCTACCCAAACACTGCATTTTCTTCAAGCGTGGATACTTCAAATGCCTGTCCTGAGAGCGGGGATGAGCTCCTTCCCACAGCAGGAGCTACTCCAGGTAGAGCATCCTGCACGGCATGCTTCACATGCACCTCAACAGCTTCAAGTCTGGAGCTGAAATTTTTCAGGAAATTAGGTAAGAAACACATTATTCTGCTGCAGATTACCACCTCCCTGAACAGAATAATCCTTTCCATTTTCCTGGGAGTCTGAAAGGAGCTCCAGTGTAATACTACAGTAGCATCTCTGTAAGATGTTGTTATCTTTCTCAAGAGTAAGAAGCAAAAACCTTGAGGCAATACAAAAAAAATCAATACTTGTAAGCACTCAGTGAAGGCTGAATTTGAATGCTGTGTAGCAAAGGGAAACTTGGACACGAAAAGGAGCTAACATCAGAGAAGGACAAACAGAGTTCTTCAGTTCTCAGAATTTGTTGCAAGCCTCAGGCATGCACAGTCCTCACCAGAGCAGGAAGAGGAAGAAAACAGAGGAGCAACGTGTTGGCCACCTTAGGCATATGCTGTGAGTACAGCTTATAAATCTGCCTGTGCCACTATACTGAGGCACTGCAAAGAGACTGCAGGCTTCAGCTATCTCTGCAAAGCACTGAAATGGACCTCTGGAGCGAGGAGCAGGGGAATGTTTTCATGTACCCTTCTGCAAGGTCTGTTTGCCTAGATTTAACTCGGGGGGGCAAGGGAAAGTTTGTTATGCAGCTCTTGGGACTGCATTTTAGATTGCAGTTAACAAGTAGTCAAGCAAAAGTGCAATACATTCATGTTGCTCTTGGTCACGGAACAAAATTCAGACACTGCAAGTCGGCAGCAGCTTAATTTTCTTCCCTTACCACTCCTGAGGTGACTCAAAAATTCAGCTTTAACGTTCACAGAGAGGGGAAAAAATATTTTTGTGCTTTAGGCAGATAAGTGTTTTTCCCCAAGAAAAAAAAAAAAAGAACATTTAAACACCAGTCTTCCCTCCAAACCATACTGGCTTTGTCACAGGTAAATCTGCAGCATGTACTGAAGGTAGAAGGTATCTCCAGGACACAATCATTCATTACAGCAAATGCCATTTCTGATGTTAAAGACAATTTCTAATAAATGATAAAAGCACTGATATTCCACCTTCAGTAGGTCAACAGTGGCACAAATACATCAGGTTGTCTTAGCAGCAGGGGTCCATGGCTCTGATTT